CATGAGTCAGACGGTAGTGAGCTCTGTCACAGTCGGCCGAGTCGTGAGCCAGTTGGTAGCGGGTCCCGGCACCGGCCGTCGACCCGGTGGCGAACCCAAACTGCGCCACAGGTGAGGCGGAAACAGACGAGGGTGGAAACAGGTGTTCTGACAATGGCAGCCTCCTCCCTCCATACACACACGCTGCGTCAACATTACGCAGCAGACGTTTCCTTTGACCGCTTCCCATGGCGATAAATCATGCCTTCGCCCGTCACCGGCAGGCTACCGAGCCACAGCGGCACGCCCAACCGCTCGGCTATTACCCTAACTAGGGCTGGCTGGCCGGCGCGGCGCCTCCGCCGCAGACCGTTCGATTAGTTATGCCGCGGCACCCCCAACCCCGCTACCATGCAGTTGACCGTACTGGTGAGTAGGGGTCGATCGGAATAGGGGAGGGATACCCGAATTCGACGGGCGATCACCCTGGCCTCTGAAGAAGTTAACTATCCCCATTTGATACAGCTAAGCACAGCGTTCTCCAGCTGAGCATAATATATTAATTTCTTATTCACAGTCACTCTCAGCATTTTTAACAAAGATATTGATCATAAAATCGTAGCTCACCGTGGACTGGTGAGATTGACCCAATGGCCTTCAAATTCATGACTGACCAGCTGTTCCGTAACGTTGCTTCACGTTGTCAGCACTCATATTTTGGAGAAGTGAGTGCGAGAATTTTGCGCAAGGAGGACAGTTTCGCATAATTGTTTCGGAAGTACTTCGGATAATTGAATTTTACCGACTTTCGCCAGAACAAACAATGATGAAGAACATGTTTAAATAACTTCCTTCATTGATATCTTCCCAGTTAAAGGTAGTGTGCCACCTTTGAAAGATTTCCCATTTTATTTTTCCTAGGATAAGAAGCTTCTGTTTTTACCTAATATCGCAAAAAAATCAAAAATGGGCCTGGAATAGTGCCTTTTTCGCCTAAAAGTTTATCGGTTTTTCGATATGTATAACAACTGTGGTGGGCTGAACTGCAAACAGGCGTCGGCAACAATCGCGAATGCGGCGCACATGTGACAATAAGCAAAGGTCATTATAGAGTTACGACGTACGGGAATGAGTTATCAGCTGTCTAATCGTAGACAACACAATGTCGAGCCTTAAACTGTAAGCCTGTATTGGTATTGTTTCTTTTATTTGGCTGTCGAACATTATTTATGGTTTGAAATATGATTTTATGTAAAATAATTGATATGCAAAAGCCGTCTCTTAAGTTATGACCCCATTTCACCACACGCAAGTGGCAGAAATGACAATGATCAGCTGACGCATTTTTCTCGGCCGAAGTCAGAGCGCGCGGCCCGACGCACCACCACCGCACCACAAAGTATGAGCAGAAGCCGCGCCCAAAGCCAGGGCCCCGGTAACGTGAGGTAGCCGAGTCGGGGCAGCGTGCGCTGACCCAAGCCGGGGCCGCAGCTTTGGGCGCGGTCTACCGCATCCCCGCGGGCAGCCCCGGGCTATCACATGACACCGGGAGGACACGCGGCTCCGGCTTGGGTCAGCGCACGCTGCCCCGACTCGGCTACCTCACGTTACCGGGGCCCTGGCTTTGGGCGCGGTCTACCGCACCACCTAACAGACGTGTTCGAAACCGCAGGAGATGATGATGAACGGGTTTATCGAAACTTGATTGGATGAGCATATCGGTAATAGCGATTTCAGTGTGTGCATTTATTGTTCATAGTGGTGTGAAATGTGGTTGGGGTACGACCGACAACCCGTCGGGGCGAATTTCGCACTGGGGTACTCAAAATTTGAAGAATTTAAGACGTTTCCATGAGTTTTGAAGGTATGGATAAGTTCTAAAAATCCGGTTCTCCTTATCTGGGCCATTAACTCCATACGGTCCAGGAAAGCTGGCACACTACCTTCAAGAGCCACCGTCAGATTGTGGCACGGAAGTTGACAACCAATGTCACTTTCCGTTCAATACTTTGCATGGGACAGAGCGTACCCGCAGTCATAGGGGTCATGGGCTCAACACACGTATGCTGAGTCAAATATCCTGCGGACGCAGGATAAAAAAGTAAGCTCATCATCTAATATTGGATAGAGCCGCAGACCATGTAAGAAACCTTTATGAGAAAAAGCGATAAGCTGCGCCGAGCAGCAGCTCAGGACAGGCTGCTATTTATCCTGTCTATCTCATCAGTTCTGGATAGCTGATGGGATATTGGCGCGATATCAAGCAGAGCTGCCATTAGCCCGAACTACAGCAGCCGACAGTCGGTGTTGGCGGACAGGGCGCTCACAGCTACTGTTGGGACCTCAAAAACAATAAATCCTCCCCCCCCCCCCGAGCACTGATGAGTCAGTGACTCGGTTTGCCAGCTCAGAGACTCGTGAACACTTCCGCGAGAGCTGAATCTGAGTCAGAGGACTCGGTACAAGATTTGACGCAGCATATGTACAGTACAGCAACAATATCAACTATTCCACGGGGAGTACGATAAGAGGGAAAGAAACGAGCCAGATCCATGTATCAAAATTACCACAGTCGCTGTGGACAAAGCAAGTGACCGCATACTTCCGGATTCGTAGCTTTATTTATCAAAAAAAAAAAATATATATATATATATATATATATATATATATATATATATATATATATATATATATATATATATATATATATATATATATATATATATATATATATATATATATATATGTTACAGGGAGTATGAGAAATCAGTTAGTTTGCAAACTACCTAGGGAGTTTGCAAACTCCCTGAACGATCAGGTAGTTTGCAAACTCCCTAGGTAGTTTGCAAAGTCCCTAGTTAGTTTGCAAACTCCCTAGGGTTGTTGCAAACTACATAAGTAAAATGCGAAAACGACGAAACAACAGCCATATACGAGTACATATGTAGATAAGACGCGATGAATTGGTTTAGAGCTCAGAATGAAGCTTGACAGCAACGGTGCATAATGAGACGATGTGGTGTTTTGATGACGCTCTTTCGCAGCTTACTATTTATTTTTGTCTTGCTCGCAAATATCACCTTACAGATTAATGTCTGCCCTTTTTCTTGTAGTCGACAACATGTTACGTTGTCATCCACCTCCTTTCCTTGGACGTCAGCGGCCTCTCCTCCACCGGTCTGGCGTCCATCAGAAAGCGGATGACGTCGCCATGTTCGGCGTCTTCCACGACTCGAGAGTTATTGCCGCTCAGCGCTTCCTCCCACTCCCGGAACCTCTGATCGAACAGTTCGTGAGACATCCCCACAAAACCACAGAGCAACCACAAAACAGAAACTGCGATCACTATGCTGCCTCTCCACACTCCGCTCAGCACTGATGACCCGCCTGCACTGAGCACCGTTCACCAGCCGTGACCCAACAGCGCCTTTCATCCGTATCCCGCAGGCACACACTGACCTGACCTGTCAAGCTCGGGCCAGTCGACTGCTGGCTACCAGGGTCGGGTGGAAGCGGGGCGTTGGGTTTACTAAAGATGACATCCTGATTTCTAACCCGCGCCCCGTAGGGGGGGGGGGGCGAAACGGCCCCCCCTGTCCTTTTCCGTTAATATCTCCTAAACGGCTGCAGCTATCGCCATCAAACTTTCAGGACTTCTCCGGGCATCAATTTTACACATTGTGACCAAAATTTTCCAGAGGCTATGATAGGTTGGCCATAAATGACGTCAGAATGACGCAATGTTCTGCCATTTTCGACCGAAAAAAGTGCTTCGCGAGAAGAGCTGTCAGACCTACAGCTTTCAAGATATAAAACAATGATCAAGACTTAAAAGGTGTGAAATCAACAGGGCTACAAATCTGCAATCTCGGATTTTTGAAATTTTTGATTTTTGACCCCCAAAAATGAAAAATGAAATTGGATATATTACCCAAAAAATCAAAAAAGTTTTTTTTTTTTAAGTTTCGAACAAACGGAAAATATATGATAGTACCTACCAGTCAACCCAACGCCCCGCTTCCACCCGATCTTGGTATATAGTCAGCAGTCGCCTGCCCCGAGCTTGACAGGTCAGATCAGTGTGTGCCTGCGGGATACGGATGAAAGGCGCTGTCGAGCCACGGCTGGTGGACGGTGCTCAGTGCAGGCGGGTCATCAGTGCTGAGCGGAGTGTGGAGAGGCAGCATAGTGATCGAAATTTCTGTTTTGTGGTTGCTCTGTGGTTCTGTGGGGATGTCTCACGAACTGTTCGATCAGAGGTTCCGGGAGTGGGAGGAAGCGCTGAGCGGCAATAACTCTCGAGGCATAACTCGAGTCGTGGAAGACGCCGAGCATGGCGACGTCATCCGCTTTCTGATGGACGCCAGACCGGTGGAGGAGAGGCCGCTGACGTCCAAGGAAAGGAGGTGGATGACAACGTAACACGTTGTCGACTACAAGAAAAAGGGCAGACATTAATCTGTAAGGTGATATTTGCGAGCAAGACAAAAATAAATAGCTGCGAAAGAGCGTCATCAAAACACCACATCGTCTCGTTATGCACCATTGCTGCCAAGCTTCATTCTGAGCTATGAACCAATTCATCGCGTCTTATCTACATATGTACTCGTATATATGGCTGTTGTTTCGTCGTTTTTGCATTTTACCTATAGGTAGTTTGCAACAACCCTAGGGAGTTTGCAAACTAACTAGGGACTTTGCAAACTACCTAGGGAGTTTGCAAACTACCTGTTCGACCAGGTACTTTGCAAACTACCTAGAGAGTTTGCAAACTACCTGATCGTTCAGGGAGTTTGCAAACTCCCTAGGTAGTTTGCAAACTAACTGATTTCTCATATTCCCTGTAACATATATATATATATATATATATATATATATATATATATATATATATATATATATATATATATATATATATATATATATATATATATACGCTGTTTTCTAGACAATTCACAGATCTTCCTGATATCCTTTTCCATTTCACTCCTCTCACAACACACCAAAGACCGTTGAACAATACAAATACTATATTTCGTTTTGGACCGCCGCCCACCATCAGGGGTGACGGAGCGGTCCCATTACAGCACGGTCACAATCTCACAGCGGGAGTCAGTGCCAGCCACGGCCGACCCGGCTCCGGGCCAGCCGACGGACGGCTCACCGGCATACAGGGTCACAAGGTCAGAGAACGGGACACCGCCCGACACACACACACACACACCGGTACGAACACTGACATCACCACCAGCACCGACAAGGGTGCTGCAGATACCGGCATCCACGCTGGAGTCGCTCCCTGCCCGGCGCGGCCGGAGGGTTCACTTACCCAGCAGCGAGCCCTTCATCATCTCATGCACCTTGGCCTTCAGACCCTGAAACGAGCCGACAGCAGACCGGTGAGGACCGGAACTAACGAACATACTGGGGTGTAGACAATGGACGAATGAGGACCCAGGCATAGGGGAGGCGGTGTTACAGTACATTGTCCCGCTTCATCTCCTTCACACAACAATGCATCGTCACCCTGAAACGCATTAGACGAAAACACCATCTCACAAAAGTTTACACGAAGTCTAAAAGAGCGGAAAAATCAGCTGACGTGGTTCAAATGTGTGTTTGAAAAGTTGGTAGCGCTGTGAACTGCGCACTAAATGAGCTCAATCAGAACGCTGAGCCGAACAAAGTTTGACAAACCGGGACCGGGACCCAAACCCATAACGAGTCCTTTTCCTCTCGAGCTCTGTGCGTTAAGTTATTATCAGTGATCAATTGGGCTAAAGGCAACGTGCTTTCCTTCATTTGTGCATCGTATGATAAAAGATGGTGTTGTGTACGCATTTAATTTGTACTTTCTATCAAGAATCATCCGTCAATTTTGCATGGGAAGTTAGACTGGATAGCTTTTGATAGTTGGTGGGATGTTTCTTTAGTCGCTTGTGGAACGAACATTATTCCCTAGCGGAGGACGGAGCCGGATATTTAATATCTCGTATCTCCAGCACATGACAGCGCTGCATGAAAGCCTCGAGAAACGATCTCATCGGTCGGGCAGCACTGCGCCAGCACGGCGATTCAACGGAGACCACGGCTCTCGCAGCGCTAGAGAAAGTCTTCTGACCCGGTACATACATCCTCCAGCGATTTACAGCACAGGCCGAAAGAGCTCGGATATAACGCCACATCACAACAGCCGGCAGAGCATATCGCATTCGAGCAACTCCCCATGCTTCAATTTCAACCCAGCCGGAAATCCCAGCACTTAACTCAGCCGGACCAGGTTCGTGCACATTAATTGCTTCCATTAACATATATGCATGAGGCACTCTGGTATTTTGCATTTTACGTCGGATTCTCATTATAATGTTCCTCCTAAAATCGATGTCCCGACAACGAGCCCAGGAAATACGCTGTCACTGACAGACGCCTTCGCATTTCAGCTTTCGCTTTATCATCTAAACCCTATTAAAACTACGTGGAACTCGACGAACAACGCCAATTCTTAAACCGAAACTTTCCAATGGGAGCTTTGACCCAAAGGAGATTATCGATAAACGGCCATTAACACCTGACTGGCTGCCGGGTCGTCCCTCCTCCCACCCTCCTCTGCCCAGGCTCCCATCCCACCCCGGCTCCCGCCGTCGGCTGACCCACCTCTCCCATCCCACCCCGGCTCCCGCCGTCGGCTGACCCACCTCTCCCATCCCACCCCGGCTCCCGCCGTCGGCTGACCCACCTCTCCCATCCCACCCCGGCTCCCGCCGTCGGCTGACCCACCTCTGCCATCTGCGCCACCAGGCTGCTGCTGGCGGGGTCGGCCCCGCCCGCCCCGGCGCCCGCCGCCGGCCGCGCCGCCCCCGCCGACAGCCCGTTGGCGGGGCCGGCCGGCCGTCGGCGGTCCAGTTTGCGCTTCAGCTGTGCGAAGGCCTCGCGGGTTCTGCGGGCCTCTTCCTCCCGGTTGGAGAGCGGCCGCTCCTTGGGGCCGGACACCGGCGGTCGGTCCCGGTCAGAGCCGGAGGCTGCCCGGCCCACGGACCGCGGCGAGCCAGACCTGCAGAGGCGACAACGGGAGACCGTCAGAGGGGGCTGACACGGGCTGAATGTATACAGGGCCTCGTTTCATAAAAGGAATTACTTACGGCGTTCCGTCAATTATGCCAGATTTGGCGTATTTGATGCCAATTCGGTTTCATAAAGCCGGAGACCGGAGTAATTCACGCCATCGAAATAACGGAGCTTCATTTACGGCAAATGCTCGATTCCGGACCAATTGATGCCATTTGGGTTTCATAAAACGACGTAATTAACGCCAAATATTTTATCAAGCTCTTGATATCGGTGGTGTAAACTACGCACAAAAATGTTGCGTGAATTTGAATTAATGTGAAGATTCGAAGCTAATTTTTAATATATTTTATAATGTTGAGCCCGGTGAGGAAGAAAGAACAGCCAAAATGAGAAAAAGAAACCGCATATCTTCCGTACCAGTCGCTTTTTGTGGCCGCTATCGGAATTTTGTTTATTCGCCGCGCCGCGCCACTTTCGTAGTTAGGCACTTCTGCTTAGCTGGCTTTCTGCTGTTTTCAATATATTGATTTAATAAAGGATGGTCATCAATATCAATTTTGTTTTTTCATAAATAATTTTTTAAGATTTAAATTCAACATAATTGTTTTATAATTTCTCGTAAAAAATAAGTGTTGACATGAAATTGTAATTTTGTAGGACGCTTGATAAATTACGGTAACTACGCAAATGTGCTTAGTTACGGAGGTGTAAACAATTCCAGTTGTGGCTTTGTGAAACGGCTTCATTTGCGCTCCGTAGTTTGAAAGGGTGTGAATTACGGAAAGGTGTAAGTTACGGCAGAGCTTTATGAAACGAGGCCCAGGAGCACGAACAAACGAATCTGATCGTAAGTATCGTAACGAAGGGTCTGATACAAAATGGCAAAATGATGTTCACGGATTCTGTCAACATATAATACAGTTCACGTAACTTGGCAATCAAATGAAATGGCACCCTAGTCTTACTACACTACCAACAGCTTCATAGGCAGCAATCAGCTTATCATCCCGCGTCCCGCCCCTTTACAGGCATATACACAGTAACGATGTAGAAACAATCCCTCCACCCTCCCCGCCACTGAGATTTCCGCCGTAGTTACCTGGAGGAGGCGGCGGACCCGGAGCGGGATCCGGACCCGGAATCGGAGCCGGACTCGGATCCGGAGCCGGACGCCGATCTGGACCGGGACCGGGATCCGGCCGGTGACCAGGCTGCCGACGGTACAGGCGTGGGGGACGTGACGCGGGGGGTGCTACCGGCCGTCTCTGCAGCCGGCGCCGGCTCCGTCTCCGCGGGCGCGGCCGACTCCTCGCCAGGAGCGGGGTCCGCAGCGGGGTGCGCCGGTGGAGAGCCGGCTGCTATGGGCACCTCCCGTGGCTGAGAGAGCCGCCTCTCCGGCGAGTCCCCGCCGGTCAGGTCACTGAGGAGCGGAGATACAGGTTAGGTCAGGTCACCAGACAAACCAATTACGTAATTCAGAAAGACACAATATTTACCATGGTACCAGCTTTGTCTCGACCCACACATCACCATCAGGGCAGATGCGAAACATTGAGACGGCCCGCTCTCCAGGTTGGTATGCGTGATTCGGCCAGGAGATGTAACAAAGCCCGACCCTTACCCTACCTCTGGCTGAGCAGGGTCCCCACAGCTCCAAAGTACACTCTTTACGAGCTGCTCGTCACACTCACATCACATCGCCAGACGGAGCGACGACCGGCGCCGGGCTCACAGCCACCTCCGAGATGGACGGCTCACGGTCCAGGCGGGCGGCCGAGCGACTGCGGGACCTGGCAGCGGCGTCATACCAGTGTTAACGGAGGGACCCAGCGGACGGTCAGCCACTCAGCGAGGCAGTCAGCGAAACACGAGCGCTACGGGCGGCCGTATGGACAATCCAAGCGACAGCAGGCGGGCTCGAGAATGTTGCACGAAAAGGTAGTATGATTGATGGAAGAATAAAGGCATGCCTGACTGATAGGCTTCAGGTCTGTACCTGGACGCTAGAGTACACTAACATATCTAGTTAAGAGTACTTAAACATTAATGGTTTGATGAGAAAGAGTACAGCCCAGACAGTACACGAAATGACAGCCTTGCAAAGAACTCATTACCGAGCTAATACGGAATTATTCAATTCATCAAGCGCTTTTCCCTTAGCAGTAACGTACGTACCTCTTTGATCGTTTGCTCTTCTTTGACTTGTGTTTATGTCTCTTTGATGATCGCGATCTCTTCCGCTTGCTTCGTGCCGGAGATCTAAAAATGAAACATAAAACGGATAAGTAAGCGATCCAACTAACTCACCGATTCTTAAACGACGCCAAAATAACGCGGGTCAGTCGCTAATGTATTGTATGTATTGTACTGCATCGCACACATCGTGGCAAGCCGATCCATCCGAAAATGGCTATTATGGTCAGCCAGGCTCGGTTCACTAGGAACAGTCACCCCAGGAGTAATGGCGAGGGTAGGACGACCACCTACCGTGACGGTTCGCGTCGGGCCGACCGTCGCCAGCGCGACTCCTCCTCTACCGGTGTGATCTCGGACGACAGCAGTCTACCGGCAGCGGGGGACACACAGTCAGTGGTCAGTCAGTCGGGTCACACGTCCTCACGGACACGGACATTTAACTGCATCTCAGGTTAAACAAATATGATGGAGCAGTTACTTGAAACTAGAAATTGAATTCGGCCTAGCCCTTTTCACCTTCCTACCTTTTGTAGGAGGCCGGCGGGCTGCGCGGCCTCTTCTTGTGTTTCTTGTGCCGGCGCGGCGAGCGGGAGCGGACGGGAGAGAGGGACGCCGGTCGCTCCTGCTCGCTGCCCGAGTCGCCCTGTCCCCGTCGCCGCCGGTGTGAGGAGCGCTTCTTGTGCCTCCTCCGGTGGCGGCGCTCCTCCCTGCGCTCCCGGCTGTCCGCTCGCCGCCGGCTGCCGGTGGGCTCCCTGCTCTCCGCGCGCCGCCTTCTGTGAGCCGGGCTGTCCCGACTGTCCCGTCTGCTCAGAGCGGGGCTGTCCCGACCGTGTCGTTTACTGGGCGCGGGACTGTCCCGACTGTGCCGTTTACTGAGCACGGGACTTTCCCGACTGTGCCGTTTACTGGGCACGGGACTGCCACGGCTTTCTCTCTTGCTCGCACTCCGATCTCTCTTGTCCCGTTTGCTGACGCTGCGACTCCGGCTGTCCCGTTTACCGACGCTCCGGTCGCGGCTGTCTCGCCTGCTGACGTTCCGGTCCCGGCTGGTGCGCCGTCCCGTTTCGGGGCTGCTGTCCCGCCGGCTGGCGGGGCTGCTGAGACGACTGTCGGAGCCGTCACCGTCGGCACTGGCGCCACTGCCGGACGGCAGCTCCGGAACAGAGTGGGGCGAGTCTGCGGACAGGGGTGGAACGTCACAGTCAGAAACCGGTGACATCAGACAGTAGGAAATGGATTAGCGACATCCTTTAAAATAACGCTGCCTTACTTACATCACAATATAGCGAACCGAATCACTACCTGAAAATATCGTCGTGCCCGCAGCTTTTGCACTCCACTCACCGGAGTCCACCAGTTTGTACTTGTCCAGATCCGCCTCGTCCCCCGAGTCTTCCTCTTCCTCCTCTGTCTGCGCTCGGGAGGGAGGACCCTCCGCCGCGGCCGGCGGTTCCGAGCCGCCTCCCGGGTCCTCCTCAGAGCCGGACGGCAGCGGACCCGGTGGCAGCTGGGGACCTAGAGAGGGGACCCAGGGTCAGAATTGAACGAAAAACCGGTAATAATATCTGAAATAAAATCAACTTTTACTTACTTCATGCAGTCACCATACGATGAAGCAGACTTAAGGTCAACAGCTTTCCAGGAAGATTACGCAGAGTGGGTACCCAGAGTTCACGTTACCTATGACTGGCTGTTTGATCTTGTCCACGTCCTGCCGGAGTTTGGCCAGGAACTGGGCGGCGCGCCGTTTGCGGTCCATCTGGATCTCGTCCCTGCCGACTCCCGGCGCGGGCGCGACAATCGGCACCTGTCGAGACTGCCGTTTGGTCGGCTCGGGACGCGCCGCCGCTGCCGCTGCTGCCGGTGCTGGTGCTGGGGTCACCGCAACGGCCGCAGCAGCTGAAAACAAGTAAAAGATGTCAGCCGCCAGAACTCGAAGACCAACAAACATGCATGCAAGGCTCGTTAGTGTCGCAACCGTCGCACCTTCACCAAACTCATTGTTCTGTGCTCACATCTCAGGCAACTATTCTCCAGGTCGTACCTTTGTCCGGTCGCGAGCCGCCGTTGGCCTCCGCGGTGGCGCCGGCCGCGGCGGCCGCTGGTGAGGTCTGCGCGCCTCCCTCCTCTCCCTCCTCGTCCTCACTCTCCTCCAGAGGCAGAGCGCTGCGCTCCAGCGGCGCAGAATCCTTCTCAGACTTGGCGCGGATCGAGAACGACACCGGCACTGGATCGAACGAAAACTCGGTCAGAATAAATTCGGCACATATAATTCCTCAGCGCAGAAAACGATTAGCAATGTGATTCATAGCATGCTCAAAAATAAGAAAACAAAGCAGGTGATAGCATCTGTCACACAGCTAACAAAATAACCAGGCTTTGAACTGATGAAAAGCACCATTGCCAACTACGTAGAAAAATACACAATTTTCTCAAGTTCAGGAAAAAAATAACGAATTCACCGAAATACGAACAACAGTATTTTTTGTGATATCACTAACCGGGTTTGTTTCCCTTGTCCTCAGTAGTTTTGGCTGCGGCCGGTGCTGCCGTTGTCGCCGCCGGCTTTGACTTTCCCAGGTCCCGTTCATACTGCTCCAATTTGTGGCGGTAGTAGGCGTGGTGGGCGTGCGAGTCGCGCAGGAAACTGAACCGCTCGTCGCCTGGAAAACAGTTCGGGAGCAGACGCCATAAAGGTGTTATAATGCAGGCAGGGTCAGATCACACATCTACATTTCCTTATTACTTGGTGTTAAAAAAGAGGCATCAAACGATTACAAATGCAAAATACGCAGCACATGGCGGGAATCGTTGTGCAGCCGCCGTTACATCGTACGCCACTCACCGCGTCCCATCACGATGCCCTCGAAATCTCGGCCGTTCTTGGCCACATAGCTGGCCATTTTGTCGATGATCAGTTTGACGTCGGCCGGCGGCAGGGCGGGGGCGGTGGCGGGGGCGGTCCGCCCGGCCGCCTCCCGAGGACCGGCAGCGGCGGCCGGCGAGCCCGCGCGGCCCGCTGACGAGTCGGCGGCGGAGGCGGAGGGGGCGGCGGCGGGCACAGGGCTGGAGGTGCCGCTGCCGGTCGGACTGTCGGCAGCCTGGCGCGACGAGCGGATGTTCTTGACGAGTCGCTGGTAGGCGCAGTTGGCGGACGGCTGGTACATGCCGTCCGCCCGACCCGGAGCCTGGCCGTGGGCACAGAGGTGGTGCGGCGTTAGAAATTTTGATAATCATATTTTTGTCCCTAGTAAAAAAGTTATGTCCCTTATCAAGAGTACAACGCCTCACAGTATGTGACAACGCACAATCTGACATAGACTAAGCACTTTCCCCATACTTTTTTTTAAATCCCTAGATAAATTGCATCAGAAACCCAATGCACGCACATATTTTAAAAAATGTAGAAAATGATGAGAGAGTGCAGCAACAGCTCCGTATTTAAAGAAGACTTGGCCACAACCCAACCTTGGCTCTGACTCACAATGTCCGGGCGACTGAGGTTCAGCGCCGGGTGAAGGTACGCCTCATCCTCTTCCTCTTCTGAAACAAAAAAAAAAGGCTTGACATCACACAAAACTACACCGACAACACTTATACGCAAACATCGAAACAACGCCATGCCTAACAGTCAAATGCATATCGCATATGTTCACATCACATGCATGAGAGCTTCGCATTCATGAAAGTAAAACTATCCGCCTGCACCGCTCGCGCGCGCCGCCCGGAGCCGCCGCCACGTACCGTTGGGTTTCGGCGCGCCGATGGTGTACCGCCCCGCCTTGATCATCACCACCATGTGTCGAAAGAACGGCTGAAGCGGGTCGTCGAACGCCAGAAAGTCGAACATGGCGTTCTCAGACTGTTTGGCCTTGATGAGGATCTCCATCTGCGGCCCCTGACGCGCCACGAACAGCGCCGTTCGCTCGATGATGTCCGCGTGCCGCCGCGTCGCCGGCTGCCGGGCACCGTCAGAAGTTACACAGTGCCCGGTGCCGAGCGGACTGGGAGGGACGCAGACTGAAGGTTTGCTGCTCAAAGCCAGGATTGTCGTATTAGGGAACCTCTTTGTCGTGTTAACCCGCGCCCTGCTGGGGGTCCTGGATTTCCACGCCCTGCTGGGGGGGGGGGTGTTTGAACACCCCCCCTTGTAACTCGGCTCCTGGGCCACGTAGCGATACGCGGAAGGCGGCGTTCGAAAGAGCGTAAAAAATAATGACGAAATCACTTCGGTCAATTTTTTGGTCAGGTCAAAGGTCAGGTCACCAGAGGTCATTGAAGGCAAAATTTCGCCGATTTCCAGGTCGAATGTCGAAAATTTCCAAGAAGCCAACGCATAACTCGGGAACCAATAGAGCTACAGCGCCGCGGAAAAGCGCATTCGATAGCCCTATTAACGCCCTTTCTGAGTAATTCTCTCAGATTTGACCTAACGTCAACGGTTTTGCCTGCAGGGGGCAAAAACTGCAAAAATAGCCGATATTTTCGAAAACAGTTTTTCTGCAATAACTTTTGACCCAAGCCTTGTACGAGCTTACTTTTACCGGCATCGTGTTCCTCTCGTCAAGACGCATCGAATGAACTATAACTTGACCTTGAAAGGTCAACTTGAAAATTTGACCTCAGGTCAAGGTCATGACCTGACCGGAAAGGGTCATGTTGCATATCAGTCGATCCGTATCGTCGAGCTGAACACATCTAAGGCGTTTTCATCGCTCTAGCATGCCTCTATCAAAAGTTATTTGCGAAAAACTGTTAGATACCATTCGTGACCTAAGATGACCTCAGGGCATAAACAAGGGTCACGGACACCATTTTCATGTTCAGTGTGTCTAAACCACTTGTAATTCGGTGTTTGGGAGTGTGTATAATGTCTTTCATCCAAAAGAGGCGCATTTCAATTTTCTCCCATTGACTTATAATGGGGAGGTCGCAAAATTGACCTGACCTTAGGTCATCGATATCAAAATTCTGAGATATACATTTTGTACATGCTATTTCTCTGAGCAATCGCTGAAAGTTTCAAAGCGATCGGTCACTCGGTGTAGCTATGACAGACATTGAAAGTTTTTATGAGGTGAGGTCACTTCAAGTGACCTGGTGACCTGACCTTGAATGACCTTGGTCTGAAATTTTCACAACATGTGTAGAATTGATGTATGATAAGGTGTACCAAAAACGGCGGCGCTCCGCGCCGCCGTTTTTGAGATATTCGCGAAAAACCACAAGGGGGGGTGTTCAAACACCCCCCCCCCAGCAGGGCGCGGGTTAAAGCTAAGCAACTGCGTCAACGGTTTTACCGCAATGGTTTAGGAGATCAGGGACACAGTTGGTGTTTCCAGCGTAATGTCACAGCCCCGGTCCCCGTTTTCCGGCCCAGCCCCACCTGCGCCATGTCAGCGGGCACGTTAAGCGACGTGGGCGGCTCGTAGGGCTCGTCGTCCACGGCCGGGATAGCTGCGGCGGCAGCAGCCACCGCCTCCGGGGCAGCCCCGGCGCCGCCGGCCGCCGGCGCAGCGCCATAGCTGAACCCGATCTGGTTGTAGCGGCCAGAGTCGCCGGCCAGCGACTGAAGACGCTTCCACTCCTCCTCTGCCAGAGTCGGGGACAGGCCGGAGGGCGACGGTCATTCAGAGGCTAATAAGCGACGCCCCAGATAATATGCATTGTAGGTACAGTTGTTTATGTCATACAAAACAACAAAAATTACGAGAGCGGAAGACCTTTGAAGGCTAGCAAACACGCCATTTACGTTACGCAGCAGGCGAACGAGATAGCTATAACCGACTGTTATACTGGGTTTAACGGGCCAGTAATTTGTTAGCCATCGGTGTCAGTCGTCACACCTGTGGCCGGCACCGACCTTCGAGCATGCGCTCCTCGTCCTCGTCCTTGTAGAGGGCCATGTAGCGCTCCTGGTCGACCACCTCCTCCAGTTTGCGCTCGCGCTCGGTGAGCCCCTGCCAGCGGTCGTAGCCGCCGGGCGGCGGCTCGTGCGGCCGCAGGTCGGAGAGAGCGCCACGCCCGTCATACCTGCAGCAGAGGCGGCGCGTCACACGACAGCCGGAAGGGAAGGCGCCGCGCGCAGACGGGTGACGGAGGGGGACACATGGTACAGAGGCAGCGGCCGGGACGCACCGCCGGGGGTCAGCTGGGTATGTACAGGGATAACCGGGTGGTCAGGGATAGCAGCACTGAGGAAAAGCAGCGATCGTTTAGACCGAAATACGGCCCCTGTTCGTCCCGACAACGCGCTGAAAACGGATGCAGTCAAAGTCAATCAGAAATGCTAGCAGTCGCCTGCGGCGGTCGGTAGTAGCCAAGCGTGTACGAATGACATGATAAATCGCAAAATAGGTAATTGTCAAATCGATCATTAGATGGCAAGCAAAGAAAAAAAAAGTACTGGCCACTCAAAAGTAAAATAGCCTTTTCTAACAGGTACCTTGAAGTTTGATAAGAAACAGCTACTTACCAATGGAAGACATGCGACATGACATTTGTCTACAAGTGTGAGTGTGTTGTTTACAGAAAACAACAAGTTGTCGAGCAGCTGAAAATGTTTTAAGCAAAACTGTTATGCTTACTCAGTTAACAGATAATGACCAAAGACAAACCAAATTATACTTCTTACAATGCCCTTTGCTCAATCATTAGCAGTGATTCAACTGGGTCACATCGTTTAGATGGAAATGCAGCCTGAACATGTGGGGACTAAGTGGGATGAGTAACAAGTTCTGAAGAACAGACGCTATAATCATCCAGCAATGAAATGGTGTTACAAAATTCGCCTATCTTAAGCCTATTTCCTCCCATACTTACCGAAGATACCCTCATACTTACCGTCCTTACCCATACTACACCCCTGCGCCCTGCCTCAGCAGGCCCGCCGCTCCTCAGGTCGGCGCTGTAAAGGCTGTGCAGGATCGGTACGCAGACTGTGGACAGTGCACGCCTCCCGCGGTCAGAACATCACAACAGCTCAGTCAGGTACGAACCTAAGCCGGCATGGATCGCCAGCACCGTCTCTCCCGCTCGCTCAGAGCGCGGCCGCAGGCCAATGAAGCTCGCACCAGCGCACACCACATGATAATCGCGGCATACTTCTTCGGTAGCGCGGCACTTGTGTTAGGAGGTGGTGAGGGAAACCAACGGACCTGTCAATCTTCAATGTTTCGTCCGCCATCCAGGGTATGAGGTGTTTGCCGCTGTCGATGAACAGCGCCTTCTCGTCGTCCCTGAACAGCTTGCAGGCGTATCCGAAGACTAGCAGCTCTTCTTCGCGCCCTTTCTCCGCTGGCACCTCCATGGTCGCGCCCTCAGTGGTGTACAGGCTGACAGTCACAGTCCAGCAGAAACAGTGTGTCCCTGAAAACCAGACAGAATATTTCAGTATTTGATCAACTTGGATGTATCTTGCATGTGACCTGCAATTCCATTGATATATATCGATGTAGCACCTATAGATGCCATCAGAAATGTTATGTTCTCGACAAAAATATCCTTCAAAGTCCAACAACTGGGACATTCAGGTTTTCATAATAGGTAGATATGTGATAACAATGTATTCTAGTCCCTATATATCAAACATCCCACTATAGATTCAAGTACCTAAATGCTTTTGAAGCCCAGATTTTTAGCCTTAAGATTGTTCAGACATCAGTGGCTATTTTCACTGGCATAACTGTCAGCTTGCTTTATTTTCTTAACCTCTCAGCTTGGTCAACAGAAAAAATGAAAATTGACTTCGCTGTTGTATCCTGGCAAGTGTCTCATCAAAATATTCTGCTCTCCAAGGCCTACAGCCTGACCAGAGATGCGACAAACCAGAGTTATTGGAAAGGGCACTGGGCGAGGCTCTTTATGAATTCACTCACTGATAGACCCAATTACTTATATGCACAGTTTCCTAAGCCTGCATATGATGCTGAGTACCCACTCCGAAATAAATGTTGCACTATACATATTAGGTATGGTTTATGATGATTGAAGATGCCTTATTAGTAATTACAGCCATAATATGTAGGCATTGTATTAAGTGAGCTCAGAGCTGTGTCTCTACCTGAGACTGCAAATCTTTTAATCAGGGTTCTTACAGTACAAACTCCTTTAATATTTTCTAACCTTATTGTAGGCTCAGAATAGGAATGGGAACCCAACCAACCAGGTGAGTTAATGAGAGATGTGAAACCTTGCATGGCAGAACTTTCTGTTGGTTGTGGAATAGGCCTCAGGGCACTGGGCATTAGTAGAGCAGACATCACACAAAAGTTTTCCAACCAAGAAGATCATTGCACTGTAGGTTTGTAGGTTAGATTAGGTCAGGTCAGGTTAAGTTAAAGGGGACTTTTTCTGCACAATTGCCAACAAGTCAGCATCCTGGACAAATCTTTGCATGCATGACTGTCTTCAATCAGAGTAAATGGAATAAAGGTAACATAGCTGACCTGGCCTAACCTAAACAGACATGTTTTAACCCTCATTTGTGATTTGACCATGTGCAGAAGAAGAAAATACATTAAGTAACATCATGGATGAAATATTCCTGGATAGGACACTCCCTATTCCCCAATACTAGCGCCGGCGACCAAGCGGCCGCCCTGGTGGCGGAGCTCCGAAACATCGGCGGCGAGTGCGCCGGCGGCCGCCGCACCGGCTTGCGTGCTAAAAACGCGGTAATGGAGGGCGAAATTAGCGAACCTTAGCTCATAAGACACGATTTCAGAGACTTCACACATATTTTAAGTTCTTTCTTATAATTATTATGGCTCCATTTAGTCACTATCACATACGGAATCATTACTTGATGCTCATAAACTGAGCTGGTATCCTCGACTTGCCGATGCAATTTATCATCAAATATCATCGTTCCTCGGCAGTCAAACAAGTTCCTATTGATGATTTAATACAAATATCAACTTATTTTCATGTTATCGCATGAAACTTCACTTTATTCTAACATTGGCTCTTCGGCTGTAATCACGAACCCTCACTTGTCAGCAGAATTTAAGCAACTTCTGAAATCAAAACTGGGAAAAGAATATGTTCATGACATTCCTCAATTCCTGTTCTACCAGGTTCACAAAAATTGTCATCAAAATCGGTTACAGGTAAGTAGTAAACGACAAAAGTATACAAAAAGACACGCTCCGCCCATAGCCCGCAATGCTAAAATGGCGCCAGCGCCCTCGCCGTCGGGAAATCCGCCGCCGCTGCCGGGTGGTCGGAAAATCAGTGGAGTGTCCCATCCAGGAATACCTAATCCATGGTAACATGATGGAATATTTGCGGCAGCAAACATTAAAGGGACCCTCCCACCTTAACATTAGTTTTGAGTTGAGATAGCCAAGTTTGCGGCCAGGCTCAGAATCCACCATTTATCCTGGTCGCAACCCCCGCAGCTTTATGGTGTTCAAGAAATTTCTTCCCTTTACTTGCAGGGTGGGACCAGCGTGGTCCCCATCTCTTAACCATTACGGGAATCTGATGACGTCATCAGGCTTTCGAACGTCCGTTAAATGTTTGACTAAAACGTTTTGTAGCACGCGGTGGTATATGCTGCTTTGCGCGCAACAAATGCCGCACTTTCAAACAAAGTCGCTAGGAACAGCGGAGATCCCAAAAAGTAAACAAAAGTAAAAGTCTAATATCTTGAAAACCGGTGAATATTTTTCGATGAAATTTGGTAGAAATTTGTTTTTGCTCTTTCTGAACCGAGCGACATCACTTTCATGCCAATTCATTAACTTTTTTGAAGGTGGGAGGGTCCCTTTAACCTGATTATCTTCACAAAGTGTTTGCTCACATGGCAATGTTTCATTGAACATATGTATGTTGCAATTTACATCCTGAATAATAAAATTTAAAAAAGCAAAAAAACAAAGAATGTAAAATGATTTTCGTTCATACTTTGGCGCATGCGCGACATATACGAACGACGCTAAAACCAGTAATATCACAAAAAGTGCGCATGCTATTGACATATAATAGCTTTGAATAACAAGATATTCACGCCGTCTCATATCTACCCTAAATCTGTTTTTACCAACCTCAGATGATTGGCCAAAGCTTAGCACCGAGATCCACACACATTGGAGTCTGAGCGTACCACAAGCTAATAATAATAATAAATCCAAAATGAAAATAACAGCTTCAGGTGAATAATTACGTCACTAGTTCTGCAGACGCTTTTGCATCATGGTCCGTGCTCTTCATATCTATGGTCCGTGCAGTATCATCACGTGTCGTGTTGGTTGACTTGAAAAGTATGAAAACAAGTTGGTTCAGAGCTTTTTTAATGATTAATCATAAACTGCTTTATTTTACTTATTTTTCACTCAAAGCTACAAAAGTGGCCAGTGAGCCCGATGACCTCCCGTCCCGTAGGTAGTTGATCATTCCGTAGGTATACAGAACACACGTATCGTTCTGAATCGTTCTCATTCCGCAGACACAGGTATCTGTACACCCTGACGCGTATCGTCCCATCGACATTCTACATACATACCCTAGTGCCATCGTCCCAGGACCTACAAAAAAGAGCTGCCGTGCTGCTTTCAATCTGTCTAGCTAGGCTGTGTGCAGTGATTCATCAGCACCACTACAAAAATCGCTTGCCTATCTCCGTGCTTCGGAGACGTCCTTTGATTCTGGTAGAGTAGAAAAGTTCAGAAGCTTTCGTGTGTATTATGAAGAGTAGGATGACAAAACATGTGATCCCAATGCGACTCTGATCTAAATGCTGACAAAATGTCATCTACATCGGCGCGAGGGTAACGTGCCTGCGTCGGCCCTTTGCTCAAATGAACAGGTGATAAAGTGGGTAAGACCACAATCACAAATATGCTGTCCAATGCCGTGAAGCGTCGACGAAACGGTGAACCATCTGTGCCACTTTCAAAGGCACACCTGCTGGTGTGAGTGGTGTCTGCAAGAAAGGCAGAATGCCCCACTCCATCGAACAGCCAGTTTTGTCGCCTTGACACATCTGCTGTTGTTCTCGCACATCGGAAAAGAGTGCGATGCATCACCAAAGCAGACAGACAGTCGACTGACCGACACCGAATCACGCAACGTCGCGACGCATTACCGGCATCCTTATCCGCGCATCTCGCAGTACGCAAACCTAGGTGACGCTCTACTGGTCAGCAAGCGATGACAAAGCCCGCCCCGGTGCTCGAACGACCAATGACTGATTCCGGCCGCTGGCAGCTACTTCGCGGCACTGCAGCCCACCGATCAGGCCCACAGCACCGGGCGGCGGCGGCGGCGGCGCTCAGCGGCGGTCGCGGTGCCGACGCTCGCGGCTGCGCTCACGCCGGCTGGACGTGTGTCGCAGGAACTCCTCAACGGAGCGGTCGTACTCGGACATGCGGCGCTCGGCGCGGCTGGGCGCGGCCGGCGGCGGCGGCACGAACTCGGGCAGCGGCGGTCCGTCGTAGTAGCGCGGCGGCGCCAGCGGGTCGAACAGAGCCGGCGGCGGGTACGGCAGCGGCGGCAGCGGGCCGCCGCGCGCCGCCAGCTCACGCATCAGCTCCGGGTAGATGCGCGGCACCGGCTCGCGCGGCGGGTAACGAACCGGCGAGCGCTCGTGTGGCGGCGGCCGCTCGCGCGCGTACGGGTGGTAGCGCGGCGGTCCCGAGTCGCGGCGCGGCGGCGGCCGCGGGTAGTGGTCCTCGTAACGCGGCCGCCGGCTAGGCAGCCGCGGCGGTTCGCGGGGCGGCGCGCGGGGCCCGCCCCGGCCGCGGAACCCACCGCGCTCGCGGAAGTCGCGGCGGGCGCGGCGCACCGGGATGGGTGCCGGCATGGTGAGCGGCTTGCTCGTCTTGACGGTGCGGCTGGCGCGCTTCGAGTCCAGCAGGATCGGGTTCATGTCGATGGTGAGATCACGGGCGAAGCGGCGGCACAGCTCCTCGGCGACTCGCGGCTCCACCTCCTGGCCGTCGCGGCCGATTTTCACCGGCTTCCCGTTGTTCCACGGGTTATACAGGTGCGCTGTCTTGGGGAACGGCAGCTCGTTGCGGTTGATCCAGGCGACGCGGAACACGCCACCGAGCGCTCGCGCCGGTAGTCCCGGTGGCAGCACCCAGTTGACGGGAGACAGGTCGCGGCGCGACTCGTTAGAGATGCGGCAGAACCCGCAGAAGCGGCCGCTCTCCTTCACTGAGAATATAAGCAGCACGTTGCGGGACTCGCGGAACGCCTGGTTCAGTTTGGCCTCGTTCTGCGGGGGCGTGCTCCATACACCGCGCGCCTTGGCCAGCGTCACGTTCTCCTCGTTGTTGGATTTGATTATGAAGAAGCGCGCGTCACGGAACAAGTAGTTGAGCTTGGTGAGGTAGCTCTCGCGGCTGCCGGAGGTGGCGCCGGCCGCGGCAGCCGTCTGCCCATTGGTCGTCTCCTCGGCGGCGGCTGTGGCGGCTGTGGCGGCGGCCGGTGGCGCGCTCTTGGCCTCCCTCTCGTCCTCGGAGGTGACGCTCGGCTCGGAGCCGTCCTCGTCCACGTCCACGCTGAGCTCCGAGTGGAGCGACTTGGACGAGCCGCTGCTCACCTCCGAGCGCGTGTCGTAGTTATCGTCGGCGGCGGGCGCGGCTGTAGCGGCCGGCGGCTCTCCGCCCGTCTCCTCCGACACGGGGTCTGCAGCAGCGTCCACCTCCATGGCCGCTCACCAGGACAGCTGCTCTGTAAGGGGCGGGCGGAGGGGGGACCTTAGTCGGCGGGCGGGGATATCGGCGGACTAGGAGGGTGCATCCCACACGGACAGATGGTTCGGAGGAGGAGCATCCTCGGAATCGGCAGCTCTGGATTCCATTGGTATTGGAAGCCTCGATTAAGAAATTTCTTTAGACGAGCCAGCTGTGATGAATACGATGCAAATCGAGGCGCAAAAAATGTCTTATTTCAGCAATAAGGTTACCTATCATAATGGTGTAAGGCAAGAAAAGGATGAGGAACGATTTGTTAAACGGTCCTACTGAATTGTCTTTTAAACCTTCTGAGAATTGTTGGATTAGAAGTTAGTGCACCGTACATTTGTCGGAGTAGTGATTTAGGTTATTTATTATAAGCTAGAGAAAAACCTGTAAAAGAAACACTGAAAGCAGAAATTTTGACGTCGCAAAGCCATTCAGAGTAATATCCTGCTGACATTAGGTAAAAGTGTAGAGTATAATGCGTTCAGCTGATGAGCATATATTGTTGGTTTTTAATGTAAGGGCAAAATTGAGCGCGTCAGAGAGTGTGTGGAGCGGCGGGCCGGAGAACCAGAGTGCGCGTTAGGCCAGTCCGCCGTATGTTTGCCTCCGGCGGGAAAGGCGTGCCCGCCGGGTGAAAGGCAGCGGCTGGCCGGCACCTTGGACTCGCGGGCCCGTCTCTCGTGGCATTTGCCAGTGCGGTGTCGTCGGGGCAACATCTTTCGGTAAGCGAACTTTTCCCTCCCCCCTAAATTAATGCCGCAGCGCCCAGGCGCTGCGGAAGTCCCCGACAAATGTCCTGGATTTTATTTGGCGTTCCGACCCGCCGCAAATAGCGGTGGGCACCCCCGTTATATCCAGGGCCGTCTCGTCTAAATTATGTTCATCGGCGCGGCGCGTAGGGTAAATGAGCGAGCGATTGAAAGTGTGATGTGTGCTGTGCGCGTGAGCGATGGAAGTTGAGGAGTGATCATTTTATCCCGTAAATCTAAAATACATAGAGTTCGGAATGTGAGCGAAATATTTCAATGGGGTAAAGGCAGATGCCGGGCTGATACACGGTGAACGTGAACGAACAATCATACGGGCCGCTTAGTTTAATACACCCGGGTGGCAGGCGGGCATTGTAGAGTAACTTTGATTAACGTAATGTCTGTACATGGGGGGAACCAATAAAAGGTTGCAGGTTCCGATGCGAGAAACCCCTACATTAATTGAAATCCCTACGTCATATTTTTAGTTTAAAAAAAATCAGTTTAATGTTTTGTCTAGTTCCACTTACTTACCTGCGCCTCTGAAAGAAAGTATGTTCATGAGCAGCATAAGACAAGCAATGCAAACACTGATCAAATGAAGTTGTTTTTCAGAAAATCAAAATGAAGGAAAAAGCAAAACTATTATAGAACCTCATTTCAGCAGCTATTGAACACAGAAAAGGAAGTTGTTAAACTTAACAGGACAAACATTTGCATATGCCATAGACAATAGACAGCACAGACGAAATGCCTGCTGTCAAGGTCGCCTTGCATTTAGGTACTTAAGTTGAGTACATTGAAACATAGCCTTGATTGAAACATTCCTGGATCAAACGTAAAAAGTTCGATTAAGAAATAACCGTTGATACAGCTGGCGAGTTAGTTTTTTACAACTGCAAAAAATATACTTTACAATATCATAAAATAAATAATATGGTAGTAAATGATAACAAGTGACTTCCAACAAAATAGTGGCAGAAATTGTGAAAGAGGTCACTGGTGCACACATTGTTACAGCCATCGTGTGGTGCGGTCAACAGACACCACCACTCGTCTCCACCGGTCCCAGAGAGTCCGTCCCGGCACTGGGTGAGGCGGCCGGCGTCCACTCGGCGCGGCACACACTGGTGGCGGCGTGCCGTCTCCACTCACTCGCCGCCGCTGGGCGCTAGTCCGACAGTCCCGCGCCGCCGGGCGCCGCCGCCCGGCCGGCACACAGTCCAGCCGCAGCCGGCGCGGGCCGAGCCGGCCAACAGATACGGGTGTGTCGGGGGCGGGGGCCGGCCGGGCGCCCGCGCGGCCACACCGTCCGTCCGTGGTGCGGCCGGCGGCCCCGGCACCCGGTAGCTCGTCCATCACACCCACCCAGACACACACAGCCCGCGACCGTCCCGTCCGACAGTCTCTGCACCACACCGACAGACACACACACACAGAGAGACGGGGAGAGAGCGGCAGACAGTCCAGTCCTCGGGTGCAGCTGGCTGCAGGGCCGGCCGGGCCCCAGTACCTGCGGAGGGGCGGCCCCAGCCTGCGGTCCCGGCCCGGGCCGAGTGTGCTGCCAACACTCCACTGGTGTGCCGCCGCGGCCCGCCGGTAGCGCGCCTCGCAGGGGAGGCCGAACGGCGGCGGCGCCAGACCGGTCCAGACACTGGCCTCTGAGCAGCTGCTCTTCAGCTGTCAATCACGGCTTCTGACTCGGTCCGCTGAAAAGAACAAAATTTCTGATCAGGTAACATATCAGCAATTGTGTCTTTTCTGTACTGAGTGAATGAACTGCACTCGAGTCACCAGCTGTTTTCTGGCAAACTTTTGATGACATAAGACAGCGATGGTGACAGCCTTTATCGCAACCGAACCAAGAGTCGTCTCACATTTCCTTGGCGTGCTATATTCGTCAGAACTTCTTCGTACTCGTACATATATTCGTCCATCGTATTTCTTCAGCTCCTTAAATAGTCCTCCCAAAATCATGGGTCAAAGGTGGCAAGTAGGGGTGAGTCACAGAACACACGGTAAGCTGATGAGGTGAAATCAGCAAACATTGACCCTCGAACTTGTAGGGGAGGGGGTCGAACGCGGAGGTCTCAGCACAGAACAAAAGGGAGGACCTCGTGCGGTTGGTCGGGCGGCTGAAGGGACTCGATGCTCATTCTGCGCTCTATCTGCTCCGCAATAGTCTATGGCTCCCCAAGCTTCAGTACTTGTTGCGGGCTGCGCCATTTTTCCAGCATCCTGCGCTGCTGAAACAGCTAGATGAGGTCATCAGAGCGGCGATTGAAGAGCTAGTGAATGTCAGATTCAGCGACATGAACTGGGAACAGGCCTTCCTACCTACCGGACTCGGAGGGCTAGGACTGAGGAGAACGGAGGAAGTCGCGCTCCCGAGCTTCATGGCTTCGCTCCACCGCTGCCAGCAGCTGCTACATACCATCCTGCCAACAGGCTTCGCATAAAATCTTAAACGAGCTGAAGCAGGCAGAAGAGTGGCTCGTAAAAGCTGGCGGCAAGATGGCTCCTGCAGACGACACACGCGACCGACAGAAATCCTGGGACGCCCCGATCGCCGAACACCAAAGGGACCGCCTTCCGCTCGCAGCCAACCAATTCGACCGCGCTCGTATCCTAAATAGGCGCAGCGACGCCTGAAAGCGGAGCATGGCTCAGAGCTCTCCCGTCTTCTAGTCTGGGAACCCACCTGGACAATGAGACAGTGAGAATCGCAGTCGCTCTACGTGTCGGCGCCGACGTTTGCAGCGGCGTCCACGCCTGCATGTGCGGCTCGCCTGCCGACGTCAAGGGACATCACGCTCTCACTTGTCAGTTCAGTGCTGGAAGATTACCGCGCCACACAGCTCTGAACAACATAGTCAGACGTGCTCTGCTGACCGCAGGCATACCAGCTCAGCTCGAGCCGTATGGTGTCGACCGGGGCGACGGAAAGAGGCCAGACGGCATGACCATCTACTCATTCTCGCATGGCCGTTGCCTAGTTTGGGATGCGACATGTGTCAATACATTCGCAGACTCAAGACTGGGAGGTGCCGCGCTGAAGTCTGGGGCGGCGGCCAAGAAAGCAGAAGACGGGAAGCGCCGAAAGTACGCCCAGCTCACCCAGCGTTTCAGGTTCGAGCCAGTTGCATTGAAACAGACGGCGCCTGTGGTCCTACGACCAAAGCCTTCCTCCAAGAACTTGGTGCTAAAATTGCGGCGGTCAGCGGCGACCAGCGAGAGCTGGAGTGGCATTGGCAGTGACTCTCCATCGCCATTGTGAGAGGTAACGCCGCTTCAGTTCTCTTGGAGTGTGCCACTGATCCGTCCCAACAACACCTCAGCGCCGAACGCCCCGACAGGGAGAATGCTGAGCAATAGCTGGCGACGACGACCGGCTCGAGGCGGTCTGGCTGCTCGGGTGGTTCCCGGTTAGTGGCAAGCCAGCAGAGGTGGTCGCCGCCGTCGCCGAAGAAGTTGGAGGAGGAGAGCAGGGCCAGGGGTGGACTTCTGTCAAAATGTCAGGGAGGGTCCACGGTCCAGGCCGGCCAGATGGAGGCGGGCTGGATGCAGTACCATTGACTTACATAGCAGTAATTCGTTTTCAGGGGTGGGGTCCTGACCCCCCCCCCCCCCCCCCTCGAGATCTCTACCTCTGAGCAGGGCGCTGTAGCTGTACGGCGGCAAGGCGCACACGGCTCGCGAGCTACAGCTGACCCCAGCCGCAGACCCCGACAAGCCCGGCAACGATCCGCTCTACATCGGACTTCCCAATTACGGTAACTCGTGTTACCAGAACCCCACCCTGCAGGCACTGCTAGGACTGTGTCCGTTCTTGAACGACATGATAGCGGTGCACTCGGGCCCGGAGAAAGACAAATGTCACACGCTGCACGCCGTCGCCAAGCTGATGGTGCTCCGCGAGAAGCCCCTCAGCCATTGCGTCTCCAGCCACCTCAGCAACCTGCGTGACGTGTTCGGCGACATCGACCCAGCCTTTCGCGGTACCGAGATGCAGGACGCCAACGAGTTCCTGCTGCGCCTTCTGGACACGATAAAGGACGAGACCGACGCCCGCCAGCCGTCCACAAATCAATCGGGGGAGGTTTGGTCAATCGTTGTCATTTTTAGCACGTGCTATTTTTGTCACACGTGCCAAAAATGGCAACGATTCTGCTGTTTTTTTTTTTACAACGATGAAGCCGATTTCACTCCTCAGCGAGGAAATCACGGTTTTGGAAAGATAAGCACTGATTTTCGAAAAGAAGTGCTGCCATCTGGTGCAAGAAGAAGAGGCCAGCTTTAACATGCCCGTTGTTTGTATGGTAGTTTGTTTTGTGGCCTGAAGTTGGAACTTAAAATTGAAGCATCCGAAAATGATTAAAGGGACCCTCCCACCTTAACATTAGTTTTGAGTTGAGATAGCCAAGTTTGCGGCCAGGCTCAGAAACCACCATTTATCCTGGGCGGTGTTTCACGGGCTGCTGCTACCACGCTGCTATCAAATTGCGCGAGCTGACGTCACACTTGTGGTAGTGTTGGAGCAATGGGCCTGTTGATGTCTCCATGGAAACCCAATTTGACAAGTCGTAAAATCGGCGTGCTGCTATCACCGGTGAAACAGGGCCCTGGTCGCAACCCCCGCAGCTTTATGGTGTTCAAGAAATTTCTTCCCCTTACTTGCAGGGTGGGACCAGCGTGGTCCCTATCTCTTAACCATTACGGGAATCTGATGACGTCATCAGGCTTTCGAACGTCCGTTAAATGTTTAACTAAAACGTTTTGTAGCACGCGGTGGTATATGCTGCTTTGCGCGCAACAAATGCCGCACTTTCAAATAAAGTCGCTAGGAACAGCGGAGATCCCAAAAAGTAAACAAAAGTAAAAGTCTAATATCTTGAAAACCGGTGAATATTTTTCGATGAAATTTGGTAGATATTCGTTTTTGCTCTTTCTGAACCGAGCGACATCACTTTCATGCCAATTCATTAACTTTTTTGAAGGTGGGAGGGTCCCTTTAATATTGATCGAAAACATGATGTTGATGAAAAAATAATATGTTAGTTGAGAGAGGAGGTCATTTTATCCAGATGTGGTGGTTTACTTCTTGAAATTATTTTTGCTAATTGACGGCCGCGCATCATCCGTCATTGCATGGCGGTCGTCATAAACAAAAATAATTTCAAGAAGTAAACCACCGCATCTGGATGAAATTGCCTCCTCTTTCAACTCAACATATTCTTATTTCATCAAAATTATGTTTTCGATCAATATTGATCATTTTCGGATGCTGTAAATTGAAGTTCCAACTTCAGGCCACAAAAAAGGGTATACGTCAAGAGTCAACGATGGACTACCATGCAAACAACGGCCATATTAAAACTGGTTTGTTCTTCTTGCACCAGGTGGCAGCACTTCTTTTCCAAAATCAGTGCTTGTATTTCCCAAATCGTGATTTCCTCGCTGAGGAGTGTAATCGGCTTCATCGTTGCCAAAAATAGCTGACAGCGTTGTCATTTTTGGCAGGTTGCCAAATATGGCATGTGCTAAAAATGACAACGATTGACCAAACCTCCCCCGACTGAAATCCCGTCCGAGACAATTTCCAATTCCAAACCATGGAGAACTTTATGTGCATCAGGTGTCACAAAACGGTGCCGAGGCGGCAAGAAAGCATCACCTGGTTTGTGAACATGCCGCGTCGCCAGGGCAGCGAGGTGCCAACGCTGCAGGACGCGCTTCGATTGAGCATGCAGCCAGAGCGGCGGGAGTTGCTCTGCCAGCACTGCGGCCATGACGAGTGTCTAGTCACCACCAGTCAGCCAGCTGCCCAGGACGCTGATCCTGCAGCTGAACCGATTCTTCGTCCTGGGTGATGAGTCCCAGAAGATCCAGGCCAACGTAAGCATCCCAAAGTTCTTGTCGCTCAACGAGTACGTGTCAGGCGACGTCAAACGGCCGCCAGAGTGGAGATGCAAAAAGTCACTACAGGCAACCTGTCCTGTCAGACATTCAGGAGCAGGCCAGGCTGGAGCGACCGCCGGTTCTCTTGTTGCCGCCTCCTGCGCCAGCGCCGCTCTCGCCCACCCCGCCCAGGCCCCTACCGCCGCCTTCCCGGCGGCGACGGCCATCCCCACCCGGACGCCGCCACCAGCGCGGGAGCCCACGCCGCGGGCAGCGGCCAAAGCGCTCCAGCCACTGCTGGCCGCCCTGCTTCCGTCGGTCGCCGGCGAGCTGGTGGCACGGGACGCCGAGCCGGACTCGTGGTCGGCGCGGTCCAGCACGGAGGAGGAGGACAGTGGGGTGCAGGGAGCTATCGCGAAGGCGCAGGAGGAGGGCGAATCGGAAGACCTGGCCGCCGAACAGGGGCACCTGTCCGAGTTCCGTGCGGAGGACGACCAGTCGCGGCGCTCGTTGGACCTGGACGGCGACAACTACCGACTTGTGGGCGTGGTCAGCCACCGCGGTGGCGCCACGCATTCGGGCAACTACGTCGCTGACGTGTACAGCGCAGGGCGCGGCCACTGGTTTCACTATGATGATCGCAGTGTCAGCTGCGTGCAAGAGTCGGACGTGCTCGGAGACGGCCACCAAACCGCCAGAAACGGTTACATCTTTTACTACCTTCATATCGGCCTGTGCAGCCAGGTGTTAGCCGCTACGGCACTGGGTCATGGGCGGCACAGTTCCTTCCCGACCCCGGCTCCGGCAGCACCCGAGCCGTGGAAGGAATCCCCGGGGGCGGAGTAAAACGGCCAGGTGACCTGTGTGGACCGGGCGCTAATGCCGAACACTTGGGTTTGTCATCATTGTGAGTGTTTGAATATTGTGTATGCATGGGTATGTGAAAGCAGGTAGACCACCATATTTTGATTGATGCGTAACACATGTACCGTGTGTTTACAGCCATGAATATATAATAGCTCGGTAAATACATATTACATGAGGTCCACTAAAAAAAGCAACTTGTGCAAGGGAGCATTCAGTAAAATAACAATGTGAAATACACAGCCCTAAATCAGTTGGGGAAACTATGAGGAGCCAAACAAACAAAAATTGGATTAGCCAATCAATGGCTGGAGTGGGCGGGGCGATGACCATATATGGTCATAAAATCAGACAACTTCATCTTTTCAATGAATCCTAGCATTCAAATGAAAAAATAAGGCATAAGAATGTTTTTTGACCACACAAGGCCTATTATGCACTCACTCGTTATGCACTCACTAATTATGCACTCACTCGGTGCATAATTAACTGGCGGCTCTAAATCGCAGAGTTACAACGCAAGGTCAAACAGTGATTGGCAAATATGGCGGATTGAAACAGATGCTCCAAAAATGTAAACAGTAGGTACCATGGTTTAAAAATGTCATTATTTTTATTATTTTGTTTATGGTTTTTCTAACTGTGGTTTATTGTAATTAAATTCAATCTTTTACCAATTTTCTTTCAAAACACCAATCCATTTTTTGAATGGCCAGCTGATTGACGATTGTGATGCCCAGAACCTGCAGAAAAGCCGTTTTCCTATAGCCATATTCGAGTCAATTCGCCGAATTCAATCAAATCACGCTAATTCCCAGGGAAAAATGGAAGCCTTTTCTCTCCGATAAGCGGACGCGATACCACAAGTGCCGGCTTGTTATACCATTTTTCACCCTTAGTAGCGGGGGCTGCATTTATGCCCATATATGGTCATCAAAAGTCAATTTATTGACCAATCAATTTTTTGACATTCGCCTCGTAGTTTCCCCAACTGAAATGAGTAATGTAATGATATATTTTCAGCTGAATAATACCTCAACCTACTTAAGTACTTTTAAACCTACTTTTGAACGGTACTAGTGAACAGTATAATAACCACTAACTTGCTGCATATGTCAATGTTTTGCTGGATATTAAGCCCTACCTGTTTATACTGAATTTCTTTTTCGCGTTGTTATTACCAATTTATTACAGCAGTTCAAGTTTCCTTTTGAGGGTGAGGGGGTTTATATAGCCTTGGGTGAGGGGTTCCGTTCCTCCTCTTCTTCGATTCAAGGGACGACGGTGAAAACAGGGCGCCTGGGGCGATTTCATCAAGGTTCGTTAAATTTACACGTGACGTTTGGGATATAGAAGGCCCATGGAGCGGGAGAAGTTCCAAATGTCACGTGACTTATATGCCCTCCGGCGCCCTGTTTTCACCGGCGTCCGATCACGGACGTATAAATAAACTGGACTGACAATCCCAATGGACCTCCTATGGAAGATAGTGAAGCCGACAAGGCGCCATTTTACGTTGCCAAAAAACCGTGCTCTGGAAGGTCATCGAGCCAATACCATTAGAATTGCGTCCAAACGGATGATCGGATCGAGATGCTGATGGTACCGTTCGACGGGTAATTCCTTGAGGCAGGTGATGATGGATGCCACATGTCACCCGGTGTCACAAGGCGCGTGCCACGTGCCGACAAACTTACAAAGGGCAAAAACCTTTAAGCGACGCTTCAAATCAAACGAAGGGCGGCACAGGTGCCAAACTCACAGGTCACATGTCCCAGTGTTCGACCACTAACATATGGTATGCTCGGCATCAGGGGGTGCGGAATGCACGCGCTAGTGGCGAAAAACATGTTTTGAGGAGGCATCCTCCGATTCCGGAAAACCTTGACCTAGGCACACCAAATTTGGCACACCGACACTTCTGGACACGCGCTTTAAGGTGATGTACAAATAGGCGTGCTGGGGTACACGGTGCACGTGCTGTGCACGTGCAAACCTTTTGATGTTGCACTCTGTGTCACATATGCGGCTAGGGCAGGTAGCGCTGGCAAGCTCAAAGTGCCAAATTTACACAGGCCATCCAGAATGTATTCCAGCATAGTTATTGAGCATATCCATCTCCTGGTGGCCCCCAAAGGTGCGCTGTGCACGTGCAAAAAATTATCCGCGCCGGGCGGTGGGGATGATTGGACACCCTATGTGGATTTATGTAAATATCTCGAAAACGGCGTTGTGTAGCGCCGCTGTTTTCGGCACACCTTTTCATACATCTTTTTCACAAATGCTGCATAACTTTCAGACTTAGGTCGCTCAAGGTTAGGTCACCAGGTTACGTCCAAGTGGCCTTACCTTAGGAAAAATTATAATGCCCGTCATAGCTACACAGAATATACAGTCGGCTTAAAACGTGCAGCAATTGATAAGACCAACAGTATATGTGTAGAGTACCTACCTCTACCTCGAAATTTCAATATCACTGACCTATAGGGTTCTGTTGATTTTGCGACCTCAGACCACCAGCACGGCAAATCATCTATTTTGTCAAATTCGGGCTCCTAAACATTTTGCTACCCAGCAACGCAACTTTACGCCTCAATCGCCGGCCAGCGCAGCATAGGCATCTTTGCTATCTACGTTGTTTGCGCCTGCAGTAATACTGTACCGCAATAACCATTATCTTCATCTTTCACCCATAGATGGCAGTAGCAAAGCGCCTGCATCTATGCTGTGCCGCAGTGCTCTTACAATACGAGCTGAGCAATGAGCATTGAGCAAGCAAGTGATATTGAAATCATAGGCGGCGGAACGAGGGGGGCACCGGAGCACCGTGCCCCCCTTTCATGGCATTTTAACATAGGCCTTTACCCAGCCAACAATAATATGCGGGGCCCACGCTGGCAAACCTCGGGCAAGCCCACAGAAACACCTTGGGCTAGCCCAACCTCTAAGTACGTTTCTGCTCGGCGTATGACACAAAAACGCCAACCAAAAACGTACTTCAGCCACCACGGGGCCCTAGCTGGCATGCCCGCATTCAGCCCACGTTCTGACGCACTGTGTGGGCTATGCCCGCGTTGCGCCATGCCACTTCAAGCCACCGCAAGTGTGGCCCCACGCGGGCTCTCGCGTCTCAATTGCGCGGGCTGCCCGCATTGCGCCCGCCATCCACCGACGTGTGCGGGCTAAGGTGGGTTATGCCCGCGCTGCACCTTGCTCTTTTGAGCCACCGCAGGTGTGGCCCCATGCGGGCACCGGCAGCCGGGTAACGCGGGCTGCCCATGCTCAGCCCTAGTAGCGTCAACCTTCGTACCGCATTGAATAACTGTGGGCCCAATGTGGCAGAGCCCGCATTTTTGTGCGGGCATGCCCGGATGTTGCCCTTATTGCCTATAGGAATTCATAATGGCTCTCAACTGTGGCCCCATGCGGGCATGCCCACGTGGGCTAGCCCACCCTAAAACGTACCGGGCCCCATATGGGCTGCACGTCGCTAAGCCCAACCTGGCAGTGGCGGTTCCAGCCACCTCCCCCCCCCCCCCACCCCCGATCAGTGGCGGTCGTTTGACCGCGAGCTTGCGCCTCGAATCATTTGCTCAAACAGTTCGTTCTGACATTGTAATGTATTGCTCAACACTTGACTATACGTATATACACCGCCGCGCTGGTATCCTCCATCTACCATTGCTCCATGGGGAGTTCAGCCTCTTCGGCTTCAGCCTCTTCGGCTTCAGCCTCTTCGGCTTCAGCCTGGCGGGTTTCGAAGTCAGGCTGCCGGACCTCCAGCGTCTCGAGGTTCTCCACCGGCTGCAGTGGAGGTCGGTCGGTCGGGGCCTGGCCTGCCACTGACGGGCCAGCTGCCTCCTTGGTTTTTGAGAGCCTTCGGAGACGTTTGCCGTTCCGATCCCGGCTGCCGGAGAGCCAGAGGCCCACGCACCTCCCGACGGCGTCTCGGTTGGCGCCACCGCAGCGTCTCAGTGTCTCTGCCAGAAAAGCCACCCAAACTGCGTCATTATTTTGTGTGAACAAGGGAGGGATATGGGAGGGTGTACAAAGCACACCGATACATCAGAAAAGAATATACTGCATTTAAGAGACACGTGAAAAAAGAAAAAAAGCGCTCCGATGAATGGCAAACGAAAAGCAAAACATCGATAGCAAAAGCAAACATGCACGCAAATACACGCACACACAAGCATCACTCACCGCAGATAACGTCGAAGAGGACGGTTTCCGCTATAGCCCTCTTCCCATTCTTCCCTTTCAGGGAAAGGTGCTCGGACAGATCGGCCGACACAGTGCCGCGCATTACAGAACGGACGTTCCGCTCCAGGTCCGATCGGGCCATGGTGCAACACGCGCTGAGTTGCTCCACCTGGAAATGAACGCCAAATGATTAAGAAGTAAAATAACGCATTGGCAAAAACCCGTGACCTGATTCACGATCGAGTTATACCCCTACCGTGCCCCTATAATTTTTTTACGCGATTCACGTGATGATAGCTTGCCAGGTGAATTCTAAAATTTTGTTTTATCCAGGGAATAAATCATGGGCCAATCTGAGAAAACTTTTTGAAGGTGGTAGTCTTCCTTTAAGGGCACGTTTACTCCGGAATCATGTTGCTATAAATATTGACTTTTCCCCAAAATGGAACACTACAGCACTACTAAAAAAGGTATAAAATACTTACCACCTCGTTAAAGAAGGCCCTCTGCGAGTGCAGCTGCTTGTCCAGCTCATCCAGCTCCGCAAGGGTTTGGAGTGGCGCCATCCTCCGGGGTCTTGTCTGGGAATTGGAGATCTCCGCCCGCAGCGCTTCGATGTTGGCTCCGTTCTGTTTGACGACGTTTAGTATGCCTTCGACCGTCTTCAATATCTTCCCCAGAATGACAGTTTGACGAGCATCTAAAAGGAAAGTCACGATAAACTGAGCAGCACAAACGACCAGACTGGAGTTTTGGTCTTATATGTTATCTATGATCTTATCGATAATAAAAGTAGGCAAACAAATATCATTAAAAAATTACTACCAGTACAATACATACAACTATTCATTGTTTTTGGTACATGCTTAAAATTATTGTTGCACTATTTCCGGGATCAGTTATGTCGCAGGTTCTTTTACAATGCATGCAGGTGTACGTACCTGACGGCTGTCTGGGAGCACTCGTTGGCGTACTCGCTGGAACGCTGGCGGTCTGGACACTTGGTGATGAATTCGCAGGCCTACTCAGGGAAGTGCCTTGCCCCCCAGAACCTGTGAATGAATAACGAAAATAATAACAGTTTATTGTAAATTCCATCAGTGATGCCAACAAAACTACATTCAATCTGGAGCCAGACGTGAGTTAAGGTCAGGCTTACATTAGATCCCAAATTAAAAATATTGAAAGCTTATAGCACGCGAACCTGACCAGCTATTCGATGACGCAGAAACACATTACGCACTAACAACAACCGAGGCAACCACACTGCTCTCTTTCTCCTGATTGCAAAAGTCAAGTAGTCTTTCGATGTTGAAATATATGCTTACCGTCTAAGCCAAAGGTTCGTGGAGCGGGTGGTGGACGAGAAAGTCCAGTTGGCTCCCTTCGAGCACGGGTTCCGGTTTCTTCATCTGAATCGTCATCAAAACGTGGATTCCTCCTGTAAAAGTCACATTGAACATGAATGTCAGTAAAATAGGGGAATCATTTTAACACTACCCACTGCCAGTACCCCCCCCCCCACACACACACACACACAGCTATACACAATCAAGTTTATCTGTTGTCTGCCTTATCACAGCTATAAAGCAAAATGCTCGAAGGTACGAAATGAATCCGCCCGAGGGCACGGCATAAGTATGCTCTTGATAACCAGGGAAAAACGCCACCTTCGTTCTTTAATATGCCATTTCAATTGCCATTCACTGGTGTCATTCCTGGATTTTACCTCCTTATACGGGTAGTTGCTTCGACAGCTTCAGCCTCGCTGGTGAGATCGCTCTCCTCTTCGGCCTTCTGCGCCTTCCTTCTTGCCAGAAGTAAATCATCTGCAAATTATTTGTGTATCGTTAATACAAAACTCAATGCGGTGAACTTGTGGAAAGCATTTGATAACTTTGCGTGGTTGGACAACGTAAATGTAAGACAACAAATGCACTTGCGTTAGACAGCCAAAAAATGATTTCATTAAAGCCGACCTGGTTGTGTCTCACACTTCGCTCGTATTCCAATATTCAACCATGTTGCGAGAAATCCCAAACCAGCATTTGGCGAGATGCAATCAAGTGTTCGGAAAGGGATATTTTCAACTTTGCCATGTGGAAAATTGCTTCTAACGATAATCACTAACCTGTAGCGAACAGTGAAGTTGCCGGGTGCCTGGTCCACTGCCCGGTCCCCGTTCTGACAGGCTCCGCGTGAGCCTTCAGGAGGCGGTCGACGGCCCCACTCGTCTTGCAAGGGGGCCAGAATACGAAGCCTCGCGGTTTTCGAGTCGCCTCATCTTCTTCACCTGACCACCATTTCTTACTAACGACGGCTACTTCGGGCGCGTCGGAAAACGCGACGACCCGAAACATGTTACACCTAAACGAAGGGATTGGAACATAACATTTTACAGTGTCACTCAATGGCACTGCAGGAACTCTTATAGGTCAGCGTGTTCCATCAAGGACATACACCATCAGATACTCACAGCACATACCATGATCACACACAGTGCTAAGTTGAGGCAGTATAATCAAAATGGTCATGGATGACTGGTACACACACATGATACGTGGCATCGAGACTACCGTTGGCTAGAACGCATTTCTGAACTACATTCATTGTGTCAATCGATACTGTTTCACAACACTGCGAGAGGGTGTGCACTTTGTAAATACCCAACTTTGATGAATCAAAAGGGTAAGTGTAGAATGGTTCGTGCGATCGGAAACGCTGTATGACGAGCACAGTATCGTCAGTAGTTTTCAGTATGTTTCGGATAAGTGCTACACAATTACCATTGACCAGAACACAGTTATCACCCACAGATGTCGACAGTGTCAGATTGCCTACAAGCTTATGGTACTGATTCTGGACACGAGCAGTGCCGTGTGGAACTGGACCATCCGCGTGTGCCTTTGTCAACCTGTGTGCTTTTTTCAGGACATGCCTACTGCCATACACATCCCTTTCAGCTATACGCTTCATTAGCTGGATGGCGGGGGAATTCGGGCGACGCACAGCTCGTTTGAGTTGGTACAAGTAGCTTTCATATGGAAAGCAAGAAACAGAATCCAAACCTCCATAAGTAACAGCGTCATCTGCTAAATGCACAAGGCCGTGTACATTGTAACCAACATATGCGTTCCCGAACAATATGCCGAAATTTTTCACAAATGTCACAAGAAGCTCTCCAGCATAACTAGCATGTTCCTTAGCCAACTTGTCCGATAACAATATAGTCATTGCACTAGAGTACAGCAAGAATAGGTCATACATTTCCCCGGGGACGGCTCCCCTGAGAACAATGATGCCTGTGTACAGCATAAACTGTCGGAGCTCTGTAGCTTTCCAAATTCGAAACTCATAGAGACTGCGAGGTTTACGGGCAAACTCGACAGGAATTTGCGAACGAAGGGCACACAGTCTATCAGATATAAGTTCTACAGTACGAGCTGGAAAGCGTGCTACTAAAGGGCCACATAGCCAAAGTCGTATCATAAGTTTCATCACACCTAAGCAGCACAGATGCATGTAGTCCAGAGGTATATTTCGGACCATGTCCAACGGCAATGCCAGAAGTGGAGAGGGCTCATGATGATGAGGCTCATTATTCATAGACTCAAATGATTGATGAGTTCTTCTGGCTGCATTCACTTCAGGGAATGTCAGGCGTCCAGAAACGTACAATCCTCTCGTCTCACATCGTTCACAAGAATAATAACCGGAGTGTCCTTTAATACACTTCAGAAATGCCCTTGCTGGTGCATCACACATTACACTGTCTAGTACAACTGTAAAAGTTTTTTGACCATATGCGAGTCCGTGTTCACATAGAGTCTTGCAGTCCAGGATAAAATCTTTCAAGTAGGCATGAAGAGGTGGTTTTTGTTTGCCACAGAACAGTGCTATTGTGAACACATCTTTGGAAACATTTTTTATCTTTCCTAAAATAGGCCACACCACCACTTGTGAGCTACGAAAAAGAGGTAAACCATCAATATTGACTTGAAGTTGAAGCGTGCTCACAGTTGGCAGATTCGGTAGCTTTTTCAACAGACCTCTTATCGTGTTTGATAGGCCAAAGAAATGATATTCTCCTCCACCCATGACAAGAGGCTTTTCAAGCTGATGCGTTGCCAGCAGGGTTGCCACATGTTTGGGTAAATTTAGAGCGGAGTGAGCACTTAGAATCAGTAGCAATGCAGTCAGGGCTGCATGTGATATACCATAATCAATCGCCCATGTAGCAATCTTGCGCCTCAGTCCAGGGCCACTAAGGTCACCATCAGAGTCTGCACACTCTTCATTGCCCTGACAGTCTTCAAAGACATCAGGTTCTGAATCACCATCAGAGATGGAACAGTCGCTCAAAACCAGGTCATTATCAAAGGCATCATCAACAATCTGATCCAATTCCTCATCTCCTCCAGCAAGCTCACACATCAACATGTCAGCTGGGACAGATTGAATTTCTGCTGTAGCCATGTTTGCTGCACCATTGGTGGCGACAGGTTGAAACTCCATCTTTCCATCTTCCTCGCCCTGCTCAGCCCGCATGTTTGTTGCATACTGACTTATACTCTGCTTATAATACCTGTACCGTGTGCTTCGGCTAGCTTGCTCCATCGGATCCGAGCTTGATTTATACACCTGCACAATAGAGGCAGGTGGATAATGAAATCATCTACGCACATTAGGCCCGTTCAAATTTTATAAAGTTTTTAGAAACCCAGCTCCCCTGTTTTCTGATTGCTATATGGACCAATAAATTACTTGCACGTGATTGCAGGACAGTAATAACAGCACTAACCATTTTAAATTGTTGCTGGATAATATAAATCTATATTATATAAGAGCGCCCTCATCTAAATTCAGATTTTTTTTGCAGTTGCAGGACCAATTTTTCAGAGGTGACCTCTCCCCTCTCCAGCCATAGCAGGCAAGGTATGTTTCAGTGCCCCCAAATTGGGCATTTTGGGAATAGATAACAACCAATGGATGGTCATTTTTTCACTGTCATTAATAATGACAATTTTTAATCTGCTGCTGCATATTTGCACAACAAATGCTTCTAAAAACACAAACAGGATGCAACAATCAACCAACTCAAAAAATAGATTGTGAGAGATTGTTACAGGCAACTTTCACCGGCTGACATTTGTTCTCTACAAAGTTGTTTGAAGCAGTGACATGAATAGACCTGTCATTCACTTAGCATTAGGGTGTGGCAAGACCCGGGGGCATCTTAGCATACCCGTAATGCAAGACGCCCCACTTGCAAGGGTCTAGGAGAATCTCTCTACCTCGCTATCAGTCGGGCGCACTGTGGTATATTCGTCCATTTATAGAAACGTTGCAATATTTGGAAATGATGACCCATATATAGAAACGCTTGTTCCAAATATGGAAACGCTACGTTTCTATATTTGGAAACGGTAGGTGCACGCTCACCTGTTTGACAATTAGCGCAAGCCCCTGCAAAAAAAGCTCAGTAAGTGGTTACCACCAATGGAAAGCCAGCATTCTGTTCTATAAATTCAACAATGGTTATGTTGATTCAATGTTGGTCCTGGAAATGCGACAAAGTTTTCTGTATAATTGGTGAAGAGGATGGACTGAAACAGTCTATATAATTGGAGAGAATGAAGAGAAAAAACTTCCATTAAGGTTCCCTTCAAATATGACGGCCAAAACTTGATTTTTGGCAGAATATTGGCTAATTTGGGCTAAATAGATGTTTTGTTTTGGCAAAATTGATGTGTCATTTTCACCTGAGTGCTTCCTTGATGCCACTAGATGGCATTCCACTATCTAGAAAGTTAAATACGCAAGGCAAGTGTTACGTCACTTTCGCTGTGGAGACCGCAATCAGCTGCTGGGCACAACCGCCTAAAAATTATATAGCAAAACCCATAGTCAAATATTTATATTTCGATTCGCCGCCAAACTGTTACAAACTTTATCTGCAAATTATATGTTCACTGTTAAACAAAATATTTTTTTCATATGAGCCCATAAAAACATTCTGATATATCCTAAAAGAAAAGTTATTTCATAAAGAAATTCGAATATTTGACGTCAGTTCGTCTCAATTCGTCAGCTGTTGCTGAGTTTGTAAGCTGATTAAAAATAAACAAACTTTTCAACTGGTAAGTTAGTAACAATTTTTGCTTTATAAAATGTGTAGAGGTATTTTATTATTATTTACATTTAATTTTATTGTTTTTCCATTAAAACATTTGTGACTATTATGTCACACCTATTTGAAACAACTGCGCCATAACCGTAAGCAAAATCTTTTGACGAGATAACATTTCTTACACAAAGTGGCTGAATAATTCTTTAGCTAATTGTGAAGGCAAAAATTAGGTTTATTGCAACTGGTAAGTTTCCAGACAAAGTTTGTAGCATCAAACTGGCAAATCGACGATGTGATTCAGCCCCATTGGCTTTAACACAGGGCCGTCAGCCAAGTGTGCCCAGCAGCTGACGACGATTGTATTTGACGTCACGACTTGCCTTGCGTATAACACATCTTGCTTTAAAATAAATCGTCCGGAATGATCAGCGCTTCTGAGCGTGTCCATTTATGGAACACAGTGTTTCTATATTTGGAAACGTTTGCAAATATAGCAACATTTTTATAAATGGAACGGAATTACCACAGCACACCGACTGATATTGCGTCAGCCGAAAATGATTATTTTGATGTTTTTTGATAGACAAAAGATCAGGCTATCAAACAAAAGCAAAAAATGGGTGCCGGGTGGAAACATGATCATTGTGCTGGTGGTGTGGAATCAAACCTTAACCGGGGTGCGCTAGACGACTCTCCCCTACCCTGACCCACCCTGAATCCCACCAGTGGATTGTGATCAAAATTGATCAAATCATCTTAAGCATTAGACATAGATGGAACCTTACCTTGTCTAAATACAACCAAGCTTCAACCCACGGTATATATAGCACTATCAAACCCAACCTTCCCTAACGAAGTTCGCGTGCTCCGCCCGCTACGCTGATCCTCAATGAAAAATGGCGGAAATGGCGGACCGGTAGTGGCTTGGGTAGTGGTGCATTGGTGGCGACGGCGTCTGTTCGCAAAATAATATTGTAAATGTAATAAAATAATTAAATAATAATGAATTGATTGAAACTGACTATATAAATTCATGATGAAGATTTTTGATGTCAATTTTCAATATTTTTTTATAAATTTTATACAAAAATGAAAAACAAATATTTCAGCTATGAATAAAAACAATTCACTAAAATAAAAACAACGCACTGCTCGGTGACATAATATCATTTTAAGGGAGAATTCAGCTAATTATTCTTGAAACCAACATTTCACATCTTATTTTTTTAATTCCACCACTATACCCGCGCGGGATGCTTTGTCCGGCTTGTCCGACGAACCCGCAGTCAGCCCACACAACGCCCGTGACGGAACTTTCATCGGGCAGCCCGCGCATTGCCCGTAAAAAAACTGCATGGGCTGAGCCCACCCTCTGCCCACGTTCGTCATGCCCATACGGGGCCCTCGTGGGCACAGCCCGCAGTCAGTCCATGTTCGCCATGCCCACACAAAGCCCTTGCTATGTCTGACGAAAAAAACTCCTAACTGGGGCTAAGTTGGGCTGCGCCCGACTCCTGCCCACTTTGCCCGCACTGTGCCCACGAAAAATGTTGGCTGGGTAGAAAGAATGGGACCAAAAGTCGGCAGTGCCCCCCTTTAGGTAATTGAAGGTGTTCCGCCGCCACTGATTGAAATTCCGAGGTAGAGGTACTCTACGCATATACTGTTGCTCTTATCAATCGCTGCACGTTTTAAACCGATTGTTCAGTCTGTGTAGCTATGACGGGCACTATAACTTTTCTTAAGCTAAGGTCACTTGGACGTAACCTGATGACCTAACCTTGAATTACCTAAGTCTGAAAGTTACGCAGCGTGTGTGAAAGAGATGTATGAAAAGGTGTGCCAAAAACGGCGGCGCTACACAACGCCGTTTTCGAGATATTTACATAAATCCACATAGGGTGTCCAAGCATCCCCACCGCCCGGCGCGGATAATTTTTTTTTGCACGTGCCGAGCGCACCTTTGGGGGCCACCAGGAGATGGATATGCTCAATAACTATGCTGGAATGCATTCTGGGTGGCCTGTGTAAATTTGGCACTTTGAGCTTGCCAGCGCTACCCGCCCTACCCGCATATGTGACACAGAGTGCAATATCAAAAGGTTTGCACGTGCACAGCACGTGCACCGTGTACCCCAGCACGCCTATTTGTACAGCACCTTAAAGCGCGTGTCCAGTAGTGTCAGTGTGCCAAATTTGGTGTGTCTAGGTAAAGGTTTTCCGGAATCGGAGGATGCCTCCTCAAAACATGTTTTTCGCCACTAGCGCGTGCATTCCGCACCCCCTGATGCCGAGCATACCATATGTTAGTGGTCGAACACTGGGACATGTGACCTGTGAGTTTGGCACCTGTGCCGCCCTTCGTTTGATTTGAAGCGTCGCTTAAAGGTTTTTGCCCTTTGTAAGTTTGTCGGCACGTGGCACGCGCCATGTGACACCGAGTGACATGTGACATCCATCATCACCTGCCTCAAGGAATTACCCGTTGAACGGTACCATCAGCGTCTCGATCCGATCATCCGTTTGGACGCAATTCTAATTGTATTGGCTCGATGACCTTCCAGAGCACGGTTTTTTGGCAACGTAAAATGGCGCCTTGTCGGCTTCACCTGAATGGAGGTGGTTGCGGGTCCAGTTTATTTATACGTCCGTGCGTCCGATTCAAGGCTTCGATTTCAGTTTTTTTTCTCATGCAATAAATATTTTATAAATCGGCCTTGAGGCCCATGACGTCATTAGTTTTTTGTCTTCATATCCTGCGCAGATAAGACATATTAACACGCGACCAATGCCAATGCGTGAGTGTGGTTTTGGGGGGACACGGACACTGAGAGTGGTCGGGTAGGTATTTTATTCTTATTTTTTGCTGAATCAAAAGATGAAAAATGGTGTTCAGTCATCAGTGATCATACGTATAATTTTTAGGTGGTCACTGCTTTTTATTCCAACCCCAGCCAGCAATTTTACTCCGGGCCCAAGCAGGCTTAAGTGCGGCTTGCCCGAGATTTTAGTCGGGCTAAAGTCGGCGTATGACACAAAAACGCCGACTAAACCGACAGAGCCGACAGATAACAACCTGTTGTCCACTCATCAGCATGGCTTTCGTCCGGGCAGATCGTGCAGCACCCAACTACTAGAAGCATTAGAAGATTGGAGTAGGGCCATCGAACAAAGCAACCCAGTGGACGTCATCTACCTTGATTTCCAGAAGGCCTTCGATTCCGTGCCACACCACAGACTTCTCAGTAAGCTCCAGAGCTACGGGGTGTCCGGCAAACTACTCTCACCTGGTTCTCTCACCTGGTAGGGTTCTCCTTGCCTAGCAGCCATAAGGATATGGTAGTAGACATGATGGGAACCCATGATCAAAGGACACGCCAGTTCACCAACAAACATTGCCCGTCGTCTGTCGCTGTGGTTTAACTGGATTTGATGTGTCCACTGGTAACATGTCTGTGTAGAACAATCACTGATTTCCTGATAATAAATGCTTTTAACAAGTCGTTGAAGTGAGTTGAGTGAGTTGGAACTCACTCAGCAAACTTGTACAGGTCATCATGTATCGCTCGAGACAATGCAGTTTTGAAGGTGCTCAGGCTTCCTGCGGCTACTTCATTATCAGGCAGTCCGTTCCAGAGGGCTACGCTTCTGTGTGAGAAACATCGCTTGCGCACATCTGAGACTGGCTTGGATCCAGGCGTTCCTCACAAACAGAAAGCAGCAGGTAGTCATTGATGGATGTCCCTCGAACTGGACGGAGGTCGCTAGCGGCGTACCCCAGGGCTCTGTGCTGGGACCCTTGCTCTTTCTGGTATATGTGAATGATCTGCCAGACGTGGTCCACCACCGTGAAATTGTTTGCCGACGACGCGAAGCTGTACACTTGCACTCGTCTTCCTAGCGATTCGGCCGCCTTACAAACGGATCTTACGTCCTTGTCACGATGGTCTGATTTATGGATGATGCCATTCAACCAGAAGAAGTGTACAGTGCTGCATCTAGGAACAAGAAACTGTGGATCTGCTTACACACTGGGCAACACCTCCCTAGCCAGCACACGCCTTGAAAAGGATCTGGGAGTCCATGTGGACGCCGAATTGAAGTTCCGTGAACATGCTGCATCAGCAGCGGCAAAGGCAACTCAGCTCCTCGCAGTAATCAGACGGTCATTCTCCCTCATTAATGAGATCACCCTGCCTCTTCTCTTCAAGACTCTGGTTACCTAGAATACGGTAACCAACAGAGCGGACCAGCGACTGATTGAGAGAGTGCAGCGCAGGGCAACCAGACTGGTTGAGAACATCCGTCACGAACCCTACGTGCAGCGGCTCCGAATGCTGAAGATGCCCTCACTCTACTACAGGCGACGTAGAGGAGACATGATATTCATGTACCAGCTGTTCCACGGGGGGCTCGATACCGACCCTGAAACATTCTTCACGCTGGCCGATGGAGTTACTCGTGGGCATCCATACAAAGTCAGGAAATGTCCAGCAACCTCGAGAGTGCGACGATCCTCGTTCGCTCTACGAGTCGTGAACGACTGGAACCGACTCCCGTCTGAGGTGGTCTGCGCCCCATCGCTGAACTGCTTCAAGGCGAGGTTGGATGCACACTGGTCCCACTTACGATACACCATTCCCGATTCCGATTGATCCTGGACAAGCCAAATACCAGGAGCTCGATGAGATCGGGTACGACAGGCTCTAAGCCTAAAAATCCCGATACTGTAAGGTAAGGTAAGGTAAGGTAAAGCCCATGCTCCGCCGGAGGTATGCCCGCTCTGCGAGCTCTGGACAGCCGTAGTTTAGCCCTAGTTGTGCGACGATTGGCGGTAGCCCGATGTAAGCCCGAGCAAAACGTGACTGGCGCAGAAATGCGCATGCGTGAACAGCCGATCAAGTATGGCTAAACTCCGGCTTTACTCCAGTTCGAAGGGGTTCCTATGTCCTTTCCTACACTCGCCTATTCTCGCCCATGACTGACTCTACAGTAGTGACGAGGAACCCAACCAGGTGAGTCAACCAAGTGAGCCAAAGGAGACAGCCAGCTTGATCAGCCCGCGCTCCGCCCAAGTTGAGCCTGCTTTGGATGCGCGGGCGGATGTCGGGCTGAGCTGCAGCTGGCCACACTCGGGCATAGCTGCGGCATACCCAAGCTCAGCCCAAGTAAAAAATGCATTGGTTTTGATCGAAGTGGGCAAACCCAAGCTAAGCCCAAGCTGCCCGAGGTTTACCATAGTTTAGCCCAAGCGAATTGCTGGCTGGGACCGTGTTCACTGTTCAGTGTGTACTGTGTGTATCAGTATTGCTCAGGCTATTTGATTATTGAAATTGTGTGATCAATTTGTGTTATTTCGTCTTACTCTGACCCTCAGGTCTTTTCAGTTAACACTAAATATTACAATTTATAAGAATAAAGAATGTCCTAATAGAGATCGAATTCATTGTGCTAGATCATAGATGTCAATGTCAGACTCTTTACTCTGCAGTGCTGATAGGCAAGACTGGAAAAAATACACGTTATGCCGAATATGTCCGGCGTAGTGGCGGGATTGCGCCGAAAATTTCGGCGCACGTCCGGCGTAACTTCGCTTGTGCCAAATTCAGCGCATGGCGGCGGACGAATTTTTCGGCGCAGGGCGGTCGCATAATTTTTTACGAAAGACAGTCACCGAATTTATGCGGTACGCTGGTCAATCTAGCAGCAGATTCGCCCCGCGGGCGGCTCTGGAGAGGTTGCGGGACGAGACGTCCCCGCCCCGGTCGTCGCGTGCTGGAACTGGCGAGCCGCCCTGAGTCTACTCAGCGGAGGAATGGCCGCCCAGGTGAGGCCTCAACCTTCGGCGTAGAGATAGGTATGGAAAACCTTGTTGAACGTCGCCAAGCGTCGTTAAGCAGTAGCAGTGGGTTCCTGCCCACTGCAGTATCGAGGGGAATGAGAGCGCGGACGACCTGGCAAAACAGGCGGCTGCCCTGCCCTCAAACGCCCGATCGCTGACCAGGGCGGTTCATTGTGCGGCCTCGCATCAGTGGCGCGACAACTGCTCAGAATCACTATTCAAGCCACTCCTCGGGAGCACGCCGCCGCTCCCTATCCCCGGAGAGGACCGAGAGGATGCCATTTTGGTGCACCAGATGAGGGCGGGCCACCGGGGCCGCTCGCTCCAGTACGGCAGCGAATCGGCTGTCTGTACTCCGCCGCGTGCCAGCAGTGCCCAGACAAGCGGTGCCCAGCGGCGCTCTGCACCGTGAGCCGAGAAGCGGCTGATGTGCCGGAGCACGTGCTGCTCCGCTGCCCGGCCCTCGCTGGCTCCCGCCGAGGTATTGGGTTTACGTGGAAATAAAAAACTCATTCGAACGCTCAAACATGGGAGAGCGTACAAGGCCCCAAAACACTGTCTGGTTGATATAGCCTTGATCAGTAGATGTGCGCATGTGCTTTTTATGAAAAGGGCTTAATTTTCGCACAAATAGGCACCTAATTTTTGGCGCAAATCACGCAGAAATTTCGGCTCAAAATCGCTTGCGCCGAATTTCGGCGCAAGAGGGTCTCACGGGCGTCCGGCGTAGTGTATGGATGTTTTCCAGTCTGGCTGATAGGGGGGCAGGGGCCACTGGAAAAAAATTAATGTTACCAGTGATGCCGTACTGTCATAATCGCCTGCCATATTGCTGAAATGTGTGCACTGCCGCCTAACTTGGGCGTAAAAAGATGTAGTAATTGTCAGATAATTGTGCACAGGATAATTGTGAACTGTATTGTCCTTTGTACCTATCTCTTTTTTCATTGCCTCGTCCTCTTTGTGGCACAAAACAAGGGTGATTTTTACGGTCCAGATTTCAGCTCGTGACCACCACTTTATCTGGCTGCTTACGTCGTGTTGCTGATGCCTCAAACATGGACTGACCACGTTTGGGATTGAAGGAGCTTGAGGCAAACCTGTCAGAAATACTGTAGGGGCGTTTTGCCAGGAGCCTGCGCTGCCAGAACATTTCCTTGGAATCTGAGTGAGATCTGGGCCTAATCTTACCAAATGCCGTGAATGCGCATTCACGGCATTTGGGAACATTCATAACTATTCCACATTCACTTATTTATTCGTTCAGGCAACATTCATAATCATTCACGCTATTAAAATCATTGGACAAGATTAGCTGGATGTAAATAAAAAGGATATATTAGATATCAATGCCGTAAACTCCGGCCGGCCGGTGCTGCCAAATCCTATTTACGGCATTGGTAAGATTGGGCCCTGGATCCGGCACCTCAACTGGGGCCAAACCGGTCGGAATATTTCACGGCTCAACATTCCTGACCAAGAGGTCTGTCGATCACAATTCCAGCTTGAGTCAATGTGATCTTCTTCCTTTTGTGCCTTGAAACTATCTGGATGGTGGATACTCTTAGCCTTAGGTCTTATTTCATAGTGCAATTAGCTATGTATTTTTGTTTTATTTCATAACATTGTGTCTCACAGGTGATCTCAAGCTGGCGTGAAGATGGGGAAGGTGCACATCCGACAGAAGGGTCGCAATAAGGCCTACCGATGGGCCAAGGGCCACAGCTCGGACTCCAATCCACCGCTCAAAAAGTTCAGACAGAATGCTCAAGCTGGCTTCTTTCAGCCTTTGGGTGAGCCAAAGAAAGGTGAGAAACAGTCATTACCTGTTCTTGAATTAATAGCCGCTAAGCTAAAATAGGTACAGGATCGACCTATTTATTGCCTGATGGAAAGTTATGGAGAATGAGTTTGTGTGTTTTTGTAGATGGCTCACTAGTCAATATTCCCTTTACAGTCCGGTAGAAATCGATGACCAGTCTGCCACTGACCCCTGTGGCGGGTTCCACTCCCACCTCCTCCCCAGGCGGTCTGACGACGGACGCGCTCTCCAAGCATGACGCCGTGCTCGGTGTCTCCGAGCTGAGGAACATTGAGGACGTGGTTGAGGAGGATCAGGAGGACGCGCTCTCGGAGGGCGCGCTCACACTCGGCTCGCTCGGACAGGCCTCGTTCCGCACGTTCGCCACCGACTTCACACAGTGCACCGTGCCGTCGTTCAGCAAGTAAGGAAAGGTCTTAGATCGCCATGTCCAAACTCAGCAACATGCTGCCTGAATGTTAGGGCTGAAAGTCGGGATGCCACATCCCGACTTAGCGTTAGACTCACCTGTGTACTGTACCTCGATGTTTGTCTTTTGTGCCTTCAACGTCTGCACATGGTTCGCAGACTGCTCACGACTGTTCGGAAAGACTCGCCCATTTACAACGAGATGCTGGCGATCCTGGCCGCCGTCACCGAGGTGGTCAAGGAGAAAGAAGGTCAAGAAACCGTCACCGAGTATTTCGGTGCCCTGGTGTGTATAATGCGTTTTTTTTTTCTACGGATTTCATGTAGAATCAAATCTTAAGGTGTGTGGATACCAAGAGGCAGCGTTAACGAATTCATATTGGTATTGAACGCATTTCTCATTGAATGAATATTCGTATTATTTACATTATAATATGTCATATAAATCACCCTACCAATTCTAAATATTGGAATCTTTTGAGCATCATCCAGATTGCAGGCGGTTTTGTCTCTCGTCCGTCCCATCTGGGACAGATACCAGTGCCTGTCATGTCTGACAGTATGTCTGTCATGACGGCGCCGTGTGTACCAGATGTCTCTGTGCTCAGCTGCAGTCCGTTTGTCGGTGTCTGTCATGTCCGTCCCGTCTATGACAGATGTCGGTGCTCGAGTCCACTGAGGAGGAAGGGGTGCAGCTGCAGGCCGTCTGTCAGCTCCTCTCGCTCGGTATCAGGCATACCCCTCGGCCCGTGCTCATCTCAAAGTTCTCGCTCTGCTCCAAGCTGCTGATGGCGCGCCTCGAGGCCGTGATGGCCACAGGCACCGTGCTGCTCATCAAGTCGGTCAGTAGCAGAACTTCATTATTCGGGCGGTTGGCTAGCTTCCATCATTGGCTTATATCTTTATTCTATATGTAGGCGCTGAGTGTGAATGAAAATTTTAAAGATAAACGTCAGTATTATTTTCATAAATTCGAGTTTTCATTAAATTTGCATTTAATGCTAAGCCTTACCTAAAAGAAGCATCTTAGGTACGGAAAGTTACTACGACAGATCTCATTCTGTTGTCATTCCCTCGGCTGTGATCTTCGAGTGTCGTGTACTGTTTTTTTTTTCTGTTCCTGCGCTGCTGGCTGTCGCTCCAGCTGCAGCTCCTGACACGTTACTGCTCCGGCAGCTGCTGGAGTGTCTGGCGGTGCTGCTGCGCGCCCAGCCGGCCGCCACATGGGCGGAGCCGTCCACGCTGCAGATGTACTCGGGCGTGCTCAGTTTCGTCATCCACACGCGGCCGAAGGTGCGCCGCGCCGGCCAGCGGGCCGTCATCTCGACACTGCTCGGCTCGGCGTGTATGCGCCAGGACGAGGAGAGCCCGGCGCACCACCCGGCCGCGGCGACCACGGCCCAGTTCTGCCGGCAGCAGATGGAGCAGTGCGGCGGCGCCGGCCGCGCTGTCACCACGCTGCACGTCCTCACACTGCTGCGCGCCGTGCTGCACACCTTCCCCCGACAGCAGCTCAAGGCCGTCATCGAGACCATGCTGAAGCTGATGACGCTGGCCTCGCCGCTGGTGAAGCGCTCGTGTCTGCAGGCGCTGCAAGCCATGCTGGTGAACAGTCCCGACCGGCAGACGCTGCCGCCGGCCATGAACGCCCAGCTGGTGTCGGCGCTGTACGACTACCAGCCGCCGGTGGGCGACGCGGCGCCGCTCGTCTCCTGGCTGTCCGCCATGCACGCGGCACACACCTGTCTGTACGGGCGCGACCAGCAGCTGGGAGCGGCGCACCTGCCGCGGTTCTTCGCCGCCGCCGCCGCCTGCTGGGCCTCCAGTAAGCCGGAGGTGCGCACGGCCGTCACCGAGGCGCTCTCGGGCCTGATCGACGCCGTGGTGGCCGAGCTGGACGCGGATGGCGAGCCGGCAGCGCGCACCTGCTTCCAGTCGCTCATGGACGGACTGCAGTTCCAGTATGTGGACGCCTGGCCGCTGGTGCTGCGAACGCTGAGCAAGTTTTTCACGTCGTACGGCGCGCGCTGCCGGCCGTTCGTGGGTCCGTCGCTGGTGACGCTGGCCGAGCTGCGCGACACGGAGCAGTTCACCTACACAGCAGAGCTGGAGGCGGCCATCGGCGCGGCCGTCTCAGCCGTCGGGCCGCGCACACTGCTGGAGCACGTGCCGCTCCGCATCGCCGGCGACGAGAGCGACGACCCGGAGTTCTCGCGCAGCTGGCTGCTGCCGGTGCTGCGCGCCGCCGTGCGCGACACAGAGCTGGCCTTTTTCGCCGAGTACTTCCTGCCGCTGGCGCGGGCGCTGAAAACGCACGCCCAGCAGCTGGAGCAGGCCGACGACCGACGCATGTGCCGCATCTACAACACGCTAGAGCTGCAGGTGTGGGACTTGCTGCCCGGCTTCTGCACGGGAGCCCTGGACGTGCCCGACAGTCTGAAGCGGGTGGCACGCGCCCTGGGCTCTCTGCTCACCGAGCGCGAGGACCTGCGGCTGGTGGTGCTCTCCGCGCTCCGGCTGCTCGCCACCAAGTCCAGCGACGACGAGGCCTCGCGCGCCGAGGTGGCCAGATTCGCCAAGAACTACCTGCCGATCCTTTTTAACCTGTACATGACGCTGCCGAGCTCAGGTCCGGGTCAGGGCCACCGGGCCGCCGTACTGGAGACGGTCACCGCCTACCTGACCGTGGCCGACCACGATCTCATCAAGGCACTTGTCGACAAGTGAGTAACTAAGCCGCCGAGTGGTCACTGGGGGCGGGGCAGTTCGAGATTCCATATTGGTTTTAATCTACATGAATTTCCACTCTTGATATTGTCGTTAAATATGAAACTGACGGGCTTAGGTACTTAACTTGGTAACGAACTAAATATTAAGGTAACATGTTATTGGTTAGCCTTATTTTTCGTTTTTTATGGCCTGGGGGCCGGGGGTCTTTACAAGAAGGTATGCTGTCTGATCCGTCTGCTCCTCTTCTACAGGTTGTCCCAGAATTGACCGAACATTTATTTTCTGGCTAAAAGTACGATTGCGCTCGATTCTTATTAGATACGAGCATTATACTTTTGTGGGACATCCCTTAGCTATCGAGCTTGGAGACTGTGTGATTTTAAGTCAACTACATTATTTGTTGTATTGTATTATCCAGAGTCAGCAAAGAGTAGTCCCTTTCCGTTTTTAGCCTTAGCTGCCAAAAGGCAATCATGGTAAATAAAGTGCCGTTCTCAACTTCGTAAACGGGCTTTCGGCATGGTTCTTGCTGGAGATCTCCAGCAGCTCATCTGCAAACAGCTAGGAGTGTGCAAAGCGCAGTTATATCAGCGAGCGAAGCCAGAGAGAGCAAGAGATAGCCTGATCGACAAGCCTGGGCGCGACCAAGAAGGAGCATGCACCAGTCGTCAAGCGGGCTGTTGCCATGTCATGGAAAACGAACGTCACCCAGCTACCCAAAAACGAGCTAAACGACAGATCAGGGTTGGCTACAAAACATCAGTCTACTTTTGACCACTGGGGCATTCCACGATAGATCGTACCACTTTTTTCGAATTTGACACCCTCATCTCTCGGATTTTAACGATAATTGGTCTAAGGGGTAATCAGGGGCTCTGAATCCTCCTGTAACAATTTCAAGCTTATCAGATGAGTGGTTTTTGAGTTATAGTGTATAACATGTTTTGGATCTTGCGTTGCAGCCCCAAGTTTGGCGGGCTGTAACTCTAAGACGGATAATCCAAATGCCAAATGCTATACGGCATTAAACTTGCATTGAAACAAAGAATAATATGCATTTTCAAAATTTTGAAATATATATTATTTTTGATATATAACACCTCGAGTTTCCTTTAATTTGCATTTTTATGCCTTTGGGACCAAATTTTTTTGAATTTTTATTTGCTTAAAAACATTTTTGGATCATTTGTAAGTAGTATGCAAAAAATTAGGAAGGTGTTCTTTCTATAAATGTACTTATTTTGCGTCACCGTAATGGTCTCGAATTGTGATTTCGGAAAAGAGCCTACAAATGGTGTGGTAAAGCTGCCTAGTGACATCACTGGTTACTGAAAGTTCAGTTGAAGTCATTTTCCCCTCACTTTTGCATTGTTGATCTTTCGTGACGTCATTCGTACGTCACTAGGGTCATAAGAGTTTTTCGTCAATAACTCTCGATCAAATTGAGCTAGAGAGACGGGAAAGCTACCAATGGACTCGGAAAGACATTGTGAATCGAATGATGTGCAATATGATCTCATTCACTCAGCTTCGTGGCCTGACCCGACTGTTAACCATCTCTGTAGCGGCGCTGTTTGTCCAGCGCCGCGCTGGTTGGCTTTGCCGCGGACTCGAGCGGTCACGTGATGCCCGGGGGCTGGCTGCCGGCTGGGCCGCCCGGTCGGGGCGCGGAGCCAAATACACGGCAGTGTGCTGACCCGAGGTCAGCGACTTAAGCTGACTTCACCAGAACAAACAGTATACCATTCGACGCGCCGGAGCTAGGCAAACACAAAGATGCTAAAATCGCGGCTCTGCGACCATTTGTTGCGGAGTTATCTATCAAAAACCGGACCCGTAATTTGGGTCACTTGAAATGACCTCAGGGGTCACCAATGAAACCGAGACCTTAAAATGTGGTATTATTCGATGCATCTTGTAACGGCGCACATGCTCGTTTTTTCCGCAAGTTTCTAGCTCCATTAGGGGCGAAACGGCGAGCTGGGGTCGTACCGACCCCCGGAAACTCATTTTGTATACATTTAAATGAGGGACTTATAGAAAGAACACCTTTCTAATTTTTTGCATGTCGATTTTAAAGGACCTGAGGTTTATTTTGAAAAAATAAAAATGGCAAAAATTTTGGTCCCAAGGGCCATTATAGACAATTTAAAAAAAATACTACGATTTTTTTCAATATGTTAAGCTTTTCTTTCCAATTTTAAAAATACTGTATTAATCTTTGATTCATTGTTAGTTCAAAGCTGTTTACCGTTTGTTGCTTGCTTAGCTCGTTTTTGAGTTATAGCTCATCAAACTCACCCTTACAATCTGAAGTTTAGAAAATATTGTGCAATTTAACTCAAAAAGTTTTGATCTGAGAAGTCTGATATTTTGACAGGTGTTTTTGGAGCCTATGATTACCCCTTGTACCAATTTTCATTCAAATCTGAGAGATGAGGGTGACGGGCCTGGTACGATCTATCGTGGAATGCCCCCACTATCTTTCACAAAATTTTTGAATTTGGGGCCCCTAACCTGAAAAATAGGCCAAAACTAACGGAAAGACAGCGCAAATCGCTACCAATCAGCCAGAAATCATAACATATGCGACAAAAAAGTGAATGGGAACACACGTTGTGGTCTTACGAAGGTATCCTGCCCTTTGAACCGACAAAAAAGTTGGGTGTGGAGGTGGACGTCAGATGGTGACAACGTCCCAACAGCGAAGACGGCCAGGCACTCGTCGAACATCAAAGTGTGAGACATTTTGAGCCACGGTGCGCTCACTCAGCTTCACGTGATGCCCCAAAGACGACCGTTAACACAGATTGCCACTGCGGTAATATTCAAGCATTACAAAAACTGGTTGTCGTGAACTGAATGGCCCTAAACGGGTTTGTTCTGGAAACCAAATCTGTTGGAAGCCAAAGGTCACGCCATGTTCAGGCATGGAGGTTCTCCACTTCAGATGTCAAAAAACAGCGCAGCAGTGGTGTAGGCAGATTTTTTTTGGGGGGGGGGGAGAATGCCTTATGGTCTGGGAACAGTTTGGATGCAAATTTAATCGAAAATATTAATTATAGTATCCACCGGCAAGAGGTCAATGAAAACCGTCGTACAACCAGTTTCGGGAGACCCGTAAAACAACTGAAGCCAGCATCGTCTGGCATTTAGCTACAATTGTCGGCTAATCTTGTGGCTAGTGTGTATACTGTATATTGCATGTGCCATTTCGAAGCTAGCCTTATTGACTATATCGGACGATAAAAAGAAAAAAGTGCAATTATTTTTCTCTTATCCTATGCGCTGATTAACAGTGTTTGGTCAATTTTGGGACACCCTGTATGCCCGTATCTGACTGTACCGGTGTCGGTGGCAGGGCGCTGTGTGATCCGTGTGCTGCTGTGTCCGTATCTGACTGTGCCGGTGTCGGTGGCAGGGCGCTGTCTGATCTGTGTGCTGCTGTACCCGTATCTGACCGTGCTGGTGTCTGCGTCAGGGCGCTGTGTGATCTGTATGCTGCTGTGTCCGTATCTGACTGTGCCGGTGTGTGCTGCTGTGTCCGTATCTGACTGTGCCTATGTGTGCTGCTGTGTCCGCATCTGACTGTGCCGGGGTCGGTGGCAGGGCGCTGTCTGATCTGTGTGCTGCTGTGTCCGTATCTGACTGTGCCGGTATCGGTGGCAGGGCGCTGGAGAAGGTGGGCGCCGGCGAGCCGTCTGACGAGGACCGCGCCCACATGCTGGACCTGCTGCGCACCATGCTGCCGCACATGGAGGCCGACGTGATCGCGCGCGTCTGGGGCTACGCCGGCCCGTTCGTGGAGGGCGAGCAGCGGCTCAGCCAGAAGACCGCCTACCGACTGCTGGAGGACGTGTGTCAGAGCCAGCATCAGGGCTGCATCACATTCGTCCAGGAGAACCACATGGACCTGATGAGCGCGCTGAAGCGCTCCATGGCGTCGGCCAGCGCGTCGGCCAAGACCACCAGGCTGTCGTGCCTGGCCGGCCTGCTGGAGCACCTAGACGGCAGCAGCGAGCACTTTGTGGCCGGCGTGCTGCCCGAGGCGGTGCTCTGCTGCAAGGAGCACAACGAGAAGTCGCGCGCGGCCGCGTTCCGTCTGATCGTCCGTATCGGCGAGACACTGCGCCGCTGGGCGTCCGAGGCCGGCCAGGAGCCCGAGGAGGCCATGCGCACCTACATGAAGATGCTGCTGGCCGGCCTGACGGGATCGCCCAAGCTGATCGCCGGCACGCTGCTGGCCACGGCACAGGTGATCCACCAGTTCAAGGAGATCTTCCCGGCCGACCTGCTGGACCTGACGCTGGACAACGTGTGCCTGCTGATGACTTCGTCCTCCCGAGAGCCGGCAGAGGCGTGCCTCTCGCTGGTCAAGGCGCTCGTGTTCGCCATCGACCCGGCGGTGTTCGCGCGCTTCCTGCCCCGTCTGATGAAGGCCATCGCCATGATGACGCCCGACTGTAAACGGCACTTCCGGCAGAAGACGCGCGACCTGCTGGCCGTGTTCGTGCGCAAGTTCGGCTTTGACGTCATCTTCGGCCTGGCACCGTCCGGAGACGCAGTACTGCAGAAGCGGCTCAAGAACATCAAGAAGGTGGAGCAGCGTAAGAAGGCCGACCGGGAGGCGCGCCGGCAGCAGCAGGAGTCGGACGACGAGCTGGCACCCACCACCAAGAGGTTAGTTTGGAATACAGACGCTGGCCTAAAATAGCGAAGTTTTGGTGAGGTTCAATGTTCTGAATGTAAATGTCAGCGTTTGTATGGACCTAGTCTGCTGATTCCTAGTCGACCACTCTAAATAGTAATTTTTATTTCTTTTGCAATTCACAACAAAAAAAAAAGATGTATAAAAGCATCCCGATACGCGGCTAATTCAAGCTCTGTACGTCATTGGTGCCTGCTATTCTGACCACTCTTCTGCTGTTTGGCGGCAGCGTGGACGAGATTCTGCAGGCGGCCGAGGTGTCCTCGGACGAGGACGAGGGCGGCCGCTCCGAGCAGCAGCGGCCCGCCCGCAGGAAGGCCAACAGCGCCGCCTGGATCCGAGAGGACGCAGAGAGCATCGTCGACCTGCTCGACCCCAAGGCCTCTCGACAGGTCACCGGTAATAAAAGGGGACGCTTGTTGCAATGCTCTGGGCAGCCATCGTATTCAATGAGTGTTTGCGCGTTTTAGCGTTGTAGTCGGAGTCATTCGCGCAATTCACAACAACTTTCCATTCCCACAACAGTTGATTTGCGTTGTAGTCGTCTTGACATTTTGTCACTGAGGATGTGCTTAACAATCTATGTCAATTATTGGCTCAGAATTCGTTTGTTGTCTGCCTATTTTAAGAGTGAATCTGAATGCATTTTGCGTGAACTTCACGAAGTACAAATGTTATCGTGTGACCTGTGAGCGGAGACGGTGTCTTTTCGTTCGGTATAATCGCTATTGTATGACGGTAGAGTGTAGACCCCGTTCATTGTGTGCACTCCTGATGTGACCGGTGCCCTGCGCAGCGTCGCGGCCGGACCAGGGCGGTGCTGGGGCAGAGCGAAGGGAGCGGCGCCGGAAAGAGTTCGGCATCAGCGAGGACGGCCGGCTCATCATCGACACGGGCGACGACGACGACGACGAGCCGATCCGGTCCAGCGACGACGAGGAGGGTGAGACGCGGCTCTGTGGTATCTGAGAGAGATGGTGTCCCACAGTGACCAGGTGAACTAACATCATAAGTTTTTGCGTGCTGTCTGGGAGTATAATATCGCCCTTTGATTATTATTACTTGTTATTATTATTATTATTATTTTTTTTGCTTCCAATAAGGTGCTCCAGTGTCAAGGACATGTCAAGGACATCTATCTTACCAGCCATTTTAACAGCATATCGTCCATATCCCCGATCTGCTCCGTTCGCTGCGGAGTTTTTCCAGAGAGCTGCCAGTGACAGTTCATACTGACTCCCTGTGCGAGTTTTAATGACTGGTGGCGTTGCCCGCAGACGAGCCGGACCAGTTTCTGGAGGCGATCCGTAACACGGCCGGCCATCGGGCCAAGCGGAAGCTGGACGCCTGCAGCGCGGGCTCGGCGTCCGAGCCGGCGCCGGCGTCCAAGTACCGGGCCGGCGGCGGCGGCATCCACCGGCCGGTGGGCGGCGCCGAGTCGGTCCGCTCGGGCCGCTCGCACTGGTCGACGGCCGGCGCGTCGGTGCGCTCGGGCCGCTCGGCCCGCTCGGCCGGCGGCGGGCCCCCGGCCAGAGTCGGCGCCGAGTATGCCTCTAAGAAGGGACGCGGCGACGTCAAGCGGGCCGGCCGGCCCGACCCGTACGCCTACGTGCCGCTCAAGAGGAACACACTCAACAAACGGTCAGTGTGGCCAGCTGGCCGTCCAGGGTACCGGGCGGAGAACGTGTGGACTGGCCGACCGGGGTTGAGCCGAGTGAATGTGTTAAATGGGTTAGGGTAGGGACTGGATACCTCACTAGATGGCGCTGTTTGTCGTAAGCCTGTTATGTTGCACCCTGTGGGGTTCGCAAAATAAAACAGGCTTGAACAGCCTGAGAAGGTAGATCTTACAATGTTTACTCTATATTTCGGGACATACGAGCTGTTAGTTTTTTTACATTAACTTTACTATCCAACGCAGTTTCATGAAGTACCGGCGTCTGTATTAACTGAATGTTTCGTTTCTTTCGTTTCCAGGAAAAAGGCAAAGTACGAGGGGCAATACAAGAACATTGTCAGCGGCGCGCAGAAGGGCGCGACGAAGGGTGCCAAGGCCCGCGGACGCAGCAGGAAGCGCTGACAGTCGGAGTGTCACTAGGTCGAGGCGTTGTTGGTCGGACCTGCCGGCTGGACGGAGATCAGTGAGCGCTGCAGTGGGGGCGCCAACTGCCGGTGGAGCGGGCCGGCAGACTGCAGAACTGTGGGTCCCAACTACCATTGGAAGGGCGTTGCAGCCAGTCGGCGCGGCGGCGCCCTGCATGTGCGCCGTTCTGAAGTGGTCTGCCTCGGCAGAGCTGACGGGGCTGGGAGCGGTGAGAGGCTCTGGCGCTCGGCGACAGCGCGTGCGTGTTATGTGATCACGTGCAGACGTGTGAATATCGCTCTATCAGGAGGGGATCTGATGTTGCAGCGTGAATTTGGAGGCTTAAATATATGAAATGCTCTGTTATTTATTGAGTGAATACGACACCCTCTGCTATGCGGTCATTGAGGTCAGAGCGCTGAACTCAACTAAAGCAATATGTCAAAACGCGATTAGTTAGTGAAGGCGCGTACGTACATACCTCCAGGCAACATATTACGTATAACACGATGAGCACGCTGCTCATATGGAGTTTCACTTGATTGTAAGCATCGTGGATGCAACTTAGCACATCAAATATCACACAAGCATGCGGCACCAACCTCGGTGTCTTCCCGGTTGCAGGTCCTGCGAGCTCTCAGGCCGTTCGGCGGCCGCTGCGTTATTTGGCGTCCCCAACTCGCACTCGAGTTGGTAGCTCTATCCTCGGCCACTATTCACTGTCGTCTGAGTTTGGCTCGGCGGGCGCTGGCTCCGTGTGATCGCCGGCCGGGCGGTGGAAGTGACGCGGACAGGTGACCCCGCGCGGACCGTTGTTCACCAGCAGGTAGCCGCTCAGCAGGTTGTTCATGCTGACCGGTGGTATGGTGATGGTCTGCTCGTCTGGCCAGATGGCCTCCCCTTGAGTCAGTTCTCTCAGCTGGTCCAGTGTGATGTTGTTTCCGCGCAGCACGGCGCGGTAGTCGGTCGGCCGGAGCTGAGCGGCCGAGGCCGGGTCCTGGCTGCCGAGTCGGCTCACCAGGGGCGCCAGGTCGGCGGGCATGGCGCCCTGGCGCTGCCACTGCACCAGGCGGCTGCCGCAGAGCACCACGCCGGCCGCCAGCAGGTGGCGGCGCAGCGCGGCCACGTGGCGCACCAGCCGGCGCCGCTCGGCCCGGCCGCGGCCGCCCAGCGCGTCCACCTCTGACCAGAAGTAGCAGGGCAGTCGGCCGGCGCGCGCCGCCGCCTCCACCCAGTTCAGCACGGCCAGCAGCGCCCGGCGCGCCGCCCCCGGCCCCGCCCACCAGTCGGCGCCGTGCCGCTCCGACAGCCACAGCACAGCCGTCTTCAGATAGTAGCTCTTGACAGCGGCCACCGAGCGTCCCAGCGCTGCCTTGCAGTATTTGAGCGCCGTCAGACATGCACGCTGCTCAGGCGTGAGCGCGCGCAGCGCCGTGTGCTCGAGCTGGGAGAACGACAGCCGCCACTGGTGACGCTCGGCTTTGGTGCCTCGCGCGCCGACCGGGACCAACAGGACGCCCATGCGACAGAGCCGGCGCACCAGGTCGGCCGGCGGCCACCCGGACGGTCGCTGTCGGCCGGCGAACCCTGCGCTCGGCCAGGACGGACAGCGCACGCAGGCCACCAGATCGATATCGTACTGGTCCCAGAAGTTGACCGCCAGAGAGGGTCCGGCGCGGTCCAGCCGGCCGGGCCGGCCGTCGGCCGCCTCCCGGCCGAGATCGGCCAGCAGGCGCACGGCGCTGCCGGCCGAGAACAGCAGTCGCTCCCTGTGCCGGCACTGAGGCCGCCGCTGGTGGTGCAGCAGCACGAACCCCGGCCGGCCGGCCGTCTCCTGCGTGACGAACACGGCGTCCCTCTTAGACACCGGGCTGCCCTCGGGATCAGTGGACTCACTCTCAGACTCAGCAGAGGCGGGACTGGCCCGGCCGCCGTTTGACCTGGTGTCCTCCGTCGCGCCGTTATAGGATGGTCCGGCTGTCTCCGACTGGTTCAACCCGTCCGGTCTCTGCTCAGACAGGTCCGCTACACGGACCGGCCCCAGCTGAAACATCACATCAGCGTCGGAGCTGCCGAACGGCTCCCTCAGCCGGACGTCATTGCCCTCTGGTATACTGCCAGAGGAGTACACCCGCTCCACTATCAGCTGGCTGAGGTCGGCACAGGCGCACTGAGGCGCCGGCTGTCCCTCCGCCAGCCGGAGCACCTTCAGAGCGAAACTGGAGGCCGCGAACGGGCCGGTGAATCCCCGGGCGCGCCGCGCCACCTCTCGGGACTGCAGCATGGCCACCAGCAGCTGGCAGGTGGCGTCCGCCTGCTCGTCGGAGACCGGGGGGCTGCTGTGACGGGCGCCCATCGCAGCCGAGGATCGGGCGCCTGCTCACTGACTCACCAGCCGCGCCGTCAGTGAGCCGAGTCACCGCCCCGCCGCTCGCGTGACGTCACCGCTCAGCGGCTGATCGGGCCGGCTCACCGCGCCGGCGCGGCGGCCGCCCGTCCCGGCTCGGCGCGACAGCCTTGCGCAGCCCGAGAACTGGCGTCTCGCGCGGCGGAACCGCGGCCTTGGCCACATCGGATATACAACCAGTGGTTCACAAACTTCCGTCAAACGAGCTCACCGACAACAGTGGACATCGTGCACGCAGCGGTTTGCATCTTTTCGATAGACCGTCAGGCTTTCGCTCTTTGTGGGGTCATCAGAGACGAGCCCCGGTGGAAATACCGGAACAGAGGGCGGGTGATAAGTATCGTCGGAGAACGTGGCTTTCCACACCCACCCGTCACGCTGATCTGGATGGAATATACGCCTAGAACCATACAGAAACTGATATGACCCCTTTAGTCACCCTCCGAGCGTGCCTGTCCTACGTCCATTGCCCCCCCCCCCCAAAAAAAACAATGGCGACCACCAATCAACTAAAAACGACAGCTTCGCCAGTCCGCTTTATTGAAGGCCCCACACGCACACACTGCCCCACGATCGATCACTCGTTGGTTCCCACATTCGGCAATAAATAAATTCGGGCTGGTAACACTAAACAATTTTAACAAACGCATCAGTGAAAATACACATCTGCCCAGCGGCTAGCAAAATACGTTCCGTTCCCACCAGCCTGCCGGACGGCGCGGCGCCGGCGCAGAGGGTCAGTGGCGGCGGGTCAGCCGGGACTCCTGACGAGACGCCCAGCAGGCTGGCCGGTCAGCCGCGGGACGGCAGTCACCGCCGCCGCACGGAGCGGTCCGGCGTCGGCCGGTGCCGCACGGACCACTCGCGCCGCACCAGCGGCGGGGTAGTATTTCAATTAGATATCACAGATCGCATCGCAGTTCGCACGGTCCGGTCGATCGGCTCACCCGTTCGTTCGCCAGCTGCAGCCACTTATTTAGACGGAGCATTGCTGGAGATCAGACGCGCACCCACGAGGACAGCTTAAAACAAAACCAAGGGCAGCAGCTTTCCGGCAGAACAGAACACACTACAGCACACGCAACACAAGATATTTTAAAACAACTAAGCCCCTCCCGATTATAGATATGTCGAAATGTAAATGAACCGTACACAGCGTATGCAACACAGGCTTCTGCGTCGTTCCTTAGAATTCAATGGATCTAAAATTATGGAAAACAGAGTAGCATGGTCATCTTTCTTACATGACGAAATCTAGTAAAAATCACCATGAGATAAATTGATGAATCTCCAACGATGCAAACCATTTCGCGAGGTCAAACGGTGAAAATGATTGGATGTCAGCTGAGCTTGGCCACCGCCTTCGCAAGGCCTTCTCCAGCACCGCATGGCCTCCCAGACGACCGTGCTCGGCCGGTGCCGCCCGGCCCTCACTTCCCCAGTCGTATCCGGCTCCGGGTGACCGGCTTCTTGGCGGGCCGCTCGGGCCGCGCCGTCTCTGAGCTGCGCCGCTTGCGACTGACGGCCGTCGGCGGCGGCGGCGGCGCGTCACCGTTGTGGCTGCGCAGCGCCGAGCGCCGGGTGCGCGGCGGCGTACTGAAAGAGGAGCGCAGCTGGCGCACATGCTGGCTCAACTCGTCCGTTTTCCGGCGCACCTTCTGCAGCAGCTCGGCCGACGGACTGCGCCGCACGGCGGCCAGCGGCGCCGGCGCGCGCGCCGGTACCGACGCGGCGCCGGCCGGCGGGGCCGAGCGGCGGCGTACCGGCCGGCCCGGCGCCGCCCGGTTCTCCGTGTCGCTGTCCTCGCCGGCCGGCGGCGGCGCCCGGCGCGCGCAGCTCGAGCTCGTCACCTCGTTGATCTGGACGTCGCGCCGTTCGGGAGGCGGCGCCGGCAAGCTGGCCGACATGGCCGCCAGCAGCGGCAGCGGCGCGGTGGCCGCGGGCGGCGGCACCCGCGGAGGTGGCGGCGGCGGCGGCGGCGCCGTCATGGGCTGCGGACACGAGCGGCGGCCCACCAGCGCCGGCTTCAGCGCGCCCACCGGGTTAAACACCTTATAGTCGCGCAGCGGCGAGGCGCCGGGGACTCGCGGCTCAGCGCCGCCGCTGCGAAAGAAGGCCGGCCGGAATCGGGCGGCGGCCTTGGCGCGCTCGGCCAGCTGGACGGCGGTGGTGGCCGCCTCGTCGGCCGGACGCTTCGCCGCTGAGCTCTGCTCCGACTCAGACGACTGACGCAGACGCTTCTTCACCACCTGTGAACAGAAGCACGGTCAGCGACAGAGCACAACACACTGTCCTTCAGACGCTGTGGGATTGCCATTAGTGGCAGAGCGGGAACATGGACCGTAATAGCAGTTGGTCAGTTCGGTAATAGTGCATGATGCATTACAGCTTCTCAGATATGACATGTTACCATTTGCAAGTACCATGGATAACATGAATCTATTCAACATGAATCTATGAGCCAGTACCTTACAGGTAAACGCCACCTCATTAACCCGGCAGTTGCTGGGGTATTTCGCCACCCACCGTTTGCTGGGGGGGGGGGGGGCGTTAAACGCTCCCAGCCGATAACTCGAGAACCAATAGGCGCAGCGAAACGCACGAGGCGGCAAACGAAAGAACGCGACGAGACGCTTCAGATGAGTACTTTAAAGTTGAATTTTGAGGTCACAGGTCAGGTCAAACACCTGAAATCGGGCTTTCAGTAGCATGGAATTCAGGACTTCGCAATGGGCGCCTATCGTCATAAACTCTGTCAAAACGGTGCACAATCCATCATATAAGGCCTACAAGAGTGTCAGCTCCATGCAGGGGTCACTCAAGCATAGGTCAGGGTCAAGGTCAGGTCAACCGGGCAGGCACATATCCCCGAAAATAAAAACTGATATTCGCAGCCTGTGACACATGTTTTATGGGTAATTTGGGGCGTAGAACACGATGGTGACATTCATTTTATCATATGTGTACGTGTTTGGCTAAAAAAGTTCAATTTAAGTAATGCATGTATCATGGTCGTGAAGTAGTCACGAGAAATTGCCAAGATTCAGTGCAAGATTTTGGAAAATGCGGAACGATAATCAATAATCGAAGATAGCCATTTGATTGTTCATGGTATTGGCAGTCTAATAGCGTTTACGGCATGTCTGTATGTCTATTCTGTGATTTTATATGATTTTTTGAACATATGCCGTTTTTGGTCGAAAACTCAGAAATCATGACGTCACTAAAACCTCGATATCTCAAAAATTTTCCGACCGATTTTTTTGAAACTTTGTCACAATACACTTCAATCAATTGCCTACAGGTACCCAAAATTTGGCGCGCCTGCGGCGCGCCGTTTTTATGCTATGGCCCGGCGAAAAAAAAGTGGGGGCGTTTAACGCCCCCCCCCCCCCCAGCAACTCGCGGGTTAAAGCCGTACAGGACCAAGGCGCCGCCGGTGGCGCGGTGTTTCTGACCTGGACTTTGGGCGGCCCGGGCGGGTCGAGCATCACGGTGACGACGCTCGTGTTGTCCGCTCGTAAGCACTTCATCTTCCACTTGCTGAGGGCCAGGTCTACCAGCCGCTTAGAGGGGTTGATCCACTGGCGCTCCTGTGTAGAAAGATGATAAAAAGTCGTCAGAATTGCAAAAACAGTCGTGCAGCCTGTTCTATACTCTGCGCTGGATACGCTGGAAAACTGAAGGAAGAAGGAACAGTTGGAGATAAAATTAATAATCAATTCAGAATGCACAATGCAATACTGTAGGCCAACTTCTCAGCAGAATATGCGGCATTACGCCGTACGCGTTAGCTCCAACACAACGGCTACAAAACGGCAATCGAAAATGAGCAAACTCGATGATTCATGTACGATTATACAACATACAATATAAATTGCTGGGAAGCGAACTGTCCAATGAAGACCCGACCAGCCATCTTCCGGAACCTATGCCGTGAAGGTGGCGCGCTACTGCTCACCTCACCCATCAGTTGGAGTGGTTGGTGTGACACCCACCTATCCCATGTTGGTGTGATTAATGAGACACCTCTCCCGTGTTGGTATGGTCGACACTCACCTTTCCCGTGCGTGTCGCTGATGAGACACTCAGCCCTCCCGTGTTGGCGTGGTCGACACTCACCTCTCCCGTGTTGGTATGGTTGATGAGACACTCCTCGTTGAAGAGTTCGGCGTGCGCCACGTTCGAGACAGACTGCTGTGGTGACACCATGTTCCAGAAGCCGTCGGTGCCGAGAACCAGGCAGCGGTGCTGCGTCACATCCACCGTCAGCACGTCCAGGTCCGGCTCCGGCGACACCACGTACTCGTTGTTGGACGAGTTGAAGCTCCACAGGTCGCCTGCGGGCCACACTCGAGGTTAGAGCAGAATCTCCCAGTCCAGCCAGGCCAGATTGATATGTGCCTGGTTAGTGACAGCATATCAAAACCACAAGACCGTAACAGGCACAACCGTAACAGGTTTGAGCCGGTCCCGTAACTCAATCGGTAGAGCGTTGGACTCCGCGTGCTGAGAGCATGCGTTCCCGGTTATAACAGTCTGGGACTCTGGGCTTTAAACGCGATGGGCGCTTGACGTTTATGGGCCTCCTGACAGGTATAGTTGCGGTTGGTGGCAGGCCTTAGCTTGGCAAAGTGAGCCCTGGCAGGGTCAATGTAACAAGCTTCGCTTAGTGAGGGCTCTGTCCTTGTGAATCTCTCCATTCAAAAGGTTTGGACTAAATTCATAAAAAAGCACCTACCAACACATAAATAATCCAGTAAAACACAGCCTGATCTGGCCACCCCCCCCCCCCCACACATCTCTGTCACCCAGGCAGTTGACCCACCTAGTGACCTGGCCACGGCCAGGAAGGGGATCTCGTCAATCTCCGTGGAGCGCCGGATGGGGCCCTGGTGGCCGATGCGGGGCCGGTTCCACACCACGCGCGGCACGCCGGACTTGTTGATCACCTTGCCGCCGCACTGCTGGATGCGCTCGCACTCGTCCACCGACTCGGGCTTGTGGTCCCTGGTGAGCGGGCGCGCGTGCCAGTGGCGCGGGTCGTCCCCTGCAGGGCAGGGAGTGGAGCAGCGCAATACCGTTAGAAAGGGACACAGTCAGATTGTCAGCCTGCTGCAGGTGATCACAGCAATGTGCAAACCTGAAAGTTTTACACCTTGTGTGAGTGCTATGACATTCAAATAATTTGTGTTCAGCTCCAAAATACTGATCGATATGCAACATTACCTTTCCCAGTCAGGCCATGACCTTGCCCTTAGCTCAAACTTTAAAGTTGTTGAGCATAATAGGTCAAATTATAGCTTATTTGACATGTCTTGACAAAACAAACCCAATACTGGTAACATACGTGCTAATTTGGAGCCAAAAATTAACGCAGATAAGCATTTCCTATCAAATTTTTAATTTTCATTATTTTTTGCCCTCTGGAGGCTAAACTGTTGATCTGAGGTCGAATATGAGAGAATTCCTCAGAAAGAGTATTACTCAGAAAGAGTAATAAAAGAGCTACCACATGTGCTCTCATGCAACCCTGTAGCCCTACCTGGTCCCAAGCTATACAGTGATTTGTAAACAACTGTCAAAATTGGTGTACTCAACATCAGTGACTTCCAATGACCTCCAGTGACCTGACCTATGAAATGATCTAAAGCAAACCAGATACCTTTTCATAGTTTTTGGTTCTACTTCCTGTCCCTATGAAGCCTCATAGCCAAGTTTGACTGGGGGTGTTCTGTTCACTGTTCAGCCCCCTGCCCCAGCTGCAGCACATGACATGGAAATCCAGGAGTCCCAGCAGGAAGTAGGTGAATTGCCTACCTGGCTTCTGATATCCGAGTACAATGGCTGAGTCACCAACATGGCCAGTGTATATTTTTCCTCTTCTGATGAATGCAATGCTGGCTGTGGAGCCTGAGGTGCTTGGAAGGCCAGCAGACGTTTTTGGCCAATGTTCTGAAAAGGTAGTCAGAAGTCAGTGACCATATGATTCACATCACATTTTGCTGTTCGGCATTCAAGACTTACTGATTCACAACTCCTGAGTGTCTGCCTGAAAATCAACTAAAGGCTAGAACAAAAGCACTAGAGAACAGCCTGTAAGACAGAGCAATCAATTGTAGGTATGTGCTATATTTTTTATTTCTGTTTAAGCATTTCTGTTCAAATTCCTAATTCCCTGTGCCTAAAAAAGCCCAAGAACATCTTTATTACTTTTCTAAAAATAACTTAAACAGCCAAATCAAGTCTGACAGTTTCAGCAAAGCCATAGAAACTAGGTAGGTAAGTACCTACTATTCTAATGCCTATTTAATCAGTCATATTATGGCAACCAATGTGAGCATTGCACAAATCATAGAAAGAATTTAGTTCAGTAACAAATGGATAAAAAATGCTGGTATACATATCAGAAGAAGACATACAATTACATTACAGCAGTTGGTTACACAGGATAAAAAACAGAGGTGCTGAGCTCAAATCTGCCATGCAAAGGCAGAAACACTTGCATTTGGGTGAACCCTGGCCTGATTCAATGACCTTTGACCAGATGTGATCGTTCTTGCCTTTGTATTGCAAAAGTGCACACCCTGATCAAAATGCTCAAACAAGCAGATGCCAAGACTGCGAGTGTGAAATAACCATTAGGAAAATTTAGCCCATGTATTAGATGATGAAACTAAAAACATCAGACCGTATACCCAATTCTTTTCTAAACTACACCAGCTCGCGCCAGATTCGTCTACAAATTCTTACCAAGCTCTTTCCACATTGCCTGGTGCGTGGCAATGAAGCCTTCTCGTATAGCCTTAAGCACAAGTTCGTCATCATCTGACCAGAAATTCTTTTGGCTGACAACGAAGTCCATTAAGTTATCTTTAGCGAATTGAGCAGCTTCTCTTCCACCATGGCCGTCAAAAATGCCAAAGAAGGCATATTCCAAGTCTTTCTCATCTTCCGTTTGTTGATATGCCACAGAAAAGACATCTTCCATGTAGCGTCGATCGCCCTGGTTGCAGTGACCAGTTACACGCAAGTTGACACCAATATTTGGCGCCATACCAACGGCCACAAACTCCACAGCGCACACCCGCGTCCCCACTGCCGCACGCTCAAACGCAACGGTTTCAGGCAGGAAACATCGCAACAAAATGCTGCTCTATGATTGGCTACTGCTACGCTTGCGTCATTCGACCTTGAAAAGTGGCAGACTTTCACACTTATATGACCATAATTTTAGCATTTCTAGCATGATTCGAGAAATGGTTTAGCGTTTTCAATTTTTCTATAATGAATTTTATTTTTAAAAGAACATAAAACATGAACTCTAACATAACTTTTTATCAGCACTATGAAGTACTGAACCTCGAAGCAAGGCTAATGTTATTCATAAGTATCGGTTTATTTTCCTTCAAAATTATTTACATTTTATTTTAACTTAATTTCAAAAATACATTCCGTAGAATTAGTATGGAATGCCGGAAACTTGGCTGGAAAGAAGTTATACCTAATACAGTTGAGTCGGTTGAGTCTACTGATCACAGCCAGCCAATCAGACAGGTCGATTCAGGTTTCTACTGAAACTGGTATTGCAGAACAGCATTCCTAAATGTAAACAAAATAAACCGCGAAATGCCTCAGCAGAACGCCGACCCGCGTTACTCATTATTTTGACTGTATTTCTGTGCTGGTGCTCTGTATATATACGGCCTTGGTATAAAGTGGGATGGTTCAAAATACGCAACTTGCTTCAACGTTACAAATCCACAGAGGTTTGGAGGACGGGAGCGTGTAGCAAGTGTGTAGTATGCATGCGTTTAGCGTGCGAGGCGCTGCCGTTGATGCGGTGCAATTGTAGTCCCGACTCCGAGTACATAAAAGGTGCAGGTACCCACTTGGTTTCCTGTAATTCGTTCCCGTTCACATTTTTTAAGAATCGAGTTGTTTTTTCTGCTGACTGGGGCTACAGCAAGATATTAAAATGCTGCTGAAGCATCTGAAAACAATTTTACCCGCTCAGGTATGTCAGTCGCATAAATATCAACCTTTGAACGTAACCGATCAGGTGTCGTAGTTGTAGGTAGGTAAGGTACCGTTCGTATGTTACTTCAAATTCTTCAGTTATAGAAGTAGTTTCGCTCGAGTAATTTTGTAATCCTCTCACCTCTCACTCTACTCTAAATGAGCACTTTGCACTAAATGATCCTCTAAATGAGCCTGTGGACCTAATTTTAATTGGTGTTCCACAAAATTGCACTCAAGGATGTCTTGCTAGGTTTCACTTACCAAGTACCTACCCATTCTTGATTTCTTGCTCGAATTCACATTGCATTCGCCTACAAATGCAGGCATGAAGGCTAGGGCTTGGCACTCCAGAACAGGATAGTTACCGCACCTCGCTTTCAATGAATGTGTACCTTTCTGCGAACAATGTTCACCCTCCCCTCACCCCTGGTCCTGACACGTTCTCCTCCCATTATGTCATCAGGACGGCGCCGCCAAAATAACGGCCATGACGTGGTCTTACAACAACGTCAAGCTGGCCGTCTGCACCGCTGATCGCGTCGTTATCATGTTTGACGAAAACGGCGAGAAAAAGGACAAATTCTCCACCAAGCCCATCGATGCTAAGGTGCAATTTGCTTTATGAACAAATATTTCGATAGTCATGAGCCAAATGTTCCAGTACATAAGCCAAATATTTTCATTGTCAAATGCATATCGGAGTCATGCGAGAACGTTATGATTTTATACCGATGCCATGAGGCTAGTTAATAGGTCAAGCGATTTTAAGAGCCAAATCTAACCTTATTCGAACCCTGTGGAGTGTGCTAGAAGCATAGCGGTCGATCGTTACAAAATTCCGATCCATGTCACGCACCTGTGGTTGACAGTACGGCAAAAAGAGCTACGTGGTGAAGGGCCTGGCGTTCTCTCCAGATGGCACCAAGCTTGCCATCGGACAGTCAGACAACATCATATTTGTCTACAAGATCGGCGAGGACTGGTGAGCGGGTGTTCTTACGGGCCGGGAAGTGACTGGTGAGTGGTTTTGATTTCTGACCGGGGTATGGGGAGCTGGTGACTCGCGAGCGTACCTGTGGCGTGGCTGGCTGATGGCCTTGGAAACGCCACCAATCCTAAACATTTTCCGAAAAAATGGACAATGTATGTATATTACATTTTCACAGGAGCTTTCTTGATAAGCCACACCCTACGAGACAGTACAGCCAAATGTCATGGACTAATTAGAATATATTTTCCGATGTTTTGGGGTCCGCTAGAGAGAAGGTGTATGTTTGTCCCGTCCTACTCACCACCCACTCACATCATACCACTGACGCGGTGGAGCCTGTGCCGCTGACTAACGGCCGCCACCCGGCTGTGACCGCTGCAGGGGCGAGAAAAAGGTGATCTGCAACAAATTTGTCCAGTCGGCGGCGGTGACCTGTCTGATCTGGCCTCTCGAGGGTCCCATCGTGTTCGGCCTGGCCGATGGAAAGGTGCGCGGTGCCAACGTCAAGTCCAACAAGTCGCAGACGCTCTACCAGACAGAGTCCTACGTCGTCTCCCTCTCGCCCAAGTGAGCACAGTGCATGCTGTTATACAGCACTCATTTTTAAACGACTGCCTGGACGAAACCAACAGCACTCTTTCTTGGTGAAAATGATTACTGTTAAGAAATGGCCTCCTCATTCCATATAGTTGTTTTGTTTATTGTAGGTATTTGTTTGATTCTTTCGAAATTTCCATTCATTCCTTCGATAAATCATTTAAAGGGACTCTCCCACCTTCAAAAAAGTTAATGAATTGGCATGAAAGTGATGTCCCTTGGTTCAGAAAGAGCGAAAACGAATATCTACCAAATTTCACCGAAAAATATTCACTGGTTTTCAAGATAGTAGGCTTTTACTTTTGTTTACTTTTTGGGATCTCCCCTGTTACTAGCGGCTTTATTTGGAAGCAATAATTTGGCAGCCCTAAAGTGCGGCAGACGTTGCGCGCAAAGCAGCATATACCACCACGTGTTACCGATGGTTTTAGTCTAAGATTTAAAAATCGTTAAATCTCCGCTGACGTCACAAATTCTAAGGGGGCATTCCAATGCATTAGCCCCTTAGAATCCGAAAACTGCAAGTTTGAAATTCCATATCTTCGAATTAAAGCATTTTTCGATGTTGTGAGTGTCCAAACCGGTATTTGCAGGTCATGGCCACCAATTTGGCTATCTCAACTCAAAACTAATGTTAAAGGGACCCTCCCACCTTAACATTAGATTTGAGTTGAGATAGCCAAATTGGTGGCCATGGCCTGAAAATACCGGTTTGGGCACTCACAACATCGAAAAATGCTTTAATTCGGAGATATCGAATTTCAAACTTGCAGTTTTCGGATTCTAAGGGGCTAATGCATTGGTATGCCCCCTTAGAATTTGTGACGTCAGCGGAGATCTAACGATTTTAAATCTTTTACTAAAACGTTTGGTAGCACGCGGTGGTATATGCCGCTTTGCGCGCAACAAATGCCGCACTTTCAAATAAAGTCGCTAGGAACAGCGGAGTTCCCAAAAAGTAAACAAAAGTAAAAGTCTAATATCTTGAAAACCGGTGAATATTTTTCGATGAAATTTGGTAGATATTCGTTTTTGCTCTTTCTGAACCGAGCGACATCACTTTCATGCCAATTCATTAACCTTTTTGAAGGTGGGAGGGTCCCTTTAAGGTGGGAGGGTCCCTTTAACTCAAGCCTCAAGGCCATTTATTCGATGAACCACCGGCGAAGCCGTTACCTATAGTTAGAGCTTCCCGCGATGTAGCGTTTGTCATCCCGGCACAACGATGTTTTCGGTTACCGATGCTTTCGCGCTAGGAAAAGTAAGCTTGTCCTAGCATGCATCCGTGCATGCATGCATAACTCATCATTCTCTCGTATGATTGTACCGCCTACTTCCTTCAGTCTCGTGACAGCGGACTGGCCCGGTGAGTGACCGAGTGACCCAGTCCCGGCCGACTCGGTGAATCAGTGACCGTTACTGGCGCGGTGACGGGCGCGGTGACCGGTGACTGACCGGTGTGTGTCCCACTCGGCAGTTCCAGCGGCACGGCCTTCCTGTCGGGACACGCCGACGGCGCCGTCGTTCGGTTCTACGTGTCCAAAGATGAGGAACAACTGCCTCAGGTACGGTAACATGGGCATTAAATGCGACAATTGCTGACTTGTTTGCCGATGGCTGCGAAACGTTTGTGTATGATCGACTCAGTTTACCGATTATATCATTACTGCGGGATAGTGTGTTTTCACATGACTCTGTTGTCACGGATAGTATGCAGCCAGCACAGTCCAGTGACATTCTTTCTCGCCCTTCCTATTCCATTATCGCTCATAACTCCGCTTTCATCGGTAGTATACTGAACGACGTGGCCGACTGGTCATTAGTCGGTGTCCCCCCCCCCCTTCCTGACACCTTCCCGACCCTCCCGTCGTCAAACGGCATCTATGGCCGATCAGCCCCGGGTAATGGTCCCGCCAGGACACTTGTTATGAATGTGGAGAGGGGAGAGGTCACGGCCTTTTGTCCACGCCTCCTCTCGCCCCACCCCTCCCCCATTTCGTCGGTGGCCGTTGTCGGCGCCGACGGCGGCGGGGGAGGGGGGGGGGGGCGGTACTGCACGGCGGGGTAGTTTCACTTTCCGTCCACGCGCCGACGCGGCCGCTGCCGGCGTCTTCGGTTCCCCTCCCCGCACACGTGTTCCGTGGCCTGTCGTAACATGAAACGGCGCCGTGTGCGGGACGGGCCGACCCATTCATACGGTGACATACCGACATGCAGGCAGGCAGAGACAGGTGACGGGGACGGGTTCCGACTGGTAGCAGGCGGCAGGATGCGACCCCAGCAATCCTACCCGCTCGAGCTTGCGCAGCGACCCCACTGAACCTACAATAGTTCGTTTGAGACTTTGGTCCGACCGAGCAGGGGTTCAAAGTCTTGATGGTGGAGTGATTGTTGGTTGACGTCATGCTTTGTTGTCATCAGATGATTGATAGCTCGGTTGAACCTTGGTCACCGAATGATGTAGGACATTCGCCAGCGTCTATCAGTCTAGCGTGACAGAACCTGTCCTTGTCGATCTCGGTTATGTTTTATTATCTACATTCTACACACACGACTCGGTAACGAAATAAATGTAAATCCATGCTACCGACTGCGTCCTACTCGTTATGATGACTTATACCTACCCGAATGACCGGACTGAAATCAGCCGATACCAGATGGTACTGATATGCAACAATGATATTTGTGTGCTGTAAAAGGCATATAAACGCTTTATGCGTGATTGTGCGATGCTGTAAGCTCTTGCTAGGATGCTTCGTTTACTAGATTTGCCGCCGTTTGATTGTTGGGAGTTAAGACGTGCGGCGGCCGGGCCTGTTCATAGACTGACCTCCGACAAACCCTACCGTCTCTGTTGACTGGTAGGTACATATATGTAGTCTGACCGGCGGCGTCGACCCCTACCCGCAGGGTAAGATCCTACAGCACAACGTACCGCCCTACGCGCTCTGCTGGGCCAACAACCACATCGGTATCGGCGGCTGCGACAGAAAGTTCATCTTCTACACTAAGGTGAGTGCCGCACTGGTCCGGGCGCCGAGCGATGTGAACGTGCCGCCAGTCCGCTGCAGCTCGAATTCTGTCCTAACCGCGGTACCAACTCCACTGCCGTAGCACTCACTTCTTGTCATCGTTCATTGTCTATTCAGCTTCATCAAAAGCAAAACTTTTGCTGGACTTTGCGCCGGAAAATTTTGGGATTTATTTTCTCGAAAGCCAGCCGAAGTGCAAATCGGACGTTCAAACTGCTAAATATTTATCATATATTTAAGTTTGAGTAAAATGCAGTTCAACGCAAACTTATGGCCCCTGAAACTGTTCGTCGATAGAATGTCAGTTGTGACGGTACTTATCGTGGTGCCGCTGTGACGGTGACTGTCTTCCCGTTTCACCGCTGTGACGGTCCGTGTCGTACTGCCGTCGCAGGAGGGTCGGCTGGGACAGCAGTTTGACTATGCGCGCGACGACAGTGAGAAGGAGCTGACCACAGCCATCTGCAGCCCCAGCGGACAGAGTGTAGTCGTCGGCAGTTTCGACAGGTAAAGCTATAGCGTGGTCGTCGGTAGCTTCGACAGGTCAGTATCAGTCCTCAGTCCATGGACCGGTCCATGTCAGTCATCAGCCCCACAATCAGGAAGTCAGCTAACTCAGCAGGAAGTCAGTTACTATGCGTTTCAGACCCTGTGGAACAGTCCTTTTCGGCTATTTCTCGTTGTATATGCGTTTGATTTTAACCAAACTTTGACATTGGTAGTTTGAGATCCCTACCTAATTTTTATCAATATGGTCTATTAACGAAAAATGAAAAATAAAGGCACTTGTCATTGACTGATAATGTTAGGTCGTCAGAGCCCTGCTTAGAGGCTGACACAGGCTGGGCGCTGTCTCCCCTCTGATTGGTCGAGACGCACTAGCACACTGCGGCTTGGCTCCGCCCACTTGCGGTCCAGCCTCGGGTCATGTCGGCGGCAGTCGCAGTCCGGCCGGCCGGCGTGCGGGCCGCGCGCGCAGCGCAGCGGAGTGGAGCACTTGTTTGCATGTCATGAACTTTTAATAAGTTGTTCTACGACAAATAAGGACGGAGGAAGAAAGAGAAAGGAAGAAGAGACAAGGTGACAATGAGACGAACGGTAAACGTTGGCTAGTGGACAACAAACAATATGCATATACATAGCCGCTAGAGCAGAGACAGGAGACAAAGACGGTAGCCGAAAGACAGACAAAAAGATGGTAGACCAGAGACAAGTGACGAAGATAGAGATTAGGCTATAGACGAGAGACAATATATTATAAACGTATAGACGAGAGACTGACAAGGGGGAGTGAAGGATGGGAGATCATTAACTCTCGATATTGCATATCTACATTTTCAGATTGAGTCATCCTATATCTTTCCCTGTTTTATTGTTTTTCGGGCCTAAAATCTATCAACAACATTCTGAAAGCATTGTGGAAATGTCATGGAAAGATTTACCTATTATTTTCACCCCCCCCCCAAAAAAAAAAATATTCTTTTAAACAAAAAAACGAAATACCTACAAGTATCTATGTGGATATCTTCAATTAGATAAGGCCGTTGAATGCAAAGACAGTCCGGTGAATTCTGTCCCGTTACTCCTTAAATGCACAATAGCCTGTAGGAAAACGGCTGCGGAGAGGCTCGCTATAAATTATTGAAAATAAGATTATTTTAAGTCTGCATAGGGAATAACATTCTGTAGCTAGGAGTGGCTTATTGTTTTATACATACACCGATTTGCATTGCATTCTTCATCCTTATTCTCTCCGCGCGAGATACGACATTTACAATATTCACGCAATGATGCCTGCGTTAGCGTGTGTCTCGTTCCAGTCCGTCAGAGCTCCGCACCGCTCTGACCCCGAGCGGCGAATGACCGGTCCCGGTGTCGCGGCGCAGTGGGCGGAGCTTAGCTGCGGCGCAACAGCTGACGCTGCATGCAACGGCATGCTAGCCTCTACCACGGTGCAGAGTTTTCCGATCAATTTTTACCATTACAAGTCAACGACAAGTGCCTTTCATTTTGACATTTTGTTAAAAGACCATATTAGTAAAAATTAGGTAGGCCATTGAAACACATTGTGTCAAAGTTTGGTTGAAATCAAGCGTATAGGTAACGAGAAAGAGCCAAAAAGGACTGTTCCAGATTGTCTGAAATGCGTAGTAGTTGGCCAATGAGCCTACCGGCGAGGTATACGTTTCCAAAGTGATTCAGTCATAATAAGATTTATTACAAATGCCTATCTTCATTCGTATTTATCACTGCTGTGGAGGTCCGCCCATGACGTCAGGCAACCTTCGTAACCCTGGCCCATTTACGGGGGGTCGATTGGACCCCCCTCGGTTTTTCGCGAATAACTCGCGTGAAAAGCGGCCGATCGCAACTTAACTGTAAGTATCCTCGAGTTGATCCATTTTACACCTACCCTGAAAATTTCATGACCCTGACCCAAATGACCTTTGACCTGTGGCTTATTTCTCAGACCATGTTTGGCCGGAATCGCGATTCGGCGTATGTCGGCTCGCATTAGCCGCGCATTTGCAGTCTGTTCATGGTTTCAAGCGTTCAAACATGTGATATGGTGCTGGTCCCATGCATTAGGGTGGCTGTCAAGGTCAGGTCCGGTCATTAACCTTTGATGACCTTGGGTCACTTTTTCGAGTTTTACATGTTTTTAGGCTATTTTTTTGTAGCTGAATTCGAATTTAACAACCATTTGAACATTTCCGAAGTAGTTTTGGTGCCTTCGTAACATGTTTCGAATCTGTCAGAGGCGGTTGACACCAGACACCTATAACTACGAATACCCGGCGGGCGGCAGTAGGTACCCCAACTGGTTGACCTGACCTGACCTGACCCGACCTGGCCTAAATGTATGAAGACATCTGTGATCAAAACTTGACATGATATTCGTGCTCAGCACCCCGAAAGCCCCACAGCAGCTGCACTTTACGACGTTCTAACAGGTCCCGATTTTCCCGACTTTTGTGGCATTGACCTGACCTGGAAGGTCAACTGATGACCTAGGACCTTAACCCTCGCCGGACCTATTGGTTTTCTACATACGCGCCGGCCGAGGGGGGGGGGGGCGGGTACGACCCCCCCCCCTCGCCGTTTCGCCCCTGGTGGAGCTAGCGCGTCGCGGAAAAAACGAGCGTGTGCGCCGTTACGAGACGCAGAGATTGGTACCCGATTTTAAGGTCCTAGGTCAACCGGTGACCTCTGAGGTCAGGTCAAGTGCCCCAAGGTACGGTTCAGTTTTTGGTGAATAACTTCGCAAAAAACGGCCGCAGAGCGCCGATTTTGGCAGCATCGTGTTCGTCTCGCTCAGGCGCGTCGAATGATATACTTTTTGTCCGGGTCAGGTCAACTTGGGGTGTTGACCTCAGGTCAAGGTCAGGTCAGCACCCCCAGGTCACGAAGTTGGTCGAAAGGGGTCATGTCGCATATCATTCGATTCGGCAGGTATTCCTGAGTCCATTGGTGGCTTTCCCGACTCGCTAGCTCAATTTGATCAAGAGTTATTGACGAAAAACTAATATGACCTTGATGACGTCATAAATGACGTCACGCAAGGTCAACATTGCAAAAGTGACGCATCTAACCTTGCAAGGAGTGCATCAAATCACGATTCTGTGTGCTTGAGATAGTTGGAGATCGTTCCCGGCGCCAGAATAACAGTTTTCATTTTTCCCCATTGACTTATAATGGTGAGGTCACGAAAATGACCTGACCTCATATGACCTTTAGGAAAAATCCGAGATATACAAGTTGTGGGACTCATAATGGATACTAGATCCTGCAAGTTTCATTTCCCTGTGACATCTCCTCTGGCAGTGAGGGCGTTGCGAAGTTGCGACATCTGAAGACCGTGCAGAGGTTCACTTATGACGTCATAGGTCAGTGACCTGACCTGACCCAAAAATGCGGTTGGTGTCAAAAGATGCGGCTTGGATCAAAGGTCAGGTATGCCAAGTTTCAGCTCTCTATCGCGAGCGTGTTCGGAGCTATCGCGAAAAAAACCCTATGGGGGGGGGGCGGCACCCGCCCCCCCCCCCCTCGGCCGGCGAGGGTTAAAATTGGGCATCATCGGCTTCGTATCGTTACGGGAACCACGCTAGTTTTTTCCGTGAAGCTATAGCTCGATCAGGGGCCAAACGGTATGGGGGGTCCAACAGACCCCCTCCCTTATACGTTCGAGGCTGGCACTGAACACCAATACGGGCGAGGGTTGATTTCCAGTGTGTAACTCTATGTGTGTGAGGCGACGTGTCAGTGCCCAATCATCCCGGCGCCCTTGTCCGCCGCGCTAATCGGACTCCCACCGCTCCGCTCCCATTGCGGCAGGCTGCGCGTGTTCGACTGGAGCCCGCGGCGCAACATCTGGGAGGAGTCCAAGATGAAGGAGATCAAAAACCTGTACACCATCACGGCGCTGGCCTGGAAGCGGGACGGCTCGCGGGTCACCTGCGGCAGCCTGTGCGGCAGCGTCGAGCTCTTCGACTCGGCTCTCAAGTCAGTCCGGTGGCCGGCGGAACGGGGTGGGGAGCTTGGCGGGGAGGAGGGGGAGGGAGACGGGAATGCAGAGGGCTGGTTACGGTGGAGTGTAGAGCGGCGGACGTGGGGACCAGAGGCGGATCCAGCTCAGAGTTTTTTTTTGGGGGGGGGGCAAACCATAACAATTTATCGATTCTTTCCATGCATCGTCCATAGGCATAATGTTAAAATTATGCCGTTTGGGGGGGGGGCAAATGCCCATTTTGCCCCCCCCCCCCCTGGATCCGCCACTGGTGGGGACAGACGTGTTGGGACAGGCACTGTGCTTGTGCGCGTTCCATTTTGTTCTGTTGATGATAAGTATCTTAGCAAATTAGCGTGCTCAGTGACGTCGTGTCCCCGCTCTGACACGGCGCATGGGCCGACTGCGGGGCGAGAAATGATAACGGTCTCGCGGCGTGTGGTGTTTTATGAACTTCCATACTGCGGGACGGGCGACCGACGCAGACAGGGGACGGTGGGCGATAATAAATTACCCTGAGTGGACGGGAGGGGAGGCGGAGCGAGTCGGACAAGAACCGACCGGGAACATGGGGAACGAGGGAGGCAGGGGATACGGGTCGGGACAGGAACCGGTCCGGAGGGAGGGGTCATACAGGTCGGTGCAGGCTTTCAGAATGGACGGACATTGGACATTCGGTGATTAATGACGTCACAATAGTGAATAGACAAACCGCGGTCACGAGTTACGTTACTAACGTAAGTGGCAGGTATCTTTTCTGGGGAATGTCTAGGCTAGTTTGTTAGCTGTCAAAATATTTTAATGAATGCTCCCATCATCGATTTGCTGTGTGTGAAATGCTACGGCGCATGCTACGGCAAAAACGTTACAACTTACATCACCTTTTCTGTAATTGTCCGATGAAGTGCAACGTGATATGAAATATGACCTCTCCGATGTGACGGTTCTCCGGTGTCGGGTATCCGGTAGTGTCCGGATGCCCCGGTATGACGGTCGCTCTGCTGTGCCCGGCAGGCGCGCCGTCTGGAACGACCGGTGGGAGATGACCTACGTCGGACCGTCCCAGGTGCTCATCAAACCGCTCAAGGGCGGCGGCCGGGGCGTCATCCTCAAGTCCCAGTACGGATACGAGATCGAGGACGTCAAATTCATGGGTACGGTGGACATGCGAGGTCTCATGATGGGGCTCATGACTGCGCTGCTGAAATGTTTTTTATGATGATTAATAAACGATGGAAAAGCAGGCGTTCCTCAGAATCATTTTAACATCCTTATCTCTTATCTCTGTCGTGCTCATTCTTGGGTGACCCTGGTGGAAGTTACGAGTTGTACGCTGTTTGCGAAGAAAGGACTCTAGGCAAGGAGCGGTACCCAACCCTCGAGTGTTCTGGCCCTCAGCCCATCCGGTCTTCGCTGCTCCCCAGGCAAGGAGCGGTACCTGGTGGCTCGCACGCCGGAGACGCTGCTGGTGGGCGATCTCTCCCGAAACCTGCTCTCCGAGGTGCCCTGGATGGACAACAGCGGCAACGAGAAGTTCTTCTTCGAGAACACCAACTGCTGCATGATCTTCAACGCCGGCGAGCTGAGCATCATCGAATACGGCAACAACGAGCTCCTCGGATCAGTTCGGTGAGAGCGGACGGACCGTGTTGCGGTTGTCGTAGGTTAGATCATAACGCTGCATCATCTACGCTATATGTAACCCCACTGCCCGAGCTGTCTTGTGCTAACCGAGCTTGCCTGTGCCGACAGCACCGAGTTCATGAACCCGCACCTCATTAGCGTGCGAATCAACGAGCGCAGACAGAAGGGTGTCGAGGACAACAAGAAGATGGCCTACCTGGTCGACCTCAAGACCATCACCATCAGTGAGTGGCGGTCTATCTCTCGGAGTTTGTGTCGACTGCTCTGACTGGCGTGCCGAATGTCATTGCAGAATATTTTACATGTAAGACGTAAATATCGAATATATCAGAATCAGATGGCAATAGTGTCAGGTTTGTGCGATGGAATTGTGGTGTGCCAAAATTAACAATCCGCTTCCCCGGCAGTGGGAGCGACCCGATCCGAGCTCCTGACACTAACCTCACCTGACCGGTGTCTGCGACAGTTGACCTCATGTACGGGGTGAACCTGGGCGTGATCTCTCACGACACCAAGATCGACTGGCTGGAACTGAACGAGACGGGCCACAAGCTGCTGTTCAGGGACAAACGGCAGCGACTGCAGCTGGTCGACATCGAGACCAAGACCAACACCGTCATACTCAACTACTGCAGCTTCGTGCAGGCGAGTCACACAACTCACACGGCCTGTGGGCGGCGGCCTACCTGACAGATGTTTGTATACTACAATGCAAACGTTGGTGCACTGCGAAAGACATTCGATGTTAATTTTGTTTCGCAGTAAAAGGATGTTAAAATGTAGTTGCTGGCAGTCTAGATGATTGTGAAACGTTTAGAGATTCCCGTCTCACACCGTCTCGTCGAACGCCGTTCCGTCTCCGGCAGTGGGTGCCGGGCAGCGACGTGGTGGTGGCCCAGAGCCAGACCAACCTCTGCATCTGGTACAACATCGACGCCCCCGAACGGGTCACTATGTTCCCCATCAAGGGAGACATCGTCGACATCGACCGCAGCGACAACAAAACAGAGGTGCGCGCGACCGGCCGGCCGCGGGGCGTGTGGGTAGTCTACAGCGTGCAGCACTACCACGGGGATGTTGCTGAAGGGCTCGCCGGTCCGTCTTAATGCTAAACGGATGGAAGTAATTAATAATTATGTCGCCCAGGCTGGTTGTGGCTGATAGAATTGATCAACCAGTGATGTACGAATGCAGTCAGCAGTGTTGTTACAGCTTGATGCCATGATAGCACTGGAGGGCTGCCACTTTACTTGACGCTATAATCAGCCCTGATCTTTCCCTTCCCGATCATACACAGGTGATAGTTCAGGACAGCCGCCAGGAGTACTCGTACACGCTGGACGAGGGTCTGATCGAGTTCGGCACGGCCATCGATGACGGCGACCTGCTGCGCGCCATGACCTTCCTCGAGTCGCTGGAGCTGACGCCGGAGGCCGAGGCCATGTGGCGCACGCTGGGCCGGCTGGCGGTCGACAGTCAGCAGCTGCACATCGGTGGGTAGCGGATACTGGGGACCACAGAGACCTAACCTAACAGTCAGCACTCAGCAGCTGCACATCGGTGGGTGGCGGAGGGATGGAGGTATGGGGACTGAGCCAGCAGCTGCACAGTGGGTGGCGGATACTGGGGACCGGGCACTACAGAGACTGAGACAGTCAGCAGCTGCACATCGTTTGGGTGGGGTCGTGGGACCGGGCACCGTGACAGGAACACCGGGTCTACACGCGTCTTTTGTTTGTTACAATATATTTGAATTAGCTATCATCCTTGCCCATGACTGTCGTTCGTCGTGCAGCCGCGCCCATTTGATACGATGTAGGCCGTAGGGGGTGACTCTAATGCTGTATCAATAATACAGCATTATGTATGACTGTGGAGCTCTGTTAGCAATTGGTTTTGGTCGGCGATACGGTCCGCTGATCTCCTCTCTCAGTATGTGCAGCAGCCGAACGATGCTACGGGGACTGAGTAACGCTGCAGGCCGGTATAACTGTGTTTGTCGGCTGTCCGTCTGTGTCGCAGCCAAGCGGTGCTACGGCGACTGCTACGCTGCGGCCAGTTTAGCAGTGTGTTGGTCGGCGATACCGTCCTCTGATTTCTCCATCTTGGTCCGTCACAGCCGAGCGGTGCTATGCCGCCCTGGGGGACGTCTCCAAGGCCAAGTACCTGCGCGAGGTCATCATGCTCGCCGAACAGGTCGCCCAGAAAATGGGTGCGTACTAAAAGTGTCCTCGTCAGTCGTCACGTTCGGGGGCAGTCCGCTTCTGTGATCAATGCTCCCGGATCCGGTCCTACGAAACGTAACATAAGCGTGATCAGCTGTCCCAAGCCCGGTTCAGTTTCGGTTATTTCGACTGTGAGCCTGATTGCGATAGTGTCATCGAGCGTGAGAAAGCATGAGGACGACCTGCATCTGACCTTACCTGACGCTGATCCTCGTCAGGACACGGTGACGGCATGGACTTTTACGAGGTTCGGGCGCGTATGGCGGTGTTCAGTCGTCAGTTTAAGGACGCAGAGGCCATCTACCTGGACAACAACCAGGTGGACAGCGTCATCCGCATGTACCAGAACATGAACAAGTGGGACGAAGGTAGGTGATTCGGAACGGGGATTCGTTCTGTCCCAACAGAGGCTGCGATTATGACTTACGCTACCAACAACTCAAATGGATCCAATACAGGGTGTCTCACAAAAAGTGTACATACTTGTTTTGTAAATAGCTCCGTATTGTTAAAAACATACGTAAAAAACACAAATATCGCTGGAAAGCACAAAGCTTGCAAATTTATTCGCATATCATTTGCACGTCTTTATATTCACATACCGAATCAGTTTCCCATACTCTAGCGATGCGCTCATTTTTTTAGATGCTCAAAATGACAGCCTTTGCGCTCAGCGCACGTGGTGGCGCGCCTCATGGTCTCCTGAGTTACACGGGCGCATGTTTCCATGGTTATCCCGCGTATGGCTCCTCTGATGGCCTTTTTGAGCTCGTCTAGCGTGTGCGGCGCCTTCACGTACACGACATCCTTCAGATACCCCCATAGATAGAAATCCATGGGGGTGAGGTCGGGTGAGTGGGGTGGCCAGCTGTGGGGGGGCCCGCCTGGAGATCAGCCGGCTTCCCAGGCGCTCGGTCAGCCAGGCCAGCGTGGCTCTTGACGTGTGCGCTGGAGCGCCGTCCTGCTGGAACCATTGCAGGCAAATGGTGTCCGCGCACTTGCTGTTGAGAGACCGCCAAAAGCGCTTCAACACTGCCAGATAACGGTCTGAAGTCACCGTCACTGGTTCTCCGTCACCGTCTTCAAAGAAGATCGGTCCGATTATGCCCTGGGCGCTAAGCGCGCACCAGACCGTCACTTTTGGAGAATGTAATGGGACTTCCAAAGTCTTCTCTGGCGGGCTTTGCCCCAGTGTCTGTGGTTTTGACGATTAGGTAAGCCGTGAAGGTAAAAGTGTGCCTCGTCGGACCACCAAATGTTGCCGATGAAACTGGGGCAAGACGAGCACTTTCCTAAAAACCAACGGCAAAACTCCAACCGTTGTAGGCAATCAGACTTGGAAAGCTCTTGAGATGTTGATAGCCTGTATGCCTTGGTCCTTCCTAAGAATCCGATGCGTGGAACAGCGGCTAAGTCCAACTTGTGGCGCAAGGTGCCGCACGGACACTCCAGGCTTTTCCTCAACTCGCCGAATGACTTGTCCGATTTTCAAAGGTGTTCGGGCAGTTATCTTGCGGCCGCTGTTTCCAGTGTTTTGATTTCCGACTGTTCCGTGAGCCACGAAATGTTCAGTAAGCCGTTTTATTGTGTTTGCCGGCGGTTTCTCTCTTATTGTAGGGAAATGAGCCCTAAATTTCCTCTGAGTCAATACCAGGGAACCGGTTTGAAGGTAAAATTTCACGATTATTTTCCTTTCCTCTTCACTTAACTGTCTCATGACTCACTAACAAATTGTATGTCAAATAAATTGGCACGAGCTAAGCTTCATTTTAAGCCTGAATTTGACGTGAGCGCGTGCTTATATGCTGAAATATCTTCATTTTAAATGTGTACACTTTTTGTGAGACACCCTGTATTGCCGATATTGCCGATATTGAGCAACATTGTGCCACGGAATATGGTCGATGTGAAATTTTGGTCGACTTCTCTTAAATGCAGCATCTGTTGGTTGTTAGCTATACAAGTTGAGTGAGACAGACCTGGACGGGCGGCCGTCCCTCCCCGTGTCGATTGACGCCGTGTCGGTGTCCCCGTGTCTGTATTGGTACACAGCACTGCAGGTGGCCGAGACGCGGCGCCACCCGGAGCTGCCGCAGCTGCGCGCCAACTACCACCAGTGGCTGATGGCCACCCGACAGGAGGAGCGCGCCGGCGAGCTCAAGGAGCAGGAGGGCGACTACATACACGCCGTCCAGCTGTACCTGCGCAGCGGCCTCCCCGCCAAGGCGGCCCGGTGAGAAAAGGCGACGGTCCGACCCCGGCGGCTAGGTGAGGTGGGCTGAACAACAGTCCTGCTGAGAGACTGAAAGTGCCTGCGAGCTGCGAAGGCTATAATTCCCGAGCTATAAGTGCCTTTTAGGTTTGCAAAGTTGGCCGCCACGGCTCAAGATAACTGATCTTATTTGACCACAGCCTACCAAAGCTCTCCGACATTCCTCTACCATTGAAACAGTCACTGATACGCTGATGCTCGAGCGACGGCCACCAGCTACCACCTTTCTAACGCCCGCTCCGCGGCCAGGGTGACGCTCAACACGCCGGAGCTGGCCAACAACGTCGGCCTCATTAACGCCATCGCGCAGGCGCTCATCACGGCCGAGCTGTTCGAGAAGGCCGGCGAGATGTACCAGCGGGTCAACGAGCTGGAGCCGGCGCTCGACTGTTTCCGCCGCGGCAGCGCGTACCCGCGCGCCGTGGCGCTAGCCCGCTCCAACTTCCCATCAGGTGGGTGCACAGGGCTGGTCGGCCGCGACACGGGCTGGGGACGTAACTTATGTTAAATGTTGGAGTCGTAACTGTCACTCTAAAGGCACCTGGGAACCGGCATCGGATCCCAATACCGGATATGACTAGCCACTGGATCACTGACAAACTCGTGCTGTAAGCCCGGCCGGTCACCCTGCCCGTTCCGTTCCGTCCACAGTGGTGGTCCAACTGGAGGAGGAGTGGGGCGACTACCTGGTCTCCAAGCGCGAGATGGACGCCGCCATCAGCCATTACATCGAGGCCGGCAAGACCATCAAGGCGCTGGACGCGGCCGTGCACGCCCGTCAGTGGAAGAAGGCCATGCAGATCGTCCAGGTGGGTCAGACGCATACAGCAGACAGGGCTGGAAGGCGGCGATTGTGAAAATCGGGCAAGGCCTCGCCGGTGCAGAGGATGTGTCGTGGTATCACTTTTTCAAGCTCGAGTTCAAATATTGTGGCGTGTTGCAGTCTGTGATAATTGAATGCTAGGCGACCTCTCATTGTCCTAATTGTCCTTACCCTCTCCTCGAACCTCTCCTACGTTTCAAGGGCTACCTGGCCGACAATCCTGGAGCCGCACAGGCTGATGGGCAAAAGAAGAAGAAGAAAAAGAAGAAGGTATGAAACATCACGTCTTTCACACTTATGCTCGAACCGTTTTCCTGAAATCCAGTTTCCGTATTCCCTTGGGCTCGACCAGCCGCAGCCGATAGTTCATCTCATATGTGCTCCCACAGCCGCGGCCCTGCTCTGTTTTCTCCGAAGCTTTAATCATATTTGCGATCTACCTCATCATTCTGCCGGCGTGCTAGTTTGTGACCTCACATTCTTTTTTTACGTCTTAACCGTGCCTTGTGACGGCCACAGGCGGCTGGCGGCGAACAGGACATCTCGCCCTATCTGCTCAAGCTCGGAAACCACTTCGCCCAGATCGGCGACCACGCCACCGCCGAGAAACTCTTCATGGACGGTGGCATGTTCAAGGAAGCCATCGAGATGTACAACAACGCCGGTCAGTGGCGTCAGTGCGCCGTTCAGTAGTCGGAGGACGCAGGGCGAGGTTCATTTACTCACTCATTCATTCATTCATTCATTCATTCATTCATTCATTCATTCATTCATTCATTCATTCATCAGCGCTTTCTTGCATTCGTCCACTCATTTTTCGTTTATCCATGTACTCACCTATCATTTATCATTTATTCCATTCATTCATTCATCAGCGCTTTCTTGCATTCGTCCACTCATTTTCGGCACATTCATCCAATATGTAGGCTCACTATCATTTATCATTTATTCCATTCATTTATTCTAACATTGATTTGGTATTCGATCATTCATTTGTTAATAGATCCGTTCATTCATTCGTCCGATGGCCACCTGTCCAGCTCATGCCCGTCTTTCCCAACGCATACGCAACGTTCACTGGAGCGTAGACTGTACCGCGCGGCGACCGTGCACTGCGGCACAGTATATCGTCCAGTGACGGCGCCCGATCAGCCGACGGAACGCCGCGCCGGGCCGAAACAATGCCCACACCTCCGGCTAGAGTCGGAGTGTAGCCGATGCTAAGTGTGGAGCCCGGACTGTTGTCAGAATTTGCTCAAAGATATAACATTTTCCATGCTTATAGCTCTGAAGCCTTTGTTTGGGCACCTCCAAAACAGCTTCGCCTGTGCGTGTACACCCCAGATTTTTAACGGTCCCTTCTTCATTTTTTTTCTGCAGGCAAGTGGGACAAGGCGCACTACATCGCGCGCCAGCACATGGCTCCGGAGCAGGTGACGCAGATGTACATCCACCAGGCGCAGGAGCTCGAGGAGTCCGGCAAGTTCAGGGACGCCGAGAAGCTGTACATCACCGTGCAGGAGCCCGACCTGGCCATCACCATGTACAAGAAGCAGCGCCAGTACGACCAGGTGGGTGGGCGTCACGGTGGACCGTGCGACAGTGTGACGGAAAGTGGTCAGCAGGTTGAGTGGTTGGCCCAAGGTTAGCCTACTTCTTGTGCTACCTGTTTACAGTACCGCGAGTGTTAGTTGTGGACTGCGGCTGGACTGGGTGAGACCGGTCTGCGCACTGGTGCCGGGTGTTTGGCAGTGGCGATGAACTGGCATATGACTGACGCTGGTGCTGGTGCCGCAGATGATGCGGCTGGTGACGGAGCACCACCCGGAGCTGGTGAACCAGACGCACGTCCACCTGGGCGGAGAGCTGGAGAACGAAAACAACTACAAGGAGGCTGAGAAACACTACGTGGCCGGCGGCGACTGGAAGGCGGCCGTCAACATGTGGCGCGGCCTGGAGAGCTGGGAGGACGCCTTCAGGGTGAGCACACGGCAAACGGGAGAGTTACGTGGTTCTTGGCAGACAATTCACTAACGACAAGTGCAATGCCTATGTGCCAGTACAGCTTGACTAACTTGCTCTCACTCTCATGAAGTGATTTGTCCGACTTACTAAACGTCTTTATCCGTCCGATCTAACTGACTGTCTCTTCGCCGTCCGAGCTACCTGACCGTCTCATGTCTCCCGTCCGCGCTACCGGACCGTCTCGTCCCTCCCGTCCGAGCTACCTGACCAACCGTCTGTCCCGTCCGCCCCCAGGTGGCCAAGAACTCGGGCGGCAACAACGCCGCCAAACAGGTGGCCTACCTGTGGGCGCGCACCATGGGCGGCGAGTCGGCCGTCAAGCTGCTCAGGAAGCTCGGCTACCTGGACCAGTGCATCGAGTACGCCTGCGAGAGCCTGCAGTTCGACTTCGCCTTCGAGCTGGCCAAGGGCAGCCCGCCGAACAAGGTACAGGAGATCCACTACAAGCACGCCATGGCGCTCGAGGACGACGGCAAGTTCCCTGACGCCGAGGAGGCCTTCATCCGCGCCGGAAAACCGCGCGAGGCCGTGCTCATGTGAGTCATAGCACAATCCGTGCCGGGTCTGACTTCATACCGCGCCGTCAAATAATTTGACATGGAGAGTCGGTGGTATGTGTGACTTGCAGTAGCTGTCATTCTGTGTTCGTCTCTCCGCTGCAGGTACGTGCACAACCAGCAGTGGCCGTCGGCGCAGCGTGTGGCCGAAAACTACGATCCCGACTCCGTGCCGGACATCCTGGTCGGCCAGGCCCGCCAGGCGTTCCAGGAGCAGAACTACAGCAAGTTCGAGTCGCTGCTGCTGCGGGCCGGCCGCTCCGAGATGGCCATCGGACTCTACAAGGTAGGTGAATATGGCGGCGTGGACCATCTGACCCCTGGGGTCATAGATAAGTCATAGATAAGAGATAGGACTGGCCTACACACACATGGAAGACGAGGAACGGTAGTGTTATTGTGTCCTTGTGTCCGGATCCCTGCACTGACGCTGTCCGTCGATTTTCGCGTGGCAGGAGGCCAACATGTGGCAGGAGGCGCTGCGCGTCTGCCGCGAGTACGCACCGCACAAGCTGGACGAGCTGCAGGAGGAGTACGACAAGAACGTGATGAAGCAGACGGGCACCAGCACGGCCAGCGGCGACGTGCGCATGCTGCTCGAGCAGGCCGCCAAGTGGGAGCAGACCGACGACGTCGCCAAGGCTATCGACTGCTACATGAAGGTCAGGCGGGGCGGCGCGGTAGACCGAGTCGGGGGTTGCTTGGCCATTGGCCGCGGGCGTTTGGTATGCGATGTGATGAAACTCTTCTTTTTTTTTTAGCGGCCGGCTGAATGGAGAATATGTGCCTTGTTTGGCTCGCGGATAAATATCCCCATTGCCGAATCACACTATAGTTGACGCTGAAGTCCGTCTGACCCCGTGTTCCTGGTTTCGTGCGAACAGATCAACCCGTCGATGACTCAGGACCGCGCCATCGTGGAGAAGGCCTGGATGAAGGCCGCCGAACTGGCCATCAAGTTCCTCGGCTCCACCAAGGGACCCAAGCTGGCAGCAGAGATGGGTAAGAACTAGAAGCGGTGACCAGACTGACAGGCGAGTCATTTGCGCGTTGCCGGGCTGCTAGTAATCACCGCCGTTACCGAAAAGCCGAGCGGTTATCGGCTGCTTGTTACGTCCTATGCTTGCGTCCTATCGACCAACGGATTTCATTGATGAACAAGCCGACCAAACTGCTATTTTTTCGGACGTGTCGCTGATCCCCGACCGCGCTCATGGCTTTGCTCCGTTGTGCTTCGATCATCGATTGCTGCGCGGTGATCTCCGTTGACCCGTCGTCCGGCAGGTAAGCGGCTGCTGGAGATCGGCGCCAACAGCGCGGCCGCCCAGGTGTTCCTCGGCTCGGATAAAGTGCGCGAGGCCATCGAGGCGCTCGTGCAGGCGTCCGAGTGGCAGAAGGCCAAGAAAATCGCCCAGGAGATGGAGCCGAGGTATGTCACCGAGCCAGACCTGACGAACCTCTCGGTTTAGTGAACGTATTATATGTTATAGCGCACATGCTCCTTGCCGTCCCACAACCGTTCGCTAACCGGGGCTCCCATAATTTGAACTGCGGTAAAGCCTGAACTACCCCTTAAATGAACTTCACCGATTTTGTACGGCAGCTATCTGAAGTACGTGGAGGAGAAGTACAAGGAGTTCCTGAAGACCGAGGGCCAGGCAGACGCTCTGGCCAGCGTGGACGTCATCCAGGGGCTCGACATGTTCGTCCAGAAGGGTACGATCTCGCCAACTGGGGATGTCATTTGTTTTGACTCGATTCGCGAGGAATGCTGAGTTTTGAGGTGAACATGACTGCGCCAGGCGAAATGATGATGTTGACCGTAGTCTGGTTTTTAATCAATCACAACGGCTGTAAGTGTGCCTATCGGTGCTGTGACCCGGCCTGACCTGACCTCTGTGCGCGGCCAGGTCAGTGGCAGAAGTGCATTGAGACGGCCAAGCAGCACGGTCCTCAGGTGCTGCACAAGTACCTGGCCCTGTACGCCGCCCACCTCATCAAGGTTAGTCAGACGGTGATCGGGCGTTTAAAGACCGGGTGTTGGACGTAAACCCGTCCTTGAATATCAGCCAGATGGTTCGTCCATCAAAACGCATCGATCACCATGTGAAATGCCGCACGGCAGTGGAGAAGTGGCTTGCTGCGGTCGTCTCAAATTACTGACCTCATGTCCTTTGTCTTACCCTGCTGACCTCTGTCCGGTGTCTTACCCTGCTGGCCTTTTCGTATGTCTTACCGTGCAGCAACCTGACCTCTGGCCTGTGCCATAACCTGCTTCCCTCTGTCCTGTGTCTTACCCTGTTGACCTCTGTCCGGTGTCTTACCCTGCAGACTGACCTTTGTCCTGTGTCTTACCCTACAGGAGAACATGCCGGTGGACGCGCTGAAGCTGTACGTGAAGCACGGCGCGCCGGCCCAGTCGCAGAATTACAACATCTACAAGTACATCACGGTCAGCATGTTCGGCCAACACTCGCTGGCCAAGCCCGAGAGCTACAAGGTGTGGTCGGAGCTGCGAGAGTTCCTCTTCGATCTGGTGAGTATGGCGGAACAGACCGCCGGGCGAGCCGGCCAGCCAGGGAGCGGATAGTCATAGCGAATGCTGCAGCTGGACATTTGACTGTAATTGTGTTTGCCTCAATTATTTTCTTCCTATCTAGATATCGTTAAAACTTTGAAATTTCCCCTGCCTCTATCCAGGTCCAGCTTAGGTTGAAGTGTCTTTTCCATCCGTTAGTTGACCGAGGGTTCATCGGTCACGCACGCGACATTATCTGCACAGGTGGGCAACATGAACCACTCGGCGGAGGCGGGCTCGGCGGTGCACGAGGTGTTCCAGACGATGCTGTTCGTGGCCCACCTGCTGGCCGCCCGCTCGGCCGCCTACAGCGTCGACCAGCTCACCATGGTGGCCAGCAAGATCTCCGTGTCGCTGCTGCGCTACACCGAACTGGTGCCCGCCGACAAGGCCTTCTTCGAGGCGGGCGTCGACGCCAAGGTGGGTCGGCACGGCTCAGGCGCGGTGGCTGAATAAGCAGTGTGGCTATTCTCAGTTCCGTAGCCGAATTTTGTTTTTCGTGAGACGTAAACGTTAATTATGCGGGATTTCAACTCGTAGATTTAGAATAATCTCCAACGATCAAGTTTATTCCATCGCTGTTTATTCAGAAGGTTTTAAGCGAATCATGGTTCATTACTGTAGGTAGCTGGCCCATTAGCGCAGCGAGTTACCGGTATGTCTGGGTTGTCGGCAATTAATTTCATTTCCTTTACAGAGAGGTGCCTAGAATTAAGCGCTTGGCGCTTTTGCACCAATCTGCTATTATTTTTTCGAAACGCCTTGTATAACTATTTGTTTTCTACTTCCGTTTCTCTTTTTGGTAATACGTGTTGATTAATAAACATTCTGTGTGTGTGTGTGTGTGTGTGTGTCGGCGCTGTGCAGAAGGTGGGCTGGGACAACCTGGCGTTCGTGTGCTGGAACCACTTCCTGGACCTGGTGGAGGCCATCGAGGAAGGCTCGCTGGACACCATCGACCACAGCGACTTCGCCGACACGGACGTGCCGTTCGAGATCCCGCTGCCGCCGCGCGCCAACGTGGACGCCGCCGAGACGGAGCGCGCCAAGGAGTGGGTGCTGGCCGTCAGCATGGACCAGTCGGTGGAGCAGGAGCTGCCGCGCGACGAGCGCGGCTGCTACGCCGCCTCGCTGCTCAACCCGGACGGCAGCCGAGCGCCGCCCTGCGTCGTCACCGGCTACCCCGTGCTCAAGAACAAAATGGAGTTCCAGTACGGCAAGGTGCGTATGAGATAGGAGCCTGGGTGCGTATACGATCTGCGGGTGAGAAGGCACACTGACTGCTGAACTCGCAGACTAGTGATGGTGTGGTGCGACTTGCTACCGTGTTTTCCACACTCCACCGTATTTTCTGAGACTATCGGAGTAATGCTTTATTCCAATTGGGCCGCCCCATAACGTTTACATTTTATTGAATAAAACCAGTAAAACGCCTTTTGGGCGAAGAACGAGCGAGCGAGATAGTGAGCCCTGCACGTGCGTAAGGGCGAGAGGGTACTTCCAACGGGCTTGTGCAAACAGTGTCCCAAAATTGAGTTTTGTCTTGGGTGTCAGAGGGGAAAATTACCCACCAAAAAGAGGGGAGAGAGAATGAAAAACTGCTGATTTGATTAGATCCAAAAAGAGTGAAAAACAACAAAAAGCATGCATTTGATTCTAAGGTGTAGGATGCTTGATGCTAAGCTGGGCATCCACACAACTGCTCTTTCTATAGGCAAAAAATCTAGATTTCTTGGTTGGGAGTGGAAAATTGTTCTTAAAAATTGGTGGCGAGAGTGTAAAATGAATTTCATTTGGATGTCTTTACCCACCCAAATCGACAAATTTTGGGACATTGTGTGCAAAGCACCCTTCTAACCGGTCGCTAGCGGTGTGCCAAATTTGAACGCAATCGGCCCAGCCGTTCCTGAGATCTGGAAGCGGCATCCTGCACGTGCGCACGTGCAAACGGGGTCCAAAATGACTTTTGCACGGCACCCTACTAACCGGTCCCCGTGTGCCAAATTCGAGCGCAATCGGCCCAGCCGTTCTCGAGATCTGGAAACGCCCCCTGCACGTGCGCACGTGCAGTAGCACCCTAACCGCAACACATGGGAATGCATTGCTTGGTGGGTGCCTACCTATATGCCAAGTTTCAGCGAAATCGCCCCAGTAATTACCGAGTTACTGAAATGGGAACAAATTTGGCACCTCTTCTTTTTGTATTTTGCACGTGCAGTGAGGGTCACTCACATAGATCAAGAGTATCCGACCTTTGGTAGAAGGGGTGCAGCTATCCTATACAAATTACCGCAAGACAATCCCTCAAGCCGCTGCTGAGATATGGGCCTCTCAAAATCACTACTTTTGCAAAACTGCTTGAACACCCTTGACTTTTCACGTGGCACGTGCCACGAGTCACTGAGATGTATCAGAAGTAGTCAATTACGGGGTAGAAGGGATGGGGCTACCCAGCAAAAAAAGACCGCAGGCCAAATTATCGGTCCAGTGGTTGCTGAGATATAAGCCTCTCAAAAGCGTTACAGGCCGGGCCGGGCCGCTCATACTGAGATTTTCCCGTTATATTGAAAAGACTTCGCTGCGCTCGCTCGCTCGTAATGACGATATAGCTGCATTAAAGGGACCCTCCCACCTTAACATTAGATTTGAGTTGAGATAGCCAAAATGGGGTCCCTGGCTCACAATTACCGGTTTCGGCACTCACAACATCGAGAAATGCCTTAAATCGGAAATATTGAATTTCAAAATTGCAGCATTTTGATTCAGAGGGGCTAATGCATAGGAATACCCCTCTGAATGTGTGACGTCATCGCAGATATCTAACGATTTTTAAATGTTTGACTAAAACGTTTTGTAGCACGCGGTGGTATATGCTGCTTTGCGCGCAACAAATGCCGCACTTTCAAATAAAGTCGCTAGGAACAGCGGAGATCCCAAAAAGTAAACAAAAGTAAAAGTCTAATATCTTGAAAACCGGTGAATATTTTTCGATGAAATTTGGTAGATATTCGTTTTTGCTCTTTCTGAACCGAGCGACATCACTTTCATGCCAATTCATTAACTTTTTTGAAGGTGGGAGGGTCCCTTTAAAGGGACCCTCCCACCTTCAAAAAAGTTAATGAATTGGCATGAAAGTGATGTCGCTCGGTTCAGAAAGAGCAAAAATGAATATCTACCAAATTTCATCGAAAAATATTCACCGGTTTTCAAGATATTAGACTTTTACTTTTGTTTACTTTTTGGGATCTCCGCTGTTCCTAGCGACTTTATTTGAAAGTGCGGCATTTGTTGCGCGCAAAGCAGCATATACCACCGCGTGCTGCCAAACGTTTTAGCAAAAGATTTAAAAATCGTTAGATCTCCGCTGACGTCACAAATTCTAAGGGGGCATACCAATGCATTAGCCCCTTAGAATCCGAAAACTGCAAGTTTGAAATTCCATATCTCCGAATTAAGGCATTTTTCGATGTTGTGAATGCCCAAACCGGCATTTTCAGGCCATGGCCACCAATTTGGCTATCTCAACTCAAAACTAATGTTAAGGTGGGAGGGTCCCTTTAACGGTGTAAAGATTATAATTCAACAAGCGTGACGCCGTGTTTCCGTCCGTCGCTATTCGACTGTATGTCTGTCCCTCTGCGCTCTCAGGTGGCCAACAAGGACGACTGGAACTCGCTGGTGATGACGGCCAAGATGACCAACAGCGTGGAGCTGACGGACGTGCTACGGTTCGTGGGCACGTGGGCGGGCACCGGGCAGCAGGGCTTCCGGCTCTGAGTGGCCCACCTCCGTCCCGGCCGGGCCCGATTCCGTCCCAGGTCGTACCTGGTGCCCGGCAGTCATGCCGACCGGTATAATCTGTGTTACACTATTCTAGTCGCCCATGTGGTGCCACACGGGCTGCGTCCAGTGTTATTTTTGCTCCGCTGATATCGTTAATCGCTTGTTATTTGTCCCCCTCTGTGCCCGTCTGCCTGTGCCGCTCCATATTTCACTCACTCACCCGTCCAAGGCGGCCGCGACAAGGCGAGTCGCGGCGCCGCTTTACCCAGCGGCCCAGTCTTCGATGACTGCAATACCGCTGTGTACGCTCATTACTCCGGGATCGGGCAGCATTCGATGCCAGGCTTAGCCGAGGCTGCCGACCGCCATTGTCCACGCATATCTGTCGGTAGCCTGTGTTTGTCTGCAGCCGGCAGTTGTAACGAGTCCGTCCACTCAAGAAAGCATCGCGGTGATAAATCGCAGCAATGCACTGTATGTGTTATAATTACGAAAATAAAGTGTGCAATATAACCGGATCAGTGTCTGGTTGCGATGACGGCCGGTAAGGATGCGAATATGCGACAGTGTGAAAGCGAAGGTTGATGATAGTAATGAGATATCAGATATCGACGTTGCAGCCCAGTTTTCGCCTCGGTACGTGAATTCGGTACCCGTAATGCGGAGCATGAGGCCCCTACCGGAAGACATACTTACGTGAAGATATATGGGACAGCGAGGGGTCAGTAGCATTTCCACTCAATCACTGGTTCAATGGCCCGAGGGTGTTTGACAATTTGGACGTGATGTAAGCCACATCACTCGTCGGTTTACGGCGCTGTGGTCTTTACCTTCATCTGGCGATAGTATAACTTTTGAAGCCGAAAATAGCACTTTCGAGTAATCTCCAATATACAATCATGTGCTGTAAAAATATGCATTGTGACATTTTGAGGCACGTTCAACCTCAAAACACTAGGTTAAAATTAAACATGGCTAGTGTCTCTCCCAGACTACTAAAAAGAACGAGCTAACCAAATCCGCATAAATGACGCTGGTTGACGCTTCACTGTCATTTGAAACAAGGTTCCACATGGGTAAGCCCAGCCAACTTCGCTCTCCATACTCACTGATGTAAGCGCATGGAATGCCCAACGTAAGTGCAGAACAACATCACCGCTGGTTTGCCAAGGAGCTGGCCTGCCCTTCCAAACAAAATTATTTCCCTATGAAAATTGTTCACAAGCGGCACCGCTGAACATCCGCCGTACGACACCACCTAAGGACTTCCCTGTTACGCGGCTGGCTCTCTGACTATGCTTAGCAGCTTCTCAATCTTCTCCTGCTCTATCTCGAAGAGCCGCTTGGCGTCAGCATTCTTGGCCTCCTTGGGCTTTTTGCGCAGGTTAGGTGATAGTTTGAGCGAGGTGACGTTCCCACGTTCGTCTCCGACCAGGACGATTGGGTGTGCCAGACTGAACGAGACCCGCGTCATGCGCGTTTTCTTCATGTCGATGACGGCCTGGCAGCAGATAGGACGGTACTTGTCGATATCCAGGTCGAAGATGTGGATGCGGCCGTCTATGGTGGAGGCGGCGAACACGGTGGACGAGTAGGGCGCCCAGGCCACGTCGCCCACCGGCGCTGCCAGGTCGAACACGAATAGTGGCGAGCTCACATCCTGCTGCCAGATCTTCACGGTCCAGTCGGCACTGCACGTGGCGAAGATGCCTGTGTGGTAGAAGTTCCAGCTGATGCTGTAGATGCTCTGCATGTGGGCAGAAAAGGCTGACAGGAAGCTGGACGAGTAGGTGGTGGAGCACCTGTAGACATTGCCCTCCTCGGTGCCCACCAGGAAGACGGACGGGTCGGTGCGGTGGAAGGCGAATGTGGAGCCGCAGCCGCGCACCGGGATCACGGTGCCGTCGGGACCCTCGTTCTTCACCTCCGGCATGCCCAGCGAGGTGACCTCGGTCAGACGCAGCTCCGACTGGACCAGCTGCCAGTTGATGACGCGCCCGTCGGCCGATACCGAATAAAAGTTGTGGTTGCCGTCCATGTTATCCGGTCCCCAGCGCACCTTGTTGACGCTGTCCGCGTGCCGGCCCTTGACGGTCTTGCTGAGACAGACGGGCTCCCGTCCCTGTGTCTGGAGACTCAGCACGCTCACAGTGCCGTTGTACATGCCGATACAGACCAGGTGCGGGTACGTTTGGTGAATGTCCACGCACATAACACCGGAACTGGTCGACAGGTGGTACTCCGGGTATGTCGGGTTCTTCAGGCTGTACAAGCACACCTGGCCATAACTCTGACCCAGAAAATTGTATGATCCAAACGTAGCAGCGAACAAATCGCTATACGTTTCACTCCAACATATGTCCGTCACGGCCAGCTTTTTGACTGGATCAAAACTGAACCGCCAGAGGGGGAGAACTGTGCCTTCTTTCTCCTTGAACTCGTCCGATGCATCTTCATAGTACTTGAAGTCTTGAGCTATCTCGTCATATGTGTTCTGGTTCACGATGCGCTCCACCGTCCGACTTTGCCTACTGACTTTTATTATCTCTTGTTCATCCTTGCGCTCGAGGCTGACGTGAACCGGCTTGGGTGCCGGAGGTTTCGGGTGTGCCTTACCCTGCGCCTGGAGCTTTTCCTGCTGTTGCTGCTCGAAGTTCGACTGGTATGTGTCATAAATGCTCCATGCATTCACGTTTGATGACAGTGTCGATCTCGGCGGAGGCTGTGTCTCTACAGCAGCTTCCTTCAACATTTGGTTCATTGTTTGAGATGCACGCTCACAGAAATTAAATGCGTTTGGGAGCTTCTTTTTCGGTGGTCCAGGCATGCCCTCAGCATTGTCAGCTCCATCTTCTGCAGGCTTTTCAGCCTCACCAGCTTCTTCACTCTGGTCTACATTTACTGCTTCAGCATCATCTGAAGTTGCTTTAGGTTCGCCGGCCCCTTGAATTTCGCCATCCCCTTCACGGGATTCATCATTTGCATTTTGTTCATCCGCACCGTCTTCATTGGCCCCGCCGGGCGGTGGTGCATTAGCTGCATCCATCCTAATTTGGCACTGAGCCTCAGGGCTGTTGACGTCCAGTAGATAGCCTTTTTGGGTGAACAATATGAGAGTTCCCTCGTCGCATGGCTTTGAGACGAATTTTAGCGCATTGTTGCTGAATTGCACTTGGTTCTTGGGTGCCTGAGGATTTACTGCAGTCAGAACTCGCGTAAACTCTTCCTTCAGTTCTTCTGGGGTGAGCTGAAGCTGATTTGCCGGTTTGATTGTTGTTTTAGATTTGCCACCAAATTCGTTGATCTGCGAAGGCGCAGCTATCGATGATCTGCGACCTCTCGCATCCGGATTTGTGTTCGGGTCCATTATGCCGACTCTTGACTGCTTCATGTTTATCGGTTCACGGGAAAACGACGACTTACAATTTATATGTTCGATTTTTACCTCTCCGACCAAATTTATTTTAAGAATGACCCTAACGTACACACTTCCTACCCCTTTCAAACATCACCGCAACAGAATGACAAATTTGCATCACTTGTAAATGCAGACATCAGCTGATGAGCGGAATTTAGTTGTCATGGAAACAAGCTACCAGATCTATGCCCGTAGGAAAAATTATTTTTCACTGAGTAAAAGTATTTTATTGTATTTTATTTCATTGTATTTTATTACCAGTGTTTGAAAACGAACAGTGAAAAAATGGATGAATTATTTCAATCATGCCTGAAAAATGATCTTTATTAACTGGAAGACTTATAGAATAGAGTGTTTTCACTATTTTGATTCAAATACTTTCCCCTTTCATAAATTCCAAGAACCGGGCTTTTGAATACATTACTGACGCAGCTAAGCCATTTAGTGACGCTTTATTCTCGAGGGTTTGTATTTTTGTTATTTATGATGTTTACATATCTCTCGGGTGGTCGTGGTCTTTGTTTTCCTGTAATTTTTCATTATTTTGTTCATGAGTTTTTGTATACCTTGATTTCGTCCTAGCCATCGCATCCGGCATTTTTTTATCGGCATTTTTTGCCCTGAAACAAGTTAAAATGCTTCATAAAGAAGCTATCCCAGCATGGCCATTTGCTATCATGAAATCTCACCCGTGGCTATGGAAACTTAGAAAAAGCTGCATTGTTCCACCTGTTGGAGTACTGTCAAAAATATTTTTTGGTAAGTGCCCCTAGATGTTGCCTTGGTAAGGATGTAAGTAAATACAACTTGATAGGAAAATGTGCTCTTCTTTCCTTGTTATGTTTCTTATTTGCTCCCTTCTTGTCAGAGGTGGAGATGTCGGGGGATCGGGGAGGGGGTCAGGACCCCCCCCCCTGAAAACAAATTACTGCTATGTAAGTCAATGGTACTGCATCCAGCCTGCCTCCATCTGCCCGGCCTGGATCCCCGTGACATTTTGACAGATCTCCACCCATGCTTCTTGTTCAACCCCTCAGCTGCTGCTTGTTTGCTATAATGCAAATAGCCTATGTGGTTAGAGCCAAAGGTCACAAATTTGATGTTGAGTTTATGTGCAAATTACATGAAAATTCGAATTGACCACTTAGGCTAACAGCTATTAGTGAAAAACTGCATAGTTCAGCCTTTTTCCAAAAAGTGCTTAATTTTCAATACTTATGTTGCATGCCGTACTTGGTAGATTTTATGAGACATGTGGATGCAGATATTAATTTTTATGAATGCTTGCCTTATATTTTCAGAATACTTAAGCCGAAGCCAGGTATTTAACCGAGAGGCACTTTTGGAACTGGTAGGAAACAGAGCTGATGGCCAGGGCCTGGTCACTGTCTCCAATCACTACTCATGCCTGGATGAGCCTGTTCTGAATGGTGAGCTGTCACGCTATACCTGACCAAGTAACATGTGTCATATGTGGATTTGCTCTTGTTTTGCACAGTGTGGTTTGGCAGAAATAACTAGACAAATTTTGTTGCAGCATATCTTTGTCCATTGCACTTCTTGTGGACTTTTGCATTGGGTGTGACTAAGGCTTTGAGATGCCAGATTAAGTTAGGCTAGGTCAGCTTTGGTTATGTCTTTATTCAATTTGTTCTGTTTGATTAAATAGCTATACAAATATTTGTAATAGAATCATTATGCAGGTGATGAGGTGGCTTATGAAGACAGTGTAGTTTAGTGTAGATACCAAAACACTTCAATGAATTACGTGTAAAATGGATCTCCTTGAATTCACCCAAGATGTGAAGCTCTCTTTAAAATTTGTCAAGTAAACATGGCCTTTCTTTCCCACCTGTTTTCTATGCTCACACCTCTGGTCTTGGCCAGGAATGCTGAACTGGAGACACCTACTGAGTCCTGACGTGATGCGGTGGTCGCCGGCGGCGCACGACATCTGCTTTACTCGTCCGTTCCATTGCTGGTTCTTCACATCAGGAAAATGTGTTCCTATCGTTCGCGGAGAAGGTGTTTATCAGGTATGTTTCACTAAAGTAAACTAGCTGCTCTAGAACATGATATGTGAGACAAGTAGTGAGATGT